CCCCTCGAGCAGAGTGCAAACGAATTAAATCTATGTTTAAATCCCACTCAATCTTCAGAGCAATTGCTATAAATCATCACTCACTCGTTATACCACTTCATTTTCTATTTTGAAAAATACCCCCCCCCCCTCCCGCCTCCATGCGCGTGCTCTCTCTCTCTCTCTCTCTCTCTCTCTCCCTTTATCTATATTTCTCTTCCCTGCCCCTCCCCTTTAGTCTCTCTGTCTCTCTCTCTCTCTCTCTCCCTCTTTCTCTGTTTCTTTTCTCTATGAATATTTTCCCTAAAATCGTAATTTTCATTCCTCTCTTTCTTTATCACTCTATACCTCTTTACATAATCGTCATCATATTTACTATTATTATTGTATGATTGTTATTAGGAATTTGTTATTATAATTATGTATCATGCATTATATTGTTGTAATTTGTAGGTTAAAGCTTATCTGCCATAGTTTACAGGAGGGATTAGACCGCTCTGCAAGGTCACTGGACAGGTGGTTATCTCATCAACTCAGCTCTCAGTTAACATAAGAAGAAGAGGATCATGGGGGACCAATGGTCACCGATTAGGCATTGTTTGTTATATAGAGGGCGCAAGTAGCTATCAGTAGTGCAGTGTGCCTTTAACATTACTTTGATTTTATTTTTGTTAAGCGCTTAGAAACTTTGTATTAAGCGCCGTCCCTTTCTCTCTCTTTTATGTTATATGCTGTTGTGTATATAAATATCTCCTAATCATTCTGTACTAAGGTGCACGCCTGTCTGTCTTTATCTCTGCCCCCCCCTCTCTCTCTCTCTCTCCCTCTCTCTCTCTCTCTCTCTCTCTCTCTGTCTGCCTGCCCTGCCCTCCTTCTTTCGGTCTCTCATTGGAAAAAAGGAATGTCGGATCGACCCCTTTCTATTTCTGAAAAAAAATTATATTTTGTCTCTGGAATTTATTTATACAATTTAATCAGTAGGGCTTACCAAAATGGAGTATAATCTGATGATACATAGGCCTGTGTTCTTACCGTCAATAAAAGAACCAATTAATAATTTTAGATAATTTTCGCCCAATGGCTCTTTAGTAGGCTCTAAAAAATTAATGTCAGAAAATTAAATTGTAGAACTTTGCGAATAAAGCACATAATAAGAGTCAAGAGCCCTTTTAAAATGTTTTTTCTTGAAAATTACACATTAATGAAAGAAATCAGCAGTACATAATTATTTTTAATCGTGTTCTAAAACAAATTCTTATTGTGCTATCATGCAGGGGGTGTGAGATACACTGTCTTAGTAAAGTAGAATAGTTTTCAATTGGTAGATTGGGAGGACAGGTGAGGATCCAGCCGGCGGCAACAGGAGGGCCCAATTCGTGAGAAAATATTTAGCGGCGAACCAGCCACCCAGTGAATAGGCGGGGGAGGGGGATGCTTTTTTTTTTGGGGGGGGGCGACAAATTATATATATATATATTTTTTTGCCAGGGGAGGGGGCCGCTTTATTTTTATTTGTTTAAAAGTCAAATTAACGTTACCATCTTATTTTTAACAGTTTTTTTTGCTAGTGAGGAGGGGGGGGGCGTTGCCCCCCCCCCCCCCCTCCCCCGTGATCCGCGCCTGCTTGAGAAGACATTTATCGGATTTGTTTGTATACGTACTTTGTTTGCGAATCAACGACAAGCTTTCCAAAATGCCTACCGACCGAGGGCGCTAGTGCACTCATCAAGCTAGTGTCCCTCTTAGTATAAAGGGACACTACATCGAGCCAGAGCCATCTATTCACATAGATGGGTATAGATGGCTCTGCATCGAGCCACAAACTTTTCCCCGGCAGCCGTGAAAAGGCCACTGTCGGCTCGATATCACGCTGAATGTTGTTATGCATGAACGACATCCAAAATTATTGAAACAGAGTCGGATATTTTTTCAAAATATGTACAAACACCTAACATAAATTATTTTCAGTTTTGAATTAATGAATAATGTATAACCCATTAATCATTTTTTCAATACCATCAAAAGGTTTTTTGAAAATTTTCCCCGGAAAACAATCCCTTAAAGATTATTTTCAGTTTTCATGAATAATGTATAACCCATTCATCATTTTTTTCAAAACCATTAAAAGGGTTTTAGAAAATTTCCGCGGAAAACAATCCCATAAAGATTTAAAGGACAGAAAATGAAGAAGAGCAAAAAGGGGACCAAACAGGCATTAATTAGAAACTGTGTGCAGGGTGATGGAAATTTCATATCAATTTTTTTTTAAAATAGAGAGCTATTGAAATAGCTTGTAAGATATATTCTTTGTAGGCCTTCATCTTGTACCATATTCTGGTTACTATTTGTTGAAAAACAAGAATAAAGTGCCGCAGAGATGATTTCAAAAGCGCTGTACAACAAAAATCAATTTTCAAACAATATGACACAGCCGAAAAAGAAGGCCAAACCTAAATCAAAAATCTAAAACTGATTTTTTTTTTAAATTTTAAATATACAGTTCGTCCCAGAAAAAACGAAACCGAGAATTATCGATGTTTTATCATAACTTAATTACAATTATAATTAACAAATGACAAATGTTTGTAAAGATTAGATCCTCCTCTTTCATTTGATGCATATTTCACGCATGAGTGATTAAAAACAATTTGAAGAGAGCAAACAAAGTCATTTGGCGGGCGGTATCTGAATTTCAAAGAGAAAATCACATTTCTAGAAAGTTCAATTTCTGCCCTTTCATATGACACCTCAACCAGGAAAAATGAGCCAGGCTAACAAAGGTCTTTGCAAAGGTTTGCTTAAAGTAATGCTTTATTGCTTGCATTTCCATAATTTGATTAAACGAGTTCATTTTCACTGGCTGGCTGCCGTAGCAACAAACAGAGTTGATAAAAGACTTAACCTCATTTTGTTGACGATCAGCCATGCACAAAGAAGACGAAAGACGAAAGAAGTGATGGAGAAAGTGAAATCGTTTCAATTTGTTTAGGTTGATTCTTCGAAAGATTTCGCGATCATGTTCTTATTCTATTTAAAAACGTTTACACCGAATCGTGACTGTTGAATAAAAATGAAATGATACTATACTTATCACTTATATGACTGGAATAATTACAGTTGCCTTTCAATTTTCATTCAGATCAACTAGTAACTAATTTATATTATAATTCTTGTATATCACTGGCTTTGAAGCGCTTGAACAGAATTTTCAAGAAATTTCAGGGTCAATTTCATATCAGTCAGTATCATGTGTTTCCGCAAGTATCGCCCACATCTAACTATAAAACAATAGTAGAATATTTTCAAATCATGTTCGGGTTTTTCAAACAAATCTTTAGACCTTGGTGGGGAAAAAGTATAGAGCTTTTTAACTTCCTTCTCGTGACAAAAAGCATCTAAAAAGGTTCCCACATTCCACATTCCTAATGACATTAACAACTGGGGCTGGCAGTCAAAGACATCCGATCACAATCCGATTCTGCTATCGAGGATGCCGAGGAAGGAAAACCAATTCAATGTTACTTACATTAACACCGAAGTGGTGGTTTTTAATCTCTTTGTTCTTTGCTGTTTTAGACGTCCTGCGCTTGACCTTCCAGGCATGTTCCTCATCGTTTTTCTTCTCAAGGTCAAGGGCAATAACAAGTCCGGCCCTGGAGAATGTAAAAGCTAGACGATGAACAACATCTCCTGGCCTAGACACAACAACCTAAACTTTCTTCACAATGGCGAATAAGTGGCGGTCTGGCGGATGAATTAGGAATAACAGATCGTTAACAATAGATCGTTATCGCTTTAACGAAAAGTACAATGTGTGTATATCTTGGCAAAGCATCTCATTCTCTGCACAGTGCAATGTCCTTATTGTCTTAGGTGTTCTTTCCCTGTTAAATAGATTGATTGCAATCAGCCCGAATGGAGAAAAGAGTTTTAAAAAATGGCCAGAATATATATGGTATACGTCAGGTCTTGAAGTCTTGTTTGCATGAGTTTATATTAATATATACTAATGACTTTTGACAAAATAAGGTAAGAACCGATTTTTTTTTTTGTCTATGCATTGAAAATATGATGCCTTATGTCGTCACATACCCACAAGTGTACGTGTGAATATGCTTTTATATGCGCCCAGGTTTGAAACAGGGCCATTTTTCTTCAATCTCAACATGAGTTAATCGAGTTTGTCTGAATTTATTTAATTTTTGGATAAAAAAATAAATAAAAATAAAACAAAAACAAACAAATAATTAATTTGTAATAATATCATTTACCACTGTATATACAAGCTACATTGTTTATTGTTAATTTGTGATTAGTCGAGAAACTATCCCACTTGCTGAATTTCTTATTTATATATTTGTTTTATTTATGTATTGTGAAACAAAATGTTCAAGTATATGAATGAAGTTTACTAATAGAATTCAAATTCGAATTAAAATTTTTAAACAATTCAGAAGAAAAATACTGAAATAATCAATGAAGGCATTCCCTATAACCATAGTTTTGTCACTTTTGTGGCCGTAGTATATGTTTCTACTTATTTCAAACTTTAGAGCATGAGACCTTGCAATTCCGGACATTTTTATTTAAACGCACTGCAAATTACCGTGAAGGATTGAGTGTGCAAAAATTCACAGGCTGGAAAAAGCTTGCGTGTTTTTTGTTGTTTTATATTTCATTTTTTTTTATATTCACAGGCTGGAAAAAGCTTGCGTTTTTTTCGTTTGTTTTATATTTCATTTTTATTTTATATTCACAGGCTGGAAAAAGCTTGCGTGTTTTATGTTGTTTTATATTTCATTTTATTTCATATTTATTTTTTAGAAGCAGAGATATTTTACCCTGGACCTAGTTTGGTCAAATAAGACTCTAGGCCTATGGTTTTTTAACTTGCTCATACACAGCCACCATATTTTCCAATTTAATTTTGCTTTATAACAGATACCATATACCATTATGTCAAACAAGTAACTAATTTATAATTTTCCGTGTGATATACGGCCATGCATAGCTTATACAACTTAACTGAACATAGCCAAACAAAATGTTGTGATTACGAAATCGATTGTTACTGAGGAGAGAGGTGTGTCGGAGCCTCGGAGGTGTGTGGAGGAATGTCAATAAGTGCTCATATCTCACAAAATGGCTCAAAAACGAAGAGCGATCGAAGATCTTGTGCAAAGAGCAACAGAATCCAAGATCAAGAAATTTGAAAGCATACGAGGTAAATGAGTGTGGTCAGAATGGTAACTGTTTGTGTGGCTGGCTGCTGTGTTGTCTTGTTGGTGACTGTTACAGCAGTATTGTCACTGCACTCGCCGGTGGCATACGGTACCGGTGCATTGGGCTGACCTGCGCCTGTGTTCGTTTTGTGTCGACTCAATAACTGCTATGCTGCTAGACCGAATTTTCCGTCTCTTTCGTTCGTTAGCCTCTTATTGGGGTAGGGTCGGCTCTCTCTTTAGAGACGGAAACCGTCTATACACATTCCCTTGATAACGCCACGGCCATTTCAGGTCGTAGCGTTTTGCCCCCAAAATCCCCCAAAATGTCATTTTACCTCGTGCATATCCACATGTAAATTAGGCATAGGCTATAATACATCGGTTCCACTTAACAACTTGACTGAAATAATCAGTTTAATAGTCCCTTTTTAGGAAATTATGGGTCAAAAATCGAAATCCATTTTGAAAATCTTTTTCAACATGGATTTCGATTTTGACCCATAAATTCCTAAAAAGGGACTATTAAACTGATTATTTCAGTCAAGTTGGTAAGTGGAACTGATTTATTATAGCCTAGATCTAGGCCTAATTTACAATATAACATGCACGAGGTAAAATGACATTTTGGGGGATTTTGGGGGCAAAACGCTACGACCTGAAATGGCCGTGGCGTTATCAAGGGAATGTGTATAGACGGTTTCCGTCTCTAAAGAGAGAGCCGGCCGACCCTACCCCAATAAGAGGCTAACGAACGAAAGAGACGGAAAATTCGGTCTACTATGCTGCATGCTGCACTCGTTTAGGCCCTATCCACTGTGTCATGAATTTACAGCTGAATGCAAAAATTAATAGAAGCAAAATTTAATTCATGATCAATAATGATATTGAATGACATCTAATATTGTTGTGGTTTTACTTTTAGAAACCATTCATTTGTCTGCCCAGTGCCCACACACGCTTGCCTTGTGTGTAGAGTCTAGACTATACGGTTACCTGTGCCAAGGCTGTGGAGTGGGGAAATACAGACCACTTTGTGTGACTCAATAAAGCGCTACTGAGCGAAGCGGTGGTCATGGTGGTGGTTTCCTATTTCACAATAATGACAAGTAAAAGATCATTATAAGATTAAGAGACAGGTTCATGCAAACTGTCAAATGTTCAAGATTTCAATTTCAATTCTCGTAGAGCAATATACATTCCTAGTATAATTCATTGCGCCTCTGATACCTCAGCGATTTTGCAGACACTATTTCCGGTGATTCTAAAGAACAGAATGCACAACATTTTATAGAAAAATGTGTAGAGATTATGAGTATGTGGGGTATTGGGAATGGATATTTGAAAGCGTGTTCACTCGTCACACAACATAACTCTTAAGTCTTATTTTTATTTTAGCTACAAGGAAGCAAGGTTGCACTGACAATAAAATACAAGAATAATAGTATTCCCTTTTCATTATGTTTATTGAGTACTGATGAGGCTGGCCGTACACTTGCAAAGTGTAGCCAAGCACAAGCCGAAGAATCGGAATGAAAATACATAAATGGTAAATGTGAATATTGCACAGAGATTACATAATGATCAATGATGAGAATGAACATGAATAAATGCGATGTACATAATGAATGAATAGAGCTTACGACATATATGAAATGACGTCGAAAGTCCAATGAAAAGAAGAGATGTGAAGAACGAAGGAAGGGGCTCACGCGATGAATATGCAGAGGCTTGAAGGCGGAGATGCAGCTTTGTATTCGTGGCTGAAGAACCGTGAAGGATCTCGACGCTGACACTCGTGATAAAAATGATGAAGAAGCTCTCAGGCGAGAAGAGAAGAGAAGAACAGTGGCGCTCGAAGTCAAAACAGTGGGTCGTTCGCTGTCGGAGGCGAAGAGTAGAAAGGTAGACATGCAAAGCCGGTAGTTAAGAAGAGCATTGAGTCGCTCGATGAATGACCAGGACTTTGACGAAGAAATGTTTAGATGAGCTGCGGTAAATCGTCTGAGCTCGAGAGTGGAAAGAGCTACCGGAACGAAGAAACTGGCAGCTCCCAGCGGAGAGTCAGGCGCCATGTCGGTGCTGACTATAACGTTCCACTGGGAGACTGCAGCCCAATGAACACGGCAGAGAAAGTTGACGTGCCATGTAAGAGGTGATAGGCACGGTAGAATAATAAGCCTGGAGAGGAAATCATGGAGACGTCTTGACTCGACCAAGTTGGAAGCGGGAGTGAAGAAAAACCTTGTGGCGTTGAAAAGACGCGGGTGAATGGGTGCGCGGAACCACGGTGCTCGATTGGAAGGATAAACACGTGGTCCGAATAACTGAATATAAATAAGTAACGTGATGGAAAAAATACTGGAGACATGAATGTACATGTAGGATAAAAATAGGGCGAATGTAAGAGCCGCTACAAATGTATAAAAAAGGAAAAACGGGCCCACAGCTGTTCATGCACAAAGTTTTACAGATGATGTATTAAAAATAAGAAGTTTGTATTTTGTTTTACTTTCACTCTTTTGGTCACTCTCATATTGTGCGGCAAGAGCCCCACCACTAGTCCTACTTGAGGGAAATTACTCCTCTGCCGCGGGTACATTGGACTTTCCACTGGTGCCACTCTGGGTTTTTTCACACATAGGAGCATTACTATCCTGGCTGTGTAGTAAAAGCTGTACTTTTGATTCTCAACATTTCAAACACCACTCTACAAAACTCAACTGATTTCACTCAAAATCGGTACTTTAGTGACAATTGATGACACCTAAATAGCAGTAAAATATTTTTTTTTAACTTAGAGGTACTGATGTTAAAAAGAATAATTAAAAAAATCAAATTGTAAGTCTAGTGTCAAACTTTGCTTACAGCTGCATCGACATGATTGTGTACAGTCTATGCGATATTGTGTTGTGTGTATATTTGTGTATAGACTTCTAGGTCCCTGCCTCACAGCATGTATGCAGTGCTAGAGGTCAATACGCTTTAGCATTGACTCTCTATGCTTTGCTGGAGTGGGTTTTTTTAGCTTGGATCTTAGTTAGAGAAATCAAAACAAAAAGATGCATCCAATAGACTGGTTTACTAACATATATTCAAAATTATGGATGTTTCTTTCCTGGGGAAGTAGTGACCAGGTATTCCATTTACCTGTTATTAATTAAAGGTAAAGACCAGTATTGGAAACGCCCCAATTTCAAAAAATGAAATGGAAGCTCTCATTACCAATCATGTGAAAGAATATGTTTTGACTAATACATGATGATAACAAATTTGCCGGGAAACCGCCTACTAATTCATATATTTGGTAAATTTGTTTCTCTCATGGTCTGTGAGAGATATAGGGTAGTCCCATATACATCTTTCTGTGTATAGTGCTTGTAACTTTACGAAGAATGGGCCAAATTTCTTATCATTTTGATGATTCCAGAACCTTGCAGATGCTAGATGCTAGATGCTAGATGATCAACCTTTTCTGATCGATTCCACAACGTTTCTTTCACAATGCAATCGCATGACCATAACTGGTCTTTACCTTTAATGTAGTACAATACTTTGATTCCAGTCCGCATACATTATTTGTTGCTATGTTGGACAAGCCTTGGGAAAGCCTTCAGGTTGTCAATAACTCTTTTCATTTAAAAAGCACTCATAAACTTTGAATATGTTACTAAACTGGTCTATTATAGTCAGTCTTCATCAGGCACAAACAAACAAAAATCACTATAAATTTGTGTAACATATAAAATATGAACCTGTTTGTTCAGCAGCGCCATTTTGTAAAGTCTTGTAAGTTGAGATTATAGGATTTTTTTTTAAATCTGGCTTTTATTTTATTTTCTGTGCAACTGTTAATACCAGCATTATTCAGATAATAAAACATGATAAAAAATCATAAAATTCTAAAAAGGGAAACACATTTTTTTGATGAAAAGACTATAGAAAGATAATTATGGATATGAATATAGCAAACTTGATTGTAAGCCTCGTATATCAGGAGGCTTAATTTTTTGTCAATTTCAACAACTTTCAAATCAGACAGGAGAAAAAAAGAGTTGTGAAGAACATTTTGACCTTCACCATGGCTGGTTCATCTTTTTATATGTTGAAGATGTTGTAATCTGAATATTTTTAAAAACTTAAGTTTTGTCATTATATCTACATGTATTTATAATAGTTGGTAATATTGGTAATATTTTCTACCCTAGTTGAGCCAGCGTGGCCGGTCAGACCTGTGGGTGATGGTTATTAAGTTGGCCGTTTCCATACCAAACCAACCAAACGGATAGAACCATTGGTCTCAATCATTGGTGTCTCTTTTAAATACATGTATGAATATATTGTTTTATCTTGATGTACACATATGTAGAGAATGAATAATGAATTAAATTTATTTTTAAAAAATTCTTCCAATTTTCATATTTTTTATCCAACAATGTAAAACACACATGACAGTCATAAATACACTAATTGGCAAAATAATAGATGACAGGATAGCTTAAAAAATGCACAAGGCTTGTAAAATAGAAGGCACCTGAAAAGGTCATATTATGTAAATGATAGCAAAAGCAATACCAATGAAATATAAACATTAAATACCCCAAAACAAACGCATCTTTTCCAACATGATTCATTGTATGATTATTTATTTGTGTTCTGCCATGCAACAGGAAAGCAGGAGATCAATTTCCCCTACTGGGACATCGTGGTCATCACGGCCGGAGATGAAGATCAGAAGACAGCCTACGACCTGCAGCTGCAGGAGAAGCTGGCCCGGCAGCAGCTACCCCTGGGCACCAAGTACCATGTCCTGAAAGATCCCGGAAATGTAAAAATTGGTAAATAAAACTTTACAAATGGCCTGATCAATCAGGCTTTCAGTTTCGGATGTGAGGGTACAACCTTGCATTATACTGACTACTGCCTCATTCCCAAAGGCTTAACACAAGGACTGCCCGGTTCCAGTAGACAATAGGTTAAAGCCTATCTGCACTAGTTTGCCCAGGCGGGATTCGACCTCCCTGCATGGTCACCGACAGGTTGTTATCTCATCAAATCAGCTCTCAACTAACATAAGAAAAATGGGACCATAGGGGATCAATGGGTACCGCTTAGGCATTGTTGGCTATATAGAGGGCGCAAGTAGCTACATGTAGTGCAGTCCTGCTTTAAAAGAAAATTAGGAATGACAAAAAGAATAGGAAAAATGTAAAGAGAAGAGATGTAAAAGGGGTTAGTTTGAGGGTACAGAAGACTTCATTGTTTGAGGTAACCCTAACATGATCTCCAGGCAGCAGTCATCAAGAAACTGTATAATAAATCACTTAGCTTGAGAAATATCACAGGGATGGAGAAAAGCTTACCCGCTAAATTTTAAGGTCTGGAGAATCTGAAACAACATATGTATCTATTTTTATTAGGGCATGGGTTATAACAAAATATCGCAAAAAATATTGCAAAATTATTTACTTTACTTGTATCAAAGAGAACTGTTGCTGAGCTAGCGCCATGAGCGTCCCTGGACGGTGTGTGCGCTCTATAAGTTTACACTATTATTATTATTATTATTATTTATTAGCTACTTTTTGATGTCCTCATCTTAAAAAAAAACATTTTTCTTTTGCAGGACCAGGAGGTTCAATGATGGCTGCCCTCTCCTACCTCCAGACTATCTACAACCAAAGCCTCTTCAAGAAGAAGGTCCTTTTCATCCCAGCCGGTGGCTACAGCCAGCGACTACCGAGTGCCAGCCTGCTGGGTAAGATCTTCACGGCTGTTCCCTATGGACGACCCATCTACCAGATGCTTGAGTTGATTCTGGCCATGTACATTGATCTTCCTGCTCATATGCCGTCCGGAGGCATCTTCCTGGCCTGTTCGGACGTCATCATCCTCTACGACTGCACCGTTGGCGTAGAGTGGTCCTTCGACAAGCCAGGTATCACTGCCTTTGGACACCCGGCTCCCATTGCCGTTGGGACAACCCATGGGGTGTTCTTGTACAAGGACACGCCTAATGTCTGCTCTCAGGTGCATATCGTCGAATGTGAAGAGTTCCTGCACAAGAGATCGGAAGATGTCCTCAGGGAAAAGGGTGTCCTTCTGCCGCAACCGTGCCAGCAGACCCTGGGCATCAGTGAGGACCATGTTCTGGTGGACAGCGGCTACTTCATGGATGGTGAGACCGCTAAGAAGATGATTGAGTTCTACGAGGAAAAGTCTCCACTTTCATGTGAGATAGACTCCCATGGGGACTTCCTGCATGGCCTCGGGAACTGCGGCAATAACAGTTACATCAATGACATGTCCAACGTCAGCAGTAAGACAGATAAATTACTGTCCATGCGGCAAGAAGTCTTCAAGCTCCTCCAGGGGACTCCACTCCACGTCCTTGTGTTGCCCTACTCCAAGTTTTATCACATCGGGACAACGGAAGAGCTGCTTAGTCATTTTTGTGATAACTGCAGCTTGAGGCGAGAACTAAGCCTGACCAAAGATGCCTTCAACCGATCAGTGGACCTTGGCGATAGCAACACCGTGCTTGACAAGTGCGCTACCAGGGAAGCATGCATCATGGACAGCATAGTACCTCAAGGTATGGACACCAGCAAACCATGCATCGTGGAGTACTGTCACTTCAAGTCTCCGTGTCATCTTGGCGAAAGATGCATCGTCAGCAACTGCGTCGTCCAGGCACCTTCTTCTGGCTGTCCCGTAAGCATACCCTCGTTCACATTCCTTCATACAGCAGCTGTCAAGACTAGAGAGGGCAGCACTCTCTATGTCACCATATTCTTTGACATCAGGGACAACCTCAAGCGCTCTGCTCCTCACCTGGAGGAAGCAGGCCAACTCTCCTTCTTGAACCAAAGTCTTCAGGTCCTCTTCAATAACTTCAACAGTACATCTCTCCAAGCAATTTTCCCACCAGGTACTACTACCTTCTCCATCTGGAATGCAAAGCTCTTCCCACCCAAAGAGACAATGGAACAGTCCTTCCAGACTACAATGAAATTCCTGGATGAAGTACACACTGCCGATCAGGAAGCCCATTCCATTGTGGGAGAGGGGTGTCTTTCAATGGCTGATGTTCTCAATTCCAAAGATATTCAAGCAATGTTGGTATACCGCAAGCAGCTTTATTCTTTAATATTAGCAGATTGAATAAAACCAGTGACCCAAAAGTGCCTTATCTCATCAGTTTACATGTATACCCATTTTACTTGATTATGTTGGCCTTCATGTACATCACATCACATGCACTTGAATTTCAGTTGATACAATCTTGAATTTTGTTGGTTTGTTTGTTTGTTTGTTTTTGTTTTTTAAATAAATTATATCATCCTGTTGACTTAAATATAATAAAAGAATAGGTAAGATGATATGGCAATTACAATAATAGGTGTATATGGTTTTATTTACTACTCCTATGGAATTTTAACGAAAGGTTTGCTTGTAATATTACGTAATCAATAATACCCATGAACGTTACTTAACCCTCTGTCGCTGTCTTTCTTCCCGTTTATTCTCTTGGTCTTTTTTTGTTCTATGATTCATGTTTTCATTTGGAATGTGTTGTATGATTTTTATGTTTAGTAATCCTGGAAGTTTCCTGAGTGTGCTTATGTCTGCAGCTGTCTATTAGGAGACTGTAATCAATTTTGTTTCATTTTATTTGACTCACACACTAGGCAACAGCATTAATGTTGACTAATTTTCACTCTTTAAATTTATTCATTATTAAGTGTTATTATACTAATAACTACCAGGGTGTCGGCATTAGCCAGTATTTTAAGAAATTGTATAATTCAGGACAACAATTGGGTAGAATTTGCTTGTTTATGGAGCATGACCTGTCAACATAATCATTTATGATATTAATTATTCTGTTACTATTGAAGAAATCATGTTAACATGATATTAGCAGTTCATTTTATAAGTTTCATTTATGTATTTTGTTACATAAGTTTTGTAAGCACCAAAGTGAGTGACTCTTTATGCTACATAACTCTGTTTGCATTTACGAATATCAACAATAAAGTTTTGTTGATGGCCATGAAACTGCAATGCAATATAGGCCGAGGAAGGAATTCCAACTATATTCTTTGTTTACATGTTTTTTGTAAAGTACTACCAAACTTTCAGGGTTGGATTATACGTGTAACGAACCCGGTTAGAGCATTCCACCATAATTCACATACACGTTTGTGATTTCAAATAAAAAATGCTTTGAAAAACACACAAAAGAACGTGAAGCCTTTTAATAAAATACGATGCTTAAAATTTCTGGTACTACGAAAATCATTGTTGGGTTCAATACACATGTAGGATCCAGTTAGTTTCCGTAGCCAGTGGATTGATATATTAAGTTTGCAATAATTATCCATGAAAATAGAATAGTAACCCATCTTTTCCTTCCGATTTTTTATCCACTTAATAGTTTCTAAAATGAGAAACATACAGTTAACGACTAAATTATACATACCCCAACCAAGTTTTATTGTTGTCTAAGTTTGCGATTTTTTTGTTCTTCTCCAGATTAATGTTTCTTGAGAAAGTGACGTACCAAAGCTTACATCATGTATTAATCATTAAACAAAGGCCCTAATTCAACTCGTCCTCCTTTCATTATTGAGTTATGAAAGACATACAATTTACAAAGGGTATGAATTATTCAGTTGTTATGTAGTAATATCATATTAATGTAAGAGAGTTTTGAAAGGATTCCAGCTTTTATGTAACTTTAATCATGTCTGGATATTATAAATAGACCAGAATATACGATGAAGTTGCTAGGGGAAGACATAAAAGTGAATACATTATCATTTATGGCACTCATTTGAATTTTCTTCGCTCATATATGTATCTCAGAGAAGGGCATTAAAATAAAAAATCACTGATGGTGCTGGACAAAATAACTGATTCTTATTTCTTTCCGAGTAATTTTTATAATTTTTTTTTAAATCAGTTTTTTTTGCAAAACTTTATTTTTTCAGGGTCGTGTAGATCTTTGCGTTTGATCGATTTACTGTACATATATATACCTCACTTATTTTTCCTTTCAAGTCTGTACATATCATACACTTATTGGTATAATATTGAGAATTTCTTGATGTATAATATATTTTGGTATGAATAGTCAACACACTTTGTATATTTTGTCGTTTCTTGGTCTCCCATTCATTATTAGGGTGTGATTGAATGTGTTGTGATGAATCCAAGAAGGGGCTGGGGGAGGGGGGGGGGGGGCTGGGGATGCAGGACGGCAAATTGTGAACTACTGAATTTCTTTGATGCCAAAGGACATCAATCCTGCTACTGGGGATTGAACCCATGACCATTACTTCTCCGGAGTCGGTGTTTAAACCACTTGGCTTTAAAGGCATCGTTTAACATTGTTAAATATGAGATGCATGGCCCTACGTGTTATCAGTGTCTGTGACATGGTGTACCGGTTATATTGAAGCCCTAAAAAAACTTGCACTTCAAAATGATCAAATAGTGCCTCAAAAAATTAAGAATCTTTGAGTGACCGGTTTTACCATACTCCTCTTCCCCAGTAGACCGTAGTGTTATAAATATCTTGATAATCAGACGGGCGATTGGCTCGTAAAAGTCATGGGGTTCCTGGCTGACCTAAAGGTTTATAATTATCATTGCGGTATGAGCTAAATCCATGATTTTGTTTAGAATCTGAGACAAAGTTACCCAATCCCTTTAAATGATCATTCAGTATTCTAAACTTACCCAAGGTTGAAGTCGCAAACTACAGTGAGTGCACCGTCTACCAAGTGAAATAATATGTCCAAAATTTGCTATTTGTTAAATATGTAAATTCGATGAGGAAAGGGCTGATATACAGTACGTGTACAGTATACTTTGATAAACTGCAGTACATACATTGTACATGTAGGCTACAGCAAGCACAGAAAGCTTTGTAAAAGTTCACTTTTTTCTAAATGACCTTTGTTTGCCCAGCTAGTATTTCTGAAGTTGCTTATTACTAAAACTATGAAAAGGCTGTTCTTTGTTACTTTATGTCGTCAAAGAAATAGACAAACCTCTTCATATAAGCGCTGATCATATTCATTTTTTTTAAATCTCACCTTTTCATAGATTTGCACAATCTTATTTAAGCTATCACCACTCCAAATGCAACTTGCTCTTGCGGTTGGGCTGCCAATTTACTTTCAAAGTCCTACTCGGTAGATAGTTACAAAATAATCAGACACAAACACACAAAAGTCAGTCAGACAACGAAGTAAAATGGAGTAAAAACTATATTTCATTTGTTGCCAATATATACAAACATCTGTATCATGATCTGTGTGCACATAATTATTATTATCAAGTTTCACAAGACTGTCGTTATCAGCACCTTTTTCTCTTCATATCTATCATGAATCTACAGAGTGTGTCCATACAGCTGCTGCTGTATTACATCTTCATAAAATCAGATTACGACTCCATCGATTGGGTTCATTTTTATTATACCTTGCTATGAAACTTCCATTAAGAAGTACACTTAAAGTGTGTGATTACACACAGTATGGGCAGCTTACACATAGTATGGACAGCAAAATGTGGCCATTTAGTCATGATTTAGAAGTCCACTGCATGGACACGGCCTTGCATGGTCAGCCAATAGTGTCATCCGTACTATACATCTATCCATATGAATTGAGCACATACTATTTCTGTTTGTTCCTGTCTATGTCGTGCTAATACCCCTGTCTTGTAAACTAATACTGGCCTACAACATGGCTGTATTTCAAATATCGAGGGTATCGAGGCACAAGTTCAAACAAGATAAAATATATATGCCAATACCCATATACATGTACAGTTAACAATTGTGATCAAATTAATAAGTTTGTGCAGTATAATACTTATTGATGATGAGTATTCAATGTGGTTATTCAAGAAAACAACCATGGGATGGTAATGTAGACTAATCATGAACAGATGTATGGTTTCATGCCTTGTTCCTCAAACATTACAGATTTTTAAAAATAACAATTACTGCGATAGTCAAATTACACAATTCTTTGGTGATTTTTGATAAAAATAAAATATACAATTCTTTGGTAATTTTTTTAGGTCCTCATTTTAATGGAATGTTTATACAACATTTAAGGCAAAGTAAAGAGCATAAAATAATCATTAAAAAAAATCATCATTAAAAGGGCATACATGTACTTGCCCACAACCTATGTATACTTCAAACAGTAAATGACTGTCCCAAGATTGACCCTTACAAACAGGTTCCACTTTCAAACAAACATCTTTACAGTCTCTGAAGTGACCAGTCTACACAGGTGGCCAAACATATATTATTGGTCAAACAAATATTATTGGTCAAACACCTATTATTCATCAAACACAGACACTAACTTGAATCTGATACTACTGAAAGACAGTCCCCACTATTTCCAAGAAGATCCAACAACATGCAGAATTTCTACAGAACTAGCATTTTAATACAAAATGTATATCCGAAGTTGCTTCCATGATTAAAACAAACAAACAAACAAACAATCTAATGAACTGTTAAAAAAAAATTGTGATAAAATCTTATTCTCTTTACATTGATATGCTAAAAAATGATAAAAGTTAATGCATGGTACAAACCATAACAATTTTAATCAGGGGCACCTTTTCATGCACCATTAAAAAAATTGATAAATGTATAGTATATGGCATGCACATGCATAAAAATACACATTTGATTGAAAAACATAGTGTTGACTTAACGCAAAGAATGTGACAGTTGAGTCCTGCAGAAATTTATTTTTAAAACTCAAATACCGGGAAGGAAAAAATCGAAAATTTCTGCTAAATCATGTAACTTAATCACATTTGTAAAAAAAAACATGCAGTTTTTATTAAAATATCTTGTGACTCCTGACTCCTTCCGAAACACACACCATGTACAGAATTTAAAGTACTGATGTTTACTCTCACTTCGCACAACACACATGTACACGGTAAAGGTAATGGAAGTTTTCTAAAGCAAGACAGTACTATTTCTAAAAATAGATTTACAAATAAAAGCAAGATGAAAGAAGTATGATTAAAAACCTTAAAAAACGTCCACATGACCATACATTTGGCCCTCCGAATGAACTACAAATAAACCTTCATGTTTAAAAACTTTATTTTCTAGTCTTTCTTTTTCAAATCTCTTGAATAACATATACAAGCAAATCTAACATCTTATTCATATTATGTCATACGAATCATTACACTCTTTTCCTTCATCTGCTTCAATAATAGTATTGAATAATGGGGTAATAGTATATTTGTAAAGCGCTTCGAGACATTTGTATTAAGCGCTATATACAAATTGAATATTTTTATTATTATTATTATTATTAATTAACAATCCTAGGAATTGTTCTTTACAGCCAAGAGTCTAATTTCATTTGCAAATTCTTCAGCCTAATGAAGTATAGTATTAATGACTGCTTTGAGAGAAATAGTTGTTTTATTACGCTCAAGGGAAGGTTAGAATTGTGCTATTCCCCGAGGCTTGCCGAGGGGAATAGCCCAATTGTAACCTTCCCGAGAGCGTATGAAAACAACTATTTCTCGAATATTAAAGCAGTCATTAATACTTTTATATGCCGAAAAAAAATAGACTAAAAAATAAAAAATAAAAAATACTTTTTTTTTGGTCGAAGATGAGATTCGAACTCTTGCATACAAAAGGTGATGTATGTAAAGTCAGCGCCTCAGACCTCTCGGCCATCGCGCGTTATTAACATGCTTGGCAGTTTTGTACGATATATACATTAAAATGGATTGAAACCGGCTTCGCGTGTGATGAATGCTTCGCAAAAGCTCCATGAAATGGACCCTTCTTTTACTTTTGCAATGCATATTGGCACGAACTTAGATCAAGATCTATCGGCAGATGTTGTTTTTTTGTTTTTGAGAGTTAATTTTCGTCTTCATGTCAACAATGCAAGATAAAATTGTCGGTAAGATCGATCGAGATTCAATTGTATTGAAATTGCCGACCAATTTTTCGCACACGTATGGTATCCTCCATCGCTCAAACCATTTTTTAACATGTAAACCTATGGGGTAACCATGGAGACTGACCTATTTTTTTAATAACCATGGTTATTAAAAATATTGAAATGTTTTATGCATGGTTACCGGGAATTTTACAGGAACAGTTGAAGTTTATGAATGCAATTCGACCAATCAGATGGCTGGATTTCTTAAGTGAGGTATATAATATGAAATATGAAACAACATCAAATTCCTTTGAGGAAAAAGAGAGCAAGAGAGAGAGAGAAATAAAGAAGAGAGAGAGACATAGAGAGAGACAGAGAGAGGGTGAGAGTAAGAGAGAGATAGAGTGAGAGTAAGAGAGAGATAGAGTGAGAGTAACAGCCATAAATAGAAAGAGGGAGAAAGGAGAAGAAAGAGAGCATAGTTGTAGGGTTGTCATCTATTGCGATGAACTGTGGTTTAATCTAAAAATGCTTTGAGAAATGTGAGAAGAAATGGATGTGGCAGGGGTGGGGTGGGATAAAAAAAATTCCTGAGCACAACACGCATTGATCCCCTCTTGTGATGAAGTACATGCAGCACATAATGTATCTATCAACAGCCATGCTGTGGAAACCATTATCAAATGTAATGTCCATGGACAACTCTTAATGAAAGAAGAAACTGATCAAAAATATAGACATCACTATACATACCATGTGCACCTTAGGAATTGAATTACATTAGAAACAGCCAAGTGTATCGTAACTGAACAATGCAAAGTTATTGAAGACCTTCAAAATAAGTTACGAGTGCCCTGTCTTACAAAGAGTTGATATTAATCGCAATTTACTATGTACATAAGAGATAGGAGATTACAAACTTGCGATTGATTTCGATCAATCGTACGTCATTGTAAGACAGGGCCCAAAAGTAAAACACCATGTTAAAGGGATACATCACATTTTAGAAGGAGTTGCATATCAATCATCATTCAGTCTTCTCCATCACTCTTTTCTTTGCCCTCCACAGTACCTCTCCTCTGCCTCACCACCTGGTCCCCTTGGTCTCCCTCTCTGACTCCCTCGACTCTCCTGGCTCCGCCCGTCTCCTTCTCGGCTCCACCTTCTGCTCCTTGCACCCCTTCAGATCCTGCTGGGAGACCGCCATCGTCTCCAGCCAGGGGCACACCCTCTCTTGTGGGATCTCCTTGATGGCTCCTGGCTCCTCCTTTTGGATCCTCCTGTGTTGCTCCACCTGGAGCCATCCTGCCCTCCTCCTCCTCCAGCTGCTCAAGGAGCTTAGGATCCTTGAGCTCTGGGCAGATCTCCAGGAGAGCCAGCTCCAGTACATTCTGCAGAATGGCGAGGAAACAAGAATGAGAATAGTTTCATGTATACATCTTGGTCCTCCGTAGAAAGCTATACAGACATTGATGTGCAACATGTTAAAGTTACCTGACTCGGTAACATTGCCTCAGATTCTGAAACATAATCCTGGATTTAGCTCATGCTGCAAGTCATTATAAACCTTTAGGTCAGTCAGGAATCCCATGACTTCTACAAGCCGATTCGCCTGTCTGATTATCAAGATATTTATGACTGGAAATTCAAGATTTGGATTTATATGTTTTTTTATGGACTTGAATTGAAATAAAACTTGAACTTGAACTTGAAATCGAAATTTCGTTTTTCGTTCTCCTAATGGTTTTTATAACACTACAGTCTACTGGGAAAATGAGTATGGTAAAATCGGTCGCTCAAAGATTTTTTACCTCCTAATGGTTTTTATAACACTACAGTCTACTGGGGAAAATGAGTATGGTAAAATCGGTCACTCAAAGATTTTTACTCTTTTGAAGCACTTCTTGATCATTTTGAAGCGCAATTTTTTTAGGGCTTCAATATTACACCATATCACAGACACTGATAACATGTAGGGCCATGCATCTCAGATTTAACATTGTTAAACGATGCCTTTAAGATTAGAAGACAGAAAGAAATTTTCCATGCACGCAAACAAAAGAAATGTACCGGTCGATGGCCAAGCCCTATAAGTGCTTCAGTGCGAATACATGGGAGAGATCCAGTGCAAATAGTATGCATGGGAGCCAGAAGCGATTTGGCTCTGGAAAGGTATAAAACAATAAAAATTCAAAGAAACAACTCACATGAAATCTCAATAATGTAATCATTACAAATCCAAAACAAACCCTCTCCCCCTCCTCCCCCTTTCTATAAGCAAAAGGCCATAATCAAGAGGTACACTGGAGAGACCTATCTACAAACATCAGGAACTCACATAAAAGATGTGCTTGGTGGTCCTGGTGTCCTGAAGGGCTTCAAAGATCTTGATGGCTCCCAGACGACTGTTCCGCTTCCCGAGGAGATTCTGAAGAAAATCTGCAAGGCGGACAGGGGAACAAGATCTGATAAATCAAACTTCTATCTATCAATAATTGTACATATGTTAATAGTAAAATACCAATGATCTTGTGCAGCTTCTATCAAGGTATAGAAAAACAAAACAACAACCAGAAGAAATGTCTTCAGTATACCAGGACTATAGAAGAAGTATAATGCACTAAAATTTACAATCGATGTTTGAATGTCAACTCTTGTCTCATTTAAATATTGGTATGAAATATTTGCCACAGAAAAATCCTATTTTTTTTTATTTTTTAAAGCTATTCATAACTTGCGAAACAAATGTTACAACATACATACAATTTCATTCTTTGTCGGAATTTGATGCCCAAACCACAGAAAAAGAATTACAGTTCTAATTGTTGCGACTAGCATTTGATACAGCATTTACTAAGGAACTGCTGCAAAGCCATATTGTTCTAGCAGTTACCAATGGTTATGATATGACAATCTGGAAGAATGGAGATGGTGGTGCAAAGACTCTGTGCAGCTTGAAACTAGGGACTGATATCATGGTGAAATAAGCCAGAAAATTGAGCATGCATGAAACTTTTACTAGTTTTGTGAGTGGTGCAGATTTGCAAAAGATTCAAGCTGCCAAATGATTGAGGTACAACAGTGAAATGTTTCCATTTTTGGAAGTTTTGTGCCTCCCTCCACCCCCCCCCCCATAAGGTCATGAACAATTAATGAAAGTTACAAAGACCTTGTGGCAGATAAGCCATGTGCTAAAGTTATCCAATAAAGTCTTCTACTGCTGTTCCAGGGGGGGGGGGGGGGGGGGTTCACAAACATCCTAAGTTGAACTTAACTCTAAGTTGGACTTAAAATTATGGAGAGCCATTTGTAGCTTTCAAATTAAATATATTCAAAAGCGATTTAAAAAAATAAAATCCCCATCAAGAACATGAAATCATCTTGATAATAGAAAATATGATGATATAAATGATTTGAATAAACACTTTATGCCATTAAAAAAACCTTGTACAAAATATTTTCATAGATGCTAACAACTTTCCATGATTTTTAAGTCTAACTTAGAGATAATTCAACTTAGGATCTTTGTGAAACACCCCCTGGTCACGTAATTTTACATTTCGACATTACTTACCTGGCAGATTCTGCAGGAATTTTTCCCTGGCCTCCTTCTGCGTAGCCCTCTGCTCCTCCAGACTCGGGGGTTGCTGGGGCGGGGCCAGCACCCCCTCGGGCCACATGGAATCCTTGAAGTACCTGATGTAGAAGAGGATCATGGACTCCGATGTCAGCCAGTCTACCGTATCCCTCAGCTGCCTGCAATGGATGGAACAAGTTTTAGGGGCGTGGTTGCTTTAGAAGTGTACTCAGTTGGTGTTATTGTCCTCTATGAAATCAATAGTAAACAAATATACCATGCACTGAGAGGCTCTAGTTGAAACTATGGATCGAGGTGGCAGGAATGGCACAAAATAGTGCCATTTCTGTCGCCGAGGAATCCATAATTTTAACTAGTGGCTTGAAATAGCGCATTATATAGGTTTTATATTTTTCAAACCAACCTTCATAAAAATAATAATAATGACAATAATTATGTTAACTGTCACTGAAGTAGTGAAGCGTGCAGTGAGAGCAGCACGGACGACAGTACCGCGACCGCGACCGATGGCACATTGATCTTGATCGATCGCATATATATGACGTCATCCATGGTATAGTGCCATGGTATAGTTTGCACTATACCATGGATGACGTCACGGTTACATCATAGCAATGTTATGTTTGGTCACATGATGCTATGTTGACCAATCACTGAACAGGATTTCATTGATCAAAAATATAATAGAATCTATATATTTGGTTTATCAAATCACCTCTGGTAGTGGATATTTCAAGCAAAGCATGCTTTTATGGAAATAGAATGTGACTACATGTATACATGTACATCTTTTTAAAGAGGAAGTCCACCCCGATATCAAGTTGGTTTTTAACAAAGCAGAAGAATGAGAAAGGAAAATTAGTGACATTTTAAGAAATATCCAATTAAAAATAGAAAAGTTATCATTTTTTGAAGTTGTCAACAATGGAGCACAAACTGGCTACACTGTGACCTATCTTACGAGCTCCGTTCCACTTTGCTCGGTACAGAAAATTTCATTTTTTCCCCCCACTAATCATTGCCATACAAAACCATACAGAACTATAAAGAACCAGGGCCCTAAAAAAAAAAAAAAAAAAAAAAAAAAAGAACCAGGGCCCCCGTTTCATAAAAACTTGTTATCAATAACAAATGCTAGATTTCTATGGCAACTTTGCTCTCAGCCAATCAAAAGCCATGATTTATGTAGCTTATAACAGTCATTGCAACCTGTTTATGGATAACAAGTTTTGTGAAACAGGGCCCAGGAACTCACTTGTTGATGGATCTTCCAAAGGTGGCCTGAACGAAGACGATGAGGGTCCGTCTCAGCCATCGGAACATCCCGTGGAGCTCAAAGATCTCACTGATCAAGCTGTAGAAAGGCTCTGCAATGGAATCTTTCCTGTCTTGAGCGCTGCAACACGAAGGAAAGGAAAAGATTCAGAAATACCGGTAGGTGCATTATCATTTTGAAAGTATTACAGGTTTAGATGCCAAAAATGTGCAAAGATCATCACACATATTCTGGGATCAAATTATGTGTAGTGAAGTTTATACTGCTAGACAACAAAATGATAAATATATATCAAAGATATCACCGATCAATGCTAAGATTCAGGAATATGTGCATTGTACTTTTGAAAGTATTACAGGTCGAGGGGCCTTTCATTTCCACCAGTGTGCAAAGTCACACATTTACTGAGATCAAATTATACGTGGTGAAGTTCATACTGCTATTAAAGGCACACTGCCATACTTGTAGCTACTTGCTCCCTCTATATAGAAAACTTCCCCAATCGGTGCCTGTTGGTCCCCCATGATCCTCTTTTTCTTATGTTAAATGAGAGCTGAGTTAATGAGATAGCCACCTGTCACAGTGACCTCAATGGCTCTCTGTGTGGTCTAATCCCTTCTGGCCCAGTAGTGGTGACGGTCTTTAAAACAAAGTAATAATTATTTAATTGTATAACAGACCCTAATAAGATATTTGACATCACAAATCACTAAAATAGAATTAATCTTAGTTTTCAGATTTGAAAGTATTTTCTCATAAAAAGTAAATTATTTGTGGATTTTGTAATACAGGGTTGTTTAAAAAGAAGCACTGTTGGAGACGAAATTAGGAAGAAAACAAAGAAAAAAAACCCCACACATTCATGTAAATTAATTTGCTTAGTGCAACAATTGGCACCTACATTGACATACAGGGTGCAGTAACATTGCGGCTCTAACATTTCTAAAATGAACCAACATTTTTATCTTCGACCCAATGAAACATGGTATTCACATGTATACGTAAAACACTTACGTCTCCTCTTCAGCATCACTATCTCCTAGATTAGATCTATCATCTTCCGTTTGGGATATCTTGAAGATACTGGCCAATGAGAATCCACCTTTCTTTACCTCTTGGCTACAGACAAAAAAATGTATACAAATAACACAGCGTAAAAATCTGCCTTTTATTAACCACTATAGAAAGTATTATTCACTTACAGAAATATACCCCTACAGAAATAAGATCATTTCTATCATTCTAAAAATTCTGAAAATTTTGAAATACATATATAAGAGTAATATCATTGTTTTTGTACTATGAGAAATACTATATATATGTTGCTCTTAGAAATATTTTTCCAATAAACCTGAAATCAGATGGAAAAATATTTTCATGTAGATTTATGACTTAGGAAAACAATTATTGATATTTTGTATATTTTGTGAGGATCATTTGTAACAAGCCATTTATGTGCTTTTCATGATCCTCCCACTTCAGATATCCTATTATCTATGTTTGTCTCTTGAAGGTTATGTGATATTGTATTATATCTTTACGTGGAAATAAAGAAATGAAATGTAGGAGAAAGAAAAGGAAAGCTTACACAGGCGCATCGATCAAGATGTTTGGTTTGGGGATGAGGAACGAGTAGAGCGCTTCACTGTGTCTCAAGGTAGCATCTCCTAGTATAGCCTGGATTGAGAAAGACACAAGAAACCACACAATGATCATCTACTTATAACCTTTATAACACAAATACAGGCATTAAACATGATACTCTGAGTGTTATGATTAAGTGGTTCGTGAGCTTGGCTCTCAATCCTAGGGTTGAGGGTTTGAACCCCAGACTGGCAATGACATTAATCCACATTTGTCACTATTAACCCAGGTGTAAATGAGTACCTGGCAAAATAATTGAAGGGCCCTCATGAATAACATGGTCTGTCACACTTGGCACTCCTGATAGTCTACTGTTATAACTCCGGCTTTAGCATGGCTACTGTTAGGGGGTGGTCTAGCATATCAAGGAATTGATTCCTTGAAAATAGATCATTCAAATGAGAGCTTACAGCTTGAAGTTTGATCTTTATTTTATGTACTGAGAGGACAGAGTTTGCAAGAATTTGACAACATATCAACCACTGTAAATTTCAAGTACATTAGCATAGCCCTTCATGTATAGTATACTTTCAGTTTATGAATTTTAGAAAGACTTTATATTGTTCTTAAAAACCCAACTCTAGAATGATTCTCCACTTTTATCCAATATACTTTTCTTTTCTTGATTTCCTTTTCTATAGAAGAGCACTTGTAGAAATTCAGATATCACACAGGGTGGTTACTGACAGGTGGCTATCTCATCAACTCAGCTCTCAACTAACATAAGAAAGAGAGGATCATGGGGGACCAATGGTCACCGATAACGCATTGTTTTCTATATAGAGGGCGCAAGTAGCTACAAGTGGTACAGTGGGGTTTTAATGTCATACTCACAGTCAGATGTTTTTGGAGCTCGTTTTTTGATCTCTCCAAGAACTCGTTCATGGTTTCCCTGTTGAATAGCTTCTTATTATTCTGTGGTAGCTTGACCTTAGCTAACCAGTGACTGCACTGTTGGGGGAGAAGAAATAAGAAAACTGGTCACTCTAGGCTGATTTGATGACCAAGTTGTTGACCATACCAAGTTGTTGACCATACCAAGTTGTTGACCATACCAAGTTGTTGACCATACCAAGTTGTTGACCATGCCAAGTTATTGACCATGCCAAGTTGTTGACCATACCGGTATGAAGTGTAATACATGCAGGAAAAGAATGATGATGATTCTGTACTTGCTAAACTGCATTGTTCAGCTCCTTAGATATATTAAATTTGGCTAGATTAGAATAACAACAGGACCACAACAAAGTAATGCAATCACAGGCTTACAAATTACCTCTATTCAGGCATCTGATTATATGTGTGACATGACACATCATATTCGTGACCCACCCCCAGTAGATTTTACATCTTATTTATTATATTTCAATGTAAAAATTATGCTTTCACTATAATAAGATGCCAACATTTCTGCTCACAAAAGTAGAACCTGAAAGTTGCCAAGCGGGCAAGCAAAGTTAACCTCTGGATATGTTGTGCCTGTAGTTCTGTTAAAAAATATATAAAGCAATTTCACAATCTGAAGTCAAATCATCATCCGCGTCCACGTCAGAGATTAACATAAACATATACGTAATACATCAAATAACAGGATTGGGCCAAAGGGTAAACAGCCAAACCTGGTTTAGTGACCACCTGTCTACAGAGACCACATTTTTTGTTTCCCTTGAAAAATGGTTTCTCATTGAAACATGTACTAAAGGAGCCTGTCTATGAAGACCACCTGTCTACAAAGACCACTTTATGTGTTTCCCTTGGGCGGTCGCTATAGACAGGTTTGACTCTACTAACAAAGAAATGTACACTACCGGAACGAAACACTTTGATCACTTAGGGCGCGTTCAATGCTTGATTTTGACGGCCAGAATCAGGCATCTGTTACGCGTTTAGTCTAAAACACGATTGCGTTCATGCTCACTTTTGTAGAATCACCGAAAAACGGCGATCACGATCGCTGATCGTAAACTCACAAAAAGATGCGTTTACAATTTGTAAACGCGTTTAAATGGGGTCAACGCACTGACCTCTAGTGGGTCTACGTAGCATGCGCACACAGGTTTGCGAATCCAGCTGAAGGCCACCCAAGGAGAATTGCCTGGAGAAGTGAGCATGAAAAGTGCACCGTGGAACTGCGATTACGATGAGCGTTTACGATGAGCGTTACAAATCGCTCATTCTGCCTTCAAAATCAAGCATGAACGCGCCCTAAGATGTACATGTTATTGGAAAAAGCCTACATGAGTGAGAGGAGAAAAAGTAATTATCTACATCATGATCCATACCTCTTTGAGTCTGTTCTGAAGATCGTGAAACTCTCCCAGCCTTCTTGATACCACCCAGCCAGATGTGGGGATTCTCGGATCGGTGGGATGCACAACGATCAGAAAATAAATCTCGGATTTTCCATCAGATATATCCTGGATCTGAAAACAAGTCGAAAAAAAAAGGTTTGATAACTTTTGAGTACGAGCCCTATAAAACATGCCAGATGCATGAGTAAAAGGGCAGAAATGTCTACACATACTGCATCCATTTTTGTATCAAGACGATATTACCTTTTGATGCCAGGAATTTGAAAAAGGAAAATAAACTTTAAAATCCCTAAAATTGGCAACACATTGAGAGATTCAAAACCAATAAAAAACAAAAACAAAGTTAACCATTTGAAATCTTTTTTTATAAAAATTCTCGCCCACGCATATTGTTTTCATAGACATTACAGTTTATCTTAATGACGTAACAAAGAAAGAAATGTATTGTTGTTGCCAATTTGAAGAATATATGATCAATTTAGCCCTAAAAATAAATCCTGTCCTGAATAGGTTAAGATGCTATCCGTGGAGCAATTGTCATCAGAGCATGTGACGGTACAACCAACATGACATGCAGGTTCAGTTATCCACATATATCGAAGGATGGGTATGTGGCTTTTCTGTGGCATACAGGGGGCCCATTTCATAAAACGTGTTATCTATAACAACTGCTGAATTTCTATGACAAATCTGCTCTCAGCCAATCAGATGCCATGATTTCAGTAGCTTATAATAGTAGTTTGTGATTGTTATTGATAGGAAGTTTTATGAAACAGGGTCCTGCATGGGTCCATTGCATAAGGGGGGGGGGCGTTTCACAAAAATTGTCATCAGTGACAAATGACAATTTTTGTTATAAGCTACTGAAATCTTTGCTTCTGATTGGTTATCAACAGATTTGTCATTGATTTTTGTCCTTTGTCATTGAAAAAAGGCTTTGTGAAACGGGTCCCAGAACAGTCGGTAACTCAAATCTTACATCTGGGACGCAGACGTCCACCCTCCACTTATCAATATGTTCTGTCCAGAGGTCCGTCTGCTCGATGTAAAGCTCCACCCGTTTCTTCTGCAGTTTCAATTTCTCTATTTCGATCTCCAACAGTTGCTCCATCTACAATATTTACAATAAAAACAGAATATTTATATATTGCAATTTAAAATCCTCATGAAAAAATTCGCTATTTCGTTCTCTAATAGTTGCTCCATCTTCACAAAACAAAATAAAATGTAATACAGGTATACTTATTAAAAATGTAAAATTCTCATTAAATTGTTTTAATTGTCCACTGATCAGTTCAGATCAGGGTTTACCAACTTTAGGTCATTTTCAGGCTGTGCTACTACTTATACATGGCTTTAGAGAAGTAAATGTATTCATGCCCATATCAGGAAACTTACCCCCTGGAAAACTAACCCCCAGGAAAATTAGCGCCTAGGACAATTAGCCCCCCCCCCCCTCGGAAAAGTTCACCTTGATAATAAGTCAATTCTTATTTTTTTCGGGGGATACTTGTCCTCGTGGGGAGGGAGGGGGGGGGGGGGTTGTCCTAGGGGGTGATTGTCCCGTTGATAATTGGCCGGGGGTGATTGGCCGGGGGTGATTGTCCAGAGGTAATTGTCCTAAGAACCATTCTACCAATGCATTGAAATAGCTCTCACCTTAGAATCGACCCCATGCGTGCTCTTGAGATTAGAGAGCGCCTGTGACTTGTTGCTTAGCTTCTCCTCTATCCTCTGCAGAGTGCTCTCCACCGTGTTCCTCTGGTCAACCAGACTCTCCGAGGACTCCGAAGTCTCGTGGCTCGAGTTGGAGGAATCCTGAGGAATTGCAGGCCAGGGGGGTGTTTCACAAAACTTGTCATCAGTGACAAATTACAGTTTTTGTTATATCCTACTGAAATCCTTGCTTCTGATTGGTTATCAGCAGATTTGTCACTGATTTTTGTCATTTGTCATTAAAAAAGGCAATTGTGAAACGGGCTCCAGGAAGAAGAAATTCTTGTACATTTTCTTACCAATGTATAATAATGATAATAACTAAATGTCTTTGCATAACACACAGGCATAACTGCATGTCTCTATGCGCTTTACAGAACAGAGTACAGGAGTGGAAATGGTGCAATGGGTTCATAATTGTGAGATCTTATAACATGCTAAACAGATATGTTTTAAAATTACCTCCAAACTTTTTGTATGTTTCTAAGGTGTTTCTAAGGTATTTCTAAGGTATTTCTTAGGTATTCCGGTAAGTTATTCCATAAAACAGTGGCTGCATATGGAAATCACAATTGCCACTATTCCCAATAAATCTACCTCAACCCTTCCTTCATGAAAACTTTACACACCTCTCTGAAGCTGCTTTGCAGCTCATCTCTGACTGAGGATGAGAAGTCCTCTGATTCCGTCTTTGGAGCAAGTTCGTCGCAGAGCTTGGCGTAGTGCTCACTCACGAGGAAGGTAGGGTAGTGTTCCTGATCCAAAAGTTGATAGATCTTGTGCTGGGCATCGTAGAAAGCATTGGGTCCCTGGAGAAGTGATGATAAATAACAGCAATTGAAAATAATGGTAGTGAAAATATTAAGTGATGGAGATGGTGATGATGATGATTGTGATGGTGATGATGACGATTGTGATGATGATTGTGATGATGATGATGATGATGATGATGATGATGATGATGATGATGGTGATGATGGTGATGATGACAATGCTGTTGATAAGGAAGGCACATGTAGGGTAATGTTTATGGCCCAACAGCTGATAGATCTTGTGCTGGCATCGTGGAAAGTCAAGCATTTGGTCCCTCCAAGAATATGTCAAAAGTAAAATGAAAACAACATACTGTATCACACTGACTTTTGCTCAGGTGCTCATTGGGTGATCCAACACTTGCCTGGCAACTTCGGTCCAGATTTCATTTCGTCAAAGATATATTGTTAGGGATGCGAATGGTAGGGCTAGGTTTAGGGTCAAGATGAGTCGGACTTGCGTTCCCTGTGGGCCCTTTTCCATGTGAGCACATATGTGTGCATCAAGGAGGGCTACTCACAAGTCATCTCTTAATTAACTGTGAGTGTATTCAAACTTGCAATATATTTGAAGCTCATAAACTGAAAAAAGTATAGCAACATTGAATCCCTAACACACAGAACAAAATATCTTATGATTGGTACACAATAAAGTAGTCAGTGCATTCACTTAATTGATTGACGTACACGTGTATATACTGAAGGTTATTCCTTGTTACAGTTTATGCAGTCCAAACAAGCACATTCCTCAGAAAGAATAAACTTGTACATGGATGCTCACACTGAACATGTAAATATCTGGGAAGTGTATCAGTGAGTAGTGAAACTGAAGTGCTCTTCGATCCTTTGTATCTACTACAAACACAAGACCCCACTTTAACAAGGAAGGACAGATTTGTAGGCCCCAGATTACACCCCCCCCCCCCTCCATCCCCGCCTCTGTTTCTATGCAGTTATCCGTCACCTGGTAAGCTGTAGAACAAAAGACTGTGGAACAGAGGGCTAACAAAGCAGGTACTTTACAGGTGTGAGTAAATAAAGAAGAAGTGTTAGTATGCTAATGATGGTGTGTATTTCATACAGTATATGTATATGTATAATTGAGGCATTACAGCTCTATGCTTCACGCTATTGAGTATATAGTAGAAATAATTATTTCTAATATTTTAGATATATAAATATTTTTTTTTGGGGGGGGGGGAGGGGGGGGGGGGGGGGGGGGGAGTGGACATTAGACCAGAATAGTGGAATGAAATAGGATACAAAAAGGATCACTGCCCTAACATGTATATGTATAATCCTTTTGGGATTCTCATAAAAAGAATAACATTTCAAATTAAAAAAAAAGGAAAACAAATAAATGATGATGATGATGATGAAATATGGAACATCGTTTATAAACTTGTAATGTTTCATCCTTATTGATTTTATGGTAGGTTACTGACAGACACGAGAATTAGACAACCTTTACATGTATCTCAAAATAGGCCAACTTCCTATATTAGCAGATTGGCCATGTAAGCCCTAGGGATCATGAATACACAAAGTGTTGAATACTTCCTACCCCCCCCCCCCCAAAAAAAAAAAACAAAAACAAAAAACAAAAAAAACAAAAAAACAACAACAACAACAACAACAAAAAACAATAATAATAATTTTTTTAAATGGTAATAATACTATTAATAAATAAATAAATTAATACATTTATTTTAAAAGTAAAATGTACTTACTGCATTGCCAACCAGGAAGGCTTCCATGCCTCGTATGAGCTGCCTCTCCACCTTGACTACACTGCTAGTACCAACAAAGGTACGGTACACAGTCGTGGCGTTCATGTGCTGGTCACGAGGCTATGTGGTGACAAGGATACAGAGAGGTAGAGAGATGTAGAGGTAGAGAGAGATAGAGAGAGAGAGAGAGAGAGAGAGACAGAGAGAGAGACAGACAAACAGAGAGAGGGAGAGAGAGGCAGAGAGAAAGACAAACAGACAGAGGCAGAGAGAGAGAGAGAGAGAGAGATAGGCAGACAGAGACAGACAAGGAGACATACAGAGAGAGACAGAGAGAGAAGAAGGGGGGGGGGAGACAGTGAGAGATGGGGTTAATGATAGGTAAAGGTCATAAACAATGCTCCAAATAACTTGTTTGACATCACAGCGACTACCTATATAATACATGTAGTCCCTTTTGTCGTCTAAGCTGCCAATAGAACACTTTAACAATAAATCCATATGCTCCAATTCATGTACCCAACTACACTTACAGTGTGTATGTACATTTATAAACATTTAACATTTAATATTTCATTTAATTACTTCTTCTAACTACACATTTACATGTTTTACTTGGAAATGGAAGTCTGCCTGATTAATTACCTTTTTACTGCTTTTCAAACTCTCCACAGCTTGCCAGAAACTGAAATAAAAAGTTACAAAAAGAAATTAAAAAATTAAAAAAAAAAACAACCATCAGATACATGTACATTTACAATATCGAAGGGAATGTCTTCAAAGTGAATTCTTAACTTCAATATTTGTTGGCAATGGCCAATGAACACATTCACTGAAACCTGTTTATAAAGAGTGATTTAGGGAGACAAGAAAAGCAGTCTTTATAGGCAAGTGGATTTTATGTTCTTTCCATTGGTAAACTTGTTAATAAATTAGAAAAATTATTAATGGGAAAAGATATGTTGTCTAAGGTGGTCTTTCTATGCAAGTTTCACTCTACCTGCACTGTAGTGTACATGTACCTGCACATTTAAAAAAATTTACAAAGCAGATATTGTTCATTGATGTACTATTGTTAGGAATTGGTGTGAATTTTGTTGAATTCTATCATGATATAACTCATCATCATTATCATCATCATCATCATCCTCATCATCCTCACTATTACCATCACCATCGCCACAACCATCACCACCACCACCACCATCAGGAGTATCGTTTACATTTGATTTCCCATACTGTGGGGCTGAGGCTGGATGCTTCAATTCCTTAATGGCCTTACTCCAAGCCATCTGCTCTTTAGCACCCATCTTGGCGAGGACAGACACTTAAATGGCCGATGAATTCCATATGTTTCTCCAATTACAAACTTACTTCAAGAGGTCTTCTTTTCCTTCCTGCTTGAGGAAAGCCAGAAAGCAGTCCCTCTTCTTTCCATCCCCGAGGATCTCATCCAGAGACATGAGCCGTTGGGTCTGGTAGGCTTCTTCCTGGCCCCCTGCTGACCCTGATCCCTTGCAGTAGGACTGGTAGTGAGGTCCTCCAAGAAGTTTCAAGCGCTTCTCACACAGGGCCTTAGCAACATTGTTCTGGGGAGGGAGGGAAACAAAATATTTGACAGGTTTACAATTCTTGCAACATCTCTATCTTTCAAATATATACCGTATTTGCCGGCGATAAGGCCGCAGCGCCGTATAGGCCACACCCCTGATTTTGACATTTAAAAAAAAAAAAAAAAAAAGAAGAAAAAAAAAAGAAAAAAAAAATCTTTTGCCAAAGTCGGGATTTGATCTCTTGCGTACAAATGTTGATGTGACTAAAATCACTGCCTTAAACCGTGCGGCCATCCCGCGCTGATACCATACACTGCTGTTTTCTGTGATGTAGTCATTGAAATGGATTGAAAATGGATGCTTCGCGGCTGCTCTGTTAAACGGGCCCTTCTTTTACTTTTGCAATGCATTGGCACGAATTAGATCAAAATCTATCGGCAGATGTTGTTTTTGTTGCTCATGAAGGGAAACATCATTCATGAGATCTCACAATTTACCATCAGAACATTTTTCTACTCCTCACCTTATTAAAGTGTCAAGGTGCTTTCTACACTGTCTTATCTTGACCACTGTTCTGGCAAATAATGGAAAAAACAAACTACTGCATTGTCATTTAATACACGATTCAGCATTTCACCAGGCAGAATTTCAAAATATTCCAGATTAAATTTTGAATGCTAAGAGTATACATAAAGATATATATATATATATATATATATATATATACAGTGCATCCCAGAAAAAACGAAACCGAGAGCTGCGATTCATTTTAAGTTACGATTCATTTCAATCAATCGCATATCTTTATAATACAGGGCCCAGATTAAATGATGGTGTGAAAGGGGTTTGTGTTACCTGATTGATGTATCGCTTGAGATTCCTGCCCTGCAGTAGATCCCCTTTCTTGTTCCCTTTTGTTCGTCCCTTCTCCCCTTCCAGTTCGCCTCTCGTTTTCTTGAGGTCCTCTATGACCGTAGCATGCATGATCTCAGTTAAAATATGGTATCTGCAAAATTAAGAACAACATCAATTTTAAAAAAAATTATAAAAATCATTTAAAAAAAAACGTAACAAAACATACAAAAAACATACTGCCCTATTCATAGCAAAAAAACAGAACAAATACGGCAAAAACGAAACTGTTGGCATCTCTGCTCACCTGATCTGCAAGAGTTCATCGACATCGCTCGTCGAGTTGATGAGTTTGATGAACTCTTCGTAGGTCGCGGCGTAGGCGTAGTTTCGCTTGCTCTTCTCCACCAGCTTCTCGGTCCTCTCCAGGTGCATGAGGAATGTGGTGTTGATGAAGTGTGGACTGCACAGCATGTCCACGGCAGGCTTCAACACTAGGAAGAAAAACATCAAACCAAAAGAAGAGTGAAGGTAAATATCCACATGTATGCTGAAAGAACTTGATTGGACCACTCTACAAGAGCGCAGAGAAAATGACAGACTAATTATGATGTATAATGTACACAACAATCTCGCTCATCTTCCGGCTCAGGACTATATCACACAAGTCACCCAGTCGACGAGAGCCACCCAACCACATTCCTATCAGATGCTATACTCAAGAACTAAATCGCATCGGCATTCAATCTTTCCAAGAACAGTAAGGAGTTGGAATTCCCTGCCCTCAAAAATTGTTGCAGCATCATCAGTTGGAGCCTTCCGTAGTTGACTCCAGATGGTTGGTGACAGTGGCTAGTCTTCCTCCATCCTATACATGAGCTTGTAAATATTTGTAAATGAACTGTATTATAATGTAAATAGCACTCGAATGGACGTAAATTGCGGTTCACACACAAACGCACATAGTTTGCAAGAATCTTCAGTCAATCGAAGGAGGCAGACTTAATCAGAAGAAGAATAATTGTAGTTTAGTGGAACTGTACAAGCACCAACCCTTATTATTTGACTTGACAGAGAGTAAGAAATATCATTTTTGTATTCTTTAATGATTACCTTTATGTCATTCTGATATACCAAAGTATAAGTTAGTGCAAAATTACACCAAAATCTGAGCGAAGGACAACATTTTCATGACACAAGACTTATATGTAAATTGGACACTGCCAAAACTATATGTGTCCAATCTCTGCAAACTCATTCAAAATTACATGCAGTTTTGGATTTTCATCTTACAGATAACATCTCAAGGCTGTAAAAAGAAGTTCAAATTAAAGTATCTCTCAACATTTGGAGCACATTTCTGCATGATGCACATGTATATTACATTTCTAGACCGATTGTTGATGTTTGTCGCTCGCACAGTCAAGAGCACTTTGCAGACATGGGCCTTAAAGGGAATGGGCCGTTAATCTTTCCTGTGCAGAAGGTCATAATTCGCTAAATCCAGACTTGGTGGAAATACCATTAATGGGTGTACAAGTCTGGGAGTCTTCAGGTGATGCAAATGTCAGATAAGAACTTTACCATATGGGGAAAAGACAGAGCATTACAAGAAGCTTGTTGGTCGTACAACTGTAGGCTAATCCTGGAGATTGACAGCACCTGTTATTGGGTAAACAGTGTCAAATTCCCCATGAGAGCCCACTTCTTTGTGTTTTTAAACCTTACCTTGGCAGGTGAAGATCTCTCTGAGGAGCTGTCGCGCCGTCTCACACCCTGCCAGCCTCTCCGGAAGAAGGAGGACCAGGAGCACCTCCACCGCCTCCCGGAAGAACTGCGTCTCCGCCTCCTCGCTGGCTAGGGATGGGTGCAGGTAGAAGATCTTGGGCTCTTCCCCTTCCCTGCACATTGACAGAAATTGGGAGTCCTTTTTAATAGGGATATATATACATGTACATGTAAACTAGATATTCATATTGTTGATTTGGAAAAGTCTGTGTAAACATACATTGTACAGCTGAAAGGTATTTACATCACAGAGTAACAAATGAAATTTGTTTATACGTACATGTTGATAATGAATAGAGCGAACAGTTCCAAATGTAGGTACTGTGCGATTGAGCTCTTACATGTAATTCAACAGGAGCCTACAACCATGCGAACATATTCTTTATTCTCTATGCCCCTCCTTTTCTCTCTCTCTCTCTCTCTCTTTCTCCCTCTCCCTCCGACACCCCTTTTTTCTTGTTTTCTCTCTTGCTCTACATGTGTTTTGTTTGTTTAATATCATGAATTTCTCTACTTATCCGTTGGTACACGTAGTTCTTTTGCTTAACTGGTATTTTATATTTCCATCCTCTCAGCACACTTTAAACATACCTTACACTGGTTTCCCTCAGCTTCTGGAAGTGATCACAAAGCTTGTACACAACATCACTGGACAGGAAGCGCACCTACAAAAGCACAAGAAAACATGTCACATAAGATCAATCTGCTCTCGTTGAGGCTATCTATCATACTCCAACTGAAGACTCTGTACAATAGATGCACAAAAATACTAATACACTTTTACCAGCAGGCATACATCTATGCTTTCTAGTTTATACCCACTTTCTCAAAACATGAACTGCAAAACACTTTACACATTGCAGTGTAAGGAAACACATGAACAACAGTAGGGCCTACTAGTTAGAATACTATACATACCTGGGCCCGTCTTATACAGAGTTGCCATTGATTTGGATCAATCCCAAATCCTCAAATCATTTGCAAGTTTGCAGTCTCCTATCTCTTATGTACATAAATGCTATTGAAATCAATTGCAAATAAGTTGCGATTGATTTCAATTCTTTATAAGATGGGGCCCTAACCTTACATCAAGCATATATTCACAAATTATTTGAAAAGAAAGATGGCCAAGTTTTTTGTGCGTTTTTTTTACGGTCACACGTTAAAGAGATGTAACAGAGATCAGGGAGAAGGGACAAACTGGAACATCCCCTCTTCTTGATCGCTTTGCTTCAATCAAAACAGTCTTTCAAAGCCTGACTGCACTACTTATAGCTACTTGCCCCCTCTATATAGCAAACAATGCCTAATCAGTGCCTGTTGGTCCCCCATGATCCTTGTTTTCTTATGTTAATTGAGAGCTCATTCTATGAGATAACCACCTGTCAGTGACCTTGCAGGGAGGTCTAATCCCCCTGGCCAAACTAGTGCAGACCGGCTTTTAAAAAAAATCGGTCCAAGTGGAATGCAGGCAGTTATACAAATGACAAAAGGATATATATACTCACCATGTCAATTCTTTTTAGTCTCATTGCCATATTATGGACCACCTCCCACATATCATTTCTTGTATGAGAATTGGAGAAGAAAAAAACAAAAACAATAACATTTAATTAATGCACAAAGTCATCAATACTACAGGAAACAGCAGAGTATAAACTGGGTTCAACAATCACATGCTTTTTTTTCTTCTTAAGGGTTTGTTTAATTACAACATTGTGATCCGATGTGATTGAATTTATGACTGATTTCTGATTTTTTTTTTTACAATAAAATTTCATGATAAAGACAGGAATCCATTAAAATGTCCCTTTACAAATATTTACGCATCAATGGACAGCACATTGTCACAACATTAACATCTACATACAACATAAATATCATTTCATGACTGCTTTAGGGAGTTTAAAAAAAAAAGAAGTCGTGAAAATAACTACATGCATTAACCACATATATTCCTAAATGAATTTTGACAGGATAAAGCTGTTTCATGGCATTAATCTTATTCACATTTTGTACATTTCTGTTCAAATGAACATTACTTTTGTTTACGGTAATAAAAATACAAAAAATATTTAAAAGAATTATAAAAATAGATACTCACTCTAAAGCATCAGTAAAAGTAGCACCATCTTGTCCAAGAGTATTGTACCAGAACATCACATAGTCCCTGACCGCCAGATGAAATACTAAGCCAAAAATATAAATAATAAATGAATAAAAACTTAAGAGACATCACTAGCTACAATATGTAAATAAAAACAAACAAACAAACAATTAAAACAGAATGACTCATAAAAAATTGCAGCACTGGACTCAAGAAGTATTGTAAAGGATAGCAAGGGATTAGCAACTTTCATTTTTAATTTTACCAAAAGAAATATGGGCAAATTTAAAACATCTTGACAAACCTAGAGTAGGAGACTACATGTGTATGTACAGAACCATCTTTTCATTTCTTCTGGGTAGTCTTATCCCATTGCATGAACAGGTAATGATTTGAATTTGAAACAAAAGTGGGAGCTTGGGAAATATTTGTTTACCCTAGTCCCATCTATGCATTTGGAATAGGATCAATATTGACAAGCATGATGGGGGATCTGGGTTCGGGACACTCAACAAACATCCTTCTCTGTTGCCTTCAGATTGAACGAAAAATAGTCATCAAATAGCACTACCTGTCATGAATATTTGTCCTTTATAATATTGTCAGATTTGAGTACTGGTATTTTGATTGATGAAGTACCTTTTATTGCTTGTACATCCAGAGCTGCCAACCTTGTGCGACCAAAAAAAGGAATCATGATGGCAAAAAAAAGGAATTCATGAAAACGAAACTTACAACCACGCGCGACACACTTCCAATGCAGAAATGTTCATTCCTCATGCTGTTTTTTTCCATACAAGCAGGTATTTTTGTTTTGGTTATTTTGTTATTATCGGCATTTCATTCTTTTTGAAAATATTTTTCTCTTTCAAGTATGTTTTAAAATTAGTTTTCTATTGAATTTGAGATCAGATCACCATTTTTGGGCAGTTGTTTGAAATGTGGTATGTAAAAAAAAAAAAAAAAAAAAAATTATAAAAAACGTATTTTATGAAGAAAAAACGTAATACCGTAATTTGGATGAAAAAACGGAGTAATTCCGGCAAAAACGGAGTAATTCCGGCAAAAACGGAATGGTTGGCAGCTCTGTACATCTCTTTAAATTGCTGTGTTTTAAATAAATAAACCTGTCTGGACACATAATGTCTGGGTTTAAATGTTCCTCTTACGTTCTCTGATGGCATTGTCAATGTTTCGTGATATGACGACCCGTCTTCCTGGTCTTCTCCTGCGACCTTTCAACTCCTGTCAAGCAAAAAATGTGAAGAAACGTAGTGAAAGATTCCTTACAAATAATGGCCCCCATTTCATAATTTTTTTTATCCGGAACAAGTTAACTGTTATAAGCTACTGAAATTGAAGCATTTGATTGGCCGAGAGAAAATTTGTCTATGCACTGTAAAAGAAACTGTGTGGAAGTGATTAGAAAAAGTAAATAATATAGCACATCAGTACTGGTGCATACTTTGAGGTTTTGGAACCTCGAAATGATTAGAAATTGACTTCTGTCTTGCCAAAAGTCGCATGCACTACACATAGAAATGTGAATACGGGACTACACTAACATGTCGCAAGAAAGTGTGATCCCCAACCTATAATTATTACTTGTCATGTTTTGAATATAAGTGCATTTGAAGAACCATCCTCATCAGGAGACACTTTTTCTACGACACTCTTCCATACTAACATAACAAGAATTAACGAGCTCACAAATGATTTGTAAACTTTCCCAGAACTCAACCTCCTCTTTAAAGCATTGTTTTACAATGTTTCTATGAGATGCATGGCCCTATGTGTTATCAGTGTCTCAGATATGGTGTAATATTGTGAAGAAATACCCCCCCCCCCTGTTTTTCCCTTAATTTTCGTTTTATATTTGTCATTTAGCAATACCAGGACTAGCCTGATTTTATCTTCAAAGAATTGTAAAGGAAAACTTATCTTTTATGAAATAGGTGTAAATGATTGTTTACTACAGCGATCAATGAGCGTAGTAACGGCAGCCGATTAGTGCTATTTTTAGATTCATTCAAATACACAGAATTTGCTATGTGGGACCGGGTATCTGAAACATCGTGTGCGATGTTGAACTAAGGTGAATAATTCGTTTATGTAATCACTTACCTTGTCAATGTTTCCTTAAATAGTTGCTTGGTGTCACATTTTCCTAGACTACTTCTTAAATAATGTAATTTAGTTCACTAAAAGTGAATTCCACCTATTGAAAATGGATTAGCCGGTATTTTTGGACTTCGCGCGTAGTGACGTCACCAACTTTTGACCAATTAAAATTGCGGGAGGCTGCAGTATTTTTCTCAGCCGATTTACGGCCCGGGGTCCCAGTATAAAAGGGGATGAAAAATGTAACAAATATTATACTGCATCTCAAATTCAACATTGTAAGACGATCCCTAGTCAAGTTCAATTTCAAGTTCAATTTCAAGTTCCATTTCAATTCCAGACAGAAAAAAGAGTGAGTTATGAAATATTTTTAATATTCATCTCTTGTTATATTATTGCATAATATCTATTCCTATTTTATATAAAGGGAAATTTAGAGAATTTATCCACAAAGAATATTAATGATGAATCTATTTGGGGTTAAGCCCGACTTTGTATTTGATTGTTTGATCAATTGCTTCATGGAGTGGGAATTATTATCGAATGTTATTATTTGCTGGCTGATTTTAAAAATGTATGCGGTACAAAAAAAAGGAACTAAAGCAGAGTTTTGTTTATTTCTATTCCCTTTTATTCATTACGAAGTTTAACAAAAAGAACACAAAATGAAACATCCGGAGAGAGTGAAAGAAATAGGAGTGACGTAGTCACTCAAGGGTGCCTCATAAATAATGTAGTCTGTACTTGTAGATATTAGACAATAAGCTTTGAAGACTTGAGTTGTACTCGTAGAATTGTACTTGTACTATATTAGATAATAAGTAGACCTTAAAGACAGTAGAATGTGGAATTGTAGCTTGTAGATATTAGAATTGTACTTGAAGAATTGTACTGTATGAGTTGGACAGTAACTAGTAGAATGTTGTACTTACAAGTTATATATGAAGTACACTGAACATGAGTAAAGTACACTGTACAATAAGTTTTTAAGTGTAGGCCTACATCTACACTAGATAATAATTGGATTATGCTACTTATATTATTGCATGATTAGATTATAATGTTAGATTACAAAATGGTAATGACATAAATGTAGATTATTACAACTTTTGAGGAGTTGTATCGTGCATGAATGTTACCCCCCCCCCCCTCCCCCCTTTCCATTTCTGCTTGGCTGTGGTTGGAGACTATCCACCGTAACAATCTCGAATAGAGAACGTTACGGTGGATATGGAAGCTTGCTTGAGATGTTTATCCTACCTGCAATAGTTCAATCCTGAATAAGGAACGAATGTTATGATCGAGACCGTGAGCCTACATGTACCTTACGAGTTACGACAACAAGTGACCAGCCTACCTTTTAATGACCCCTTTAGATTTCCTATTTCTGTAACTCATTTATTGACCACCTACATGTATCCTATTGTATTTATTACTTCTACCGTAAAATGTTATTAACAGTTGAACAAGCTTATATTAAGACTTTGTTAGTCTAATGTTATAGGAGATAAAATCTCGAGGCTATTTCATTACAATGTAGTTCGGGGCAAGAAAGAGGCCGGGGTGGTAGAGAGCCAGGAACATAGTAATGGCGGAGTTGGCAGGACGCTTAGCCGGATTGAGAAGTTTTATAAGGAATGGAATGTACCGCTATGCTGGCATAGGATATTAGGGTGAGAAGAATAGAATAGAACAAAGGTCTACACTATATTGCTTGGATCTGTAAGTGATACTGGTATTGGAAGATTAATATTCATACATTTGAGACACTTGCTCTTATCCCAGTCATTTCTAGACAAGTAGTGGTAAACCGTAAAGTTAGTTAATGTAAAACTAATAAGTGTACACTGTACGCATAGTAGGTTTAGTGACGATTAAATTGTTGCTATACACTGTACTTATTTCTAAAGGACATCCATGTAACCTAGGATCGTAGTTTAAACATGTAAATGTAAATACTAAGTTATAAATAGTTATGATCGAACAGGTCACTTTTACTCTTCACGCGTTTTGAATTGCTGAGTTTTACATTGTTAAAGATTGTTTACATTAATAAATGTTTTGAATTGGGTACAACCCGAATTTATGGTTTCCAAAACGAGAAATTACTTAGGCCTGGTTTAGTCGCACAGATGCCTGAATGAACTGAATATGACTGTTGATGTGATTGAGTAACTTAAGTAACTTAATAAGAGAGTGGGTATATTTCGAACAAACGTTCCCGTCATCGACGCTCGACAATAGAATATTCTTACCATGCTACTCGTGAGACAGGAGGCGAGAATGAGTGGGAATCAGAAGTATGTGAGATGAGATGAGCTGAGCGTCTGTGTTATTGTTGAATGATTGAGGTTCACTGAACCACTGCCTGATTGATGATGTTCACTGTTCATGTGCGAGTACGAGTGCACTGAACAACTGCCGTTGTTAGGCCAGGTGTTCACTGTACACGTGCGCGCCCATGTACGCTGTACCTATGCAAGAGATGTTCGCCGTACACATGAGAGTGCATGTTGTACACTGTACAAGTTGTATGTGTGCAGGCCGGAGTACACTGTACGTTGTCTTGGATGAGAGCTGAGATGTATACTTGATTGAATGTTGATGTGGCCAGTTAGTATTCAATTAGGCTTAGTAACTGAGATATTAGATGGACTTAATAGTTAACTTACCAGTCATGTCCTGGATGTTTGATGTGCTGGTCAAGTGGGAAAGAGATGATGTATCGTGGTCGGGTTAGGTGGTCAGTCCGGTAGAGAGCAGTTGAGCAGTCAGATGTGTGTATGATTGATTGTGTGTCATGCGCAGTGCAGTGTTCAGTTTACCCTCGCCCCTAGTGAATTACCCCCCCCCCCCCTTTTTTCTGTAATCGCAGAGCTCATGTGTTGTCTTACGTCACTTTGTATTCCCGTACAGTCGGTTTGATTATCAGATCGTCTGTGAGGGTTCATACCCCTATAAAAGTATGTGGTGGCAGCATTTACCAGTTTGGTGAGGAGGGTCTCACGTCACAATATTAAAGCCCTAAACAAATTGCAATTCAAAATGATCATGAAGTGCCTCAAAAATTAAAAATCTTTGAGTGAACGATTTTACCATACTCATTTTCCCAATAGACTGTAGTGTTATAAAAAACGTTGGGGAAAACGGTTGTTGAAATATTGAATTCCAATCATAAATATCTTGATAATCAGACAGGCGATCAGCTTGTAAAAATCATGGGATTCCTGACTGACCTAAAGGTTTATAATTATGATTGCAGCATGAGCTAAATCCAAGATTTTGTTTAGAATCTGAGGCAAAGATACCCAATCCCTTTATTAAAGCTTACCATAATCTTGGTAACCAACGTCTGGAAGGTCGGAGGGGGCTGATGGGTAATCGGGGGCTTCTTGATCTTCCCAGAGAACAGGACCAGGGAGCAGCCCAGAATGAAGCCCACAAGTCCTAGTCCAAGATAGAGCCATGGTGAAGAAGAGCTCACTAGCCCGAGTCGACACGAGGCCGCGAGGAAGACTCCGAGTCCGGCAACAGTGTAGATATTGAGGAACCTCCCAATGAAGATCATGGTTGTACAAACAAATTGTCCACCCTGCAATACATTGAGTTTGAGTTAATTAACAACAAATATAATATAGACCTAACAAATAAAACATAATGTATCAATCATCATATCATGATTACATAAAATATTACAATACCCTCCTTATCTCTTACTTGATACAAATCTTGTTGGATGTTTCGACATAACATTAACATGTGTGAATAGATATTAAGAATATATATTTTAAAAGGCGAAGCTACAAGTATGGAGTGAAATTCAGACTCCAAGTACTGTATCAACAGACAATGGGACTAAATTGTTTTGCAGTTATTTGGTAATTACTAATAATGGTTGTTGTGGTATGAGAGAAAAATGAAAATACATGTAGAGTCTATGCAATTATACATGATCATGACTAGACCTACATACATGTTCATGTATACATGTAGATCTATGTATGCATAAAATAAAGGTGAAACCTAACCAATATAATGATAAATTATATCTATGATTTTCCCCCAAAATAAAAATGGGACAGGTTTTCCAATTTTCAAACATCAATTTGCATGTTACATGCAATTTCTTGATTCAAATTATATGGGATTGCTCTGTTTTTATGCTTTGTATTTTCCAAATCATACAAGCCTTTATTTAGATGATCTTCACCATGGCATTTGCTTTAAAAAATCACTGTCTACTTTTGTTTCCATCACAGTTTTTGCTATGATCATCATGATCCACTTAGTCCTTAGTATACAGTATAGTGCTTACCTATAAAGCTGAGAGAAGCAAAACAATTGGTACTGGTAGAGAAAATGGCCTTGCTGTTGGTCCTGTAACTTTGAAGTTTCTGTTCTTTTGTAAGCTAAATCTCCAAGTCCAACACGGGAGAGGCGCAGGGCTATCGAGAGTCTCCTAAATCGACCTAGCGCCTCGACCTCTACTCTAGCTAGAGTCAGGCTCTAGCTCTTTCTACTGCTTTATTCCAGACTTTTACAATTATAGTTAGCATTCCATGTATGCTTGTGATTCTAGCTGCATACCAAAATAGAAGAATAAATGAAGATCACATCATCACAGCACAGCAGCATTTTCCATACTGCAAGTGCAAGTTCAAACGGTCTCTTCGGCTAGCAGTCAATTCTTTCGTTTGCATATTATTATGCGAGCAGCTCAACAAAGTTAAAGACGTGGATGTGTTTACTCGGCCGGGATAATCACAGACCAAGGATAAGGCCTTCCAAATGCATGCAGCGCACACAATACTATCGAACAAGTCACGTCTCGGCGCTACCTACTCTCAGGGCTACGGCTAGTCTAGGGACGGCGGTGGTCACGGAGCGGCTCGGGTGTGCGCTCAAGCAATATCGAAGCTATTGTTCCTAATCCAACTCTTTGTTTACTTAGTTGAGATTGTACGGAACGCCAAGTGTTGACAAGAATGGGTACAGAGTGCCAAACGGCATGTTCCCTCAGGAATTCGGTCGGGGCATAAATTGATAGCTGACAAACATAAAGCAAAATATCTAAAATATATATTTTTTTAAATAACCTACACCCGGCCCGATATGTTTCTGTTTCACCATAATCCGGCTATTAAAGCACATACAAGTAAATTTAATTTATTCATGAATCTATATCATCCAGACACTGTTTTTTTTTGCCTTTGGATTTCATCAAAATTACGCATCTAATATACTAATAGTAATAGATGCATACTTTTCCTGAAATGGGATCAACCGTCATAAACTTTCCCCCTTTAGAATATTTTCTAAAATTTTATATAATCAAGTCCTGAAGGATTTATAAAGATCGACTATGTTAACTTCTTCAAATATAATTTGAATCAATTAACTGTCCAGATAACAAACCAGGCGCGTAAGCAGGGGTGGGGGGGGGGGGGGGGGGGGGGGGGTAAAATCTTTAACGAATTGGGCAACAAAAGAAAAAAAATAGTGGTCATTACCCCCCCCCCCCCCCTAATTACACACACATCAGTTCACCTCCATTTGTTGTCTTCCTCTACTTCATATGAAAACCAATCTCTCTCTCCCTATATCTTCGTCTTTCTAGTTGATTTATCTAACTTCAAACAAAGATCATTTTGCCATGCCCTTGTAATCTGGAACTTATGTTTATCTTTTAATAATATATCTTTAGGTCGGCCACTCATTATATAAGGGTCACTTCCTTTCTGGCTGCTGCCTGCTGAGCAACTTTTATATTGTTGTACCAATGTGTAACCATGTGTTGTGTTCTATTCTTTTATGTAACAATGTATAGTTCTACGAATGTATGTTGTATTTTTTGTAAATGCTTTGGTGAAATAAAATTGAATTGAATTGAATTCCACCACCCCATCTCTCTCTCTCTCTCTCTCTCCTCCCCTCTATCTCTCTCTTGATCGCTCTATTCTCATATGTCTTACCCTCTCCCCCTCTCTCTTTCTCATCATGCAATTTTCAGCAAGCAGCTAGGAAATGCAAAACACAAGTGTCCTTTCTTATCCCATTCTAACCCTTCATCAAAATACAAAAATAATGAAATAATCGACGGACATAAAATAGTTATTCTCGTTTTAAAATAACTAATTGTTTCATATAAAAAATTTAATGGAAGAAGATAACGTCTGTTTGCAGCCAGAAGGGCTTAGCTCATACATTCTCGTTCTGAACCGATGATAATAGTGTACCAATATATACATATATATATCTCTCTCTATATAGATTTATTTAACCTATCTACAATTCAATATCAGCATTAGATTCATATCATGTATACATGGACACAAAATTCAGTGGCAACAAACAAATAGATGGAAAGGGTGAATAGGGGAACTCTGGGAAGCTGGTGAACCAAAAACCTAATCTGAATAATTCATTGTTTTTTTTCTCGTAGCTTTCTTTGTTTCACCATAGAAAAATTCTTGGCCGGTATGAGCCATGATCCCCAGGGACAAATAGCAATATCCACTTGACTTTAACCAATGAAAAAAAGTGCAACAATAATACATAAATCTGATTTAAAAACGACTTCCCATATCTTGTGTTTATTTTCAAATGCAGAAGTGGCTACGATTATTTTATACAAAAGGGGTGGAGATGGAAGGGGGAGGAAATGGAACGTGCAGGTAGATTACTTAGTCATGCCGCTGCAACACTTTATGTTGTCTATTTAAACATAAATGACAGCAGAAATTGTATTAACTGACAATGTATAAACTGGGCGATTTCATGCTTGATGTTCTATTATGATTTTGCCGGAAATAAACACTATTACAGAACGTAGCAATGTAAGATGGTTTCGATGGATGCCTCCTCAACGTTTTACACTAAACACCAACACCGTGTTTGAAATCACCCAGTGTCTGATAAGTGTAACTGCTTCTCGACACCAGTTCTAAAACACTCTGGTAGAAAAAAAAACATCAACTCTATGCCAAAGTATTGACAATATAAGTTTTCACTACTCTAAAAAGAGTTCACACATTTGCTTTACCATGAAGAAATATTGTATGAAATCAAATATCATCATGACAATAACATTTTAGGATATGAATCTAAATTAGAACATGATAGGGAAGAAACAGTCTAAGCAGGGCATTATATCAATGATTGTCTATTGGTTGGAATGGTTAGAAATTTGTCCCGATGTTTAAAACACAAAGATTAATTAACAATACATTTTTTTTTTTAAATATCTCACAATAAATTGCATTTTAAAATGCATACAAAGGCAAGTAGGAACATTCAATACCATGAGCTCTCATGACACTTGATTTGATCAAATCAGATTGAATCTGAGACAGGACCTACGATTATCAACAGACATACAAATATTTTATTTCAGAATTGAACTTTTAAGCAAGCATTGTGACTCAATCATATTAAAAAATATAATCAACTTCTTTACGTAGGAGCCATGAACAGCTGTTACAAAATAGCATATCATTGACTGCAAACTTAATTTATTTAAGAATTGAAATTTACAAGCAAGCATTGTGACTCAATCATGTTAAAAAATATAATCAACTTCTTTTTGTAGGAGCCGCAAACAGCTGTTACAAAATAGCATATCATCGACTACAAACTGTTTTTTGGGAGAAAAAAAACAAAGGGTTAAACATCGTCTAAAGACGAAATTGTAGGTTTACTTGATACTTTGACACAAATGAATTCACAAAATGCACCCAGAATGGAAAGAAAGACACTGAAGCAAATGTATGTAAAATGCTAAAATGCTTAAATAAGAGTCCCATTGCCACAAACTGTGTAAAATATTTTTTCTTTTCCAAGCAGTTAAAGAAATATTTTTGCCCCATTAAAACCACATTCCATTCCTACAAAACAAAATGAAAGGATACAATAGAAAATCTTGACATGCAAGTACAAATTCAATAGAAAAAGATAATGGCATCATATAATGATAATAATAATAATTGACTCTTATAGCTGTTCAATTTATCTGATCAGCCTTAATTAAACAGATTCAATTAAAACAATTTGGCAGTGGTTAATCATAACTACAGGGTAGAAAGGTACTGTTGATCAAATTAGGAATTGAATAAATGACAAATAATTCATTGCTGAATAAATTTCTTTGATAACAAATTAATTTGTTTCTAGAGAAAGTGACATACTAAAGTTTACATCTAAAAGTATTCAACAAAGAACCTAACTCAACCTGTCCACCTTTCATTCTTGAGTTACGGAACACACAAACAACATCAAATTTTTACAAGGAGTATGAATACTGCAGTATAGTAGCAACTTGGTATAGCATATCACTATATTAAAGCTGTACATTTGGTGCAAGCCGATACATGTCCAAATTCACATTACACCGATACAAAATAGTGCCTATCAAAAAATAATAAACACATTTACATAAATGCTCAGGAACAATGTACGGTCAGGCATAGACATCCTAACTAAACCTATACCCAGCCTAGAAGCATCATCTATAAATATAAATGCCCTCAATTGTAATTACGACTTTTCACCTCAGTTGAATGTACAGCTTCATTTTATTTATTCATTCATCTATTTATCTACCTGTCTATAAATTCATGTATTTCTTCATTCATTTATTCATCAATTCATCTATTTACCTATTCATTAACCATTTTTTTGTCAGTACTGATTTGAATGTATGAAGACTTCTTCACAGAAGTTGGCAGAGTCAATATCATTAAAAATGGCTGACTCCAAATCATCGGGACGGGTCAATGCGTCGGGTCGGGTGGTCACTTTACCCAAACTTCTGTGAAAACATGCCCCCTCCATTCATGAAATGTCAGGGATGTTTGTGAAATAAATCTACAAATGGTCTGGTTCTGAATTTACCTGACAGTTTGTGAAACCCTACAGCAAATCTACGAAATTTCGCTTCATCTTCCTTGTTGGTTTTACAAAAGGTTGTGTAATGCGACCACTCAACAGGACGCAATGACCCAATGATCCGAAGTAAGCCTTAAGAAAAGGGAAATCACAAGCTCCTTTGAGGACAAATTAGGTAGTATGATCTTGTGTTCACTCAAAATCAAAGTCTCCATATGAAGTTTAATTCCAAAAGGAGCTAAATCCATTTTTGTGACTTCAGAGAAAAAAGAAATAGTTTACCAGATTTTGTACAGGCGTCTAAGGAAAAATTATATTAGAAGATGCATTTTTTCATAATTGCTCTAAAAAATTTAGGTAAATAATTTTGTTGAAAGACGGTTACTTAAGTGAACAATGTTCTGATATCAATAACTCAATTTTCATCAAAAGTGGATTTAGCTCCTTTTGGAATTAAGCTCTTCATATATGGTTGATAATTCCTTCAGGTATACAGGATCACAAGAATACTATGCAAGTAGCAACACTAATAATGTACATAAACTCATGTTTTGTGGCTGTGTATTTTCTTTGGCCATTCATCAATATAATGCCCTCATCCACGTCATTTTCACACACCCAATTTGATTAGTTTTAAATCAAATATATAAACAATGGCATATAACAAAACAAACAAACAAAGGTCTGTTAAGTATATGAATGCTACTCATGCCATTGTAGATTCCCTCATGCAACAACAATTCATGTATTTTCTTCAAATTATCAATTAACAACTTGTGTTGGAACTCAACAAAAGGCATCATCCATTGAGGCTACCATGTTTCATCCGAAAAAATTGCATCATATCCATCTTTGGGCATGGAAAAAGCTCATAGAAAGACAGAGTAATGCACACACTCAAAATATCATTTATCAGTTCATAAGTTCATATGCTACAAAAATAATCTCCCTGTGGCATATAATCTTTATCATCATAAGATAGATACATGTATATGAAAAAATTTCCAGCATGAAATTGATAAATATATGTATATATCTGTGTTCAAAAGCTAATAAAGACCAGAAATGGCTATTGCTCCGGTCACAAAGGTCTTCCCGAATGCCCATGGTCTGAAAATCATTCGTATGGCATTCGTAATGGCATTTGTGACCGATGATTTAGTTAGAAAAGTCATTGTGTTGCACAAAGCAATTCTTCATTCAACTGGTGCCCATTTTTGTGCAGAAAAGCATGCATGCATGGTAGTGGTTTACATATAACGGGCTATATAAAGAGTAACATGTATACAGGAGTTGATATAAATTCAAGTGAAAAGGGTACCAGACAAGAGAGATGGGGCAAATGCTTTGGATGACATTAAACATTGCAACATTGAGCCATTGTAAATGAGATGAACTACAACATGTACGTGTTGCATATGTAAAGACGGCCTGACAGTAGCATGCAGTAAATAATTAAGTAATATTGACTGCTTTTAATATGGCAATACGATATATGACAAGTCGTATTGCCCTGAAGGCAGTCAATATTACTATTATTAAACACATCAGACATCTGAAACTACATCACTTGGGTGCAATTATATTGCAAATTTTTCTTGTGAAAACCCAAAACCCTTTCGCAAGTATGAAAAGTTTGCAAATTTGGCAGTACTGTGTTAATTTTTGCTAGCCGTAAATAGTACTTTTGGCAAAATAGTGTGTATATTTTTGATCATGTGACACACTTTAAACCAATCAATGAACTAGAATATATGAATGATGTATAGAATTAGCTATACAAACATCAAATGATCATACTAATCACATAGCGGTACATTTACTTATTACAACTAATAGGCAGTATGCAGCAATATATTCCAACTGGTAATAAAATTCCCATATACTGATATATGTGTATAATGCCAATGTAGAATACAACAGTTGGTCTCCTTTTTCCAAAGCAAACAGAAGGTAGAAACGAATCTGCAAGAATTTTTTTTCCCTACGAGTTATTGCCAATGCAAACGTTAAGCAGAGAAGCATATTTTCATCAGAGCATTTCAGTGCTCTCTTTTGGCTTAAAATCAATATGCAAGTACAAATTATTTCTTACATAAAGTCCACCAAATCTGGACAATTAAGAACTTGGTGTGAAACCTTCACTTTTATTATCAAATTTATGTGAAATAATGGAAATCCGCACTGGTTTCTTATGTAAGCAATAGTTGTCAGTTTAGAAAATAGTGGGTGGAATTTTCCATCTTGAAAAGACACTGAAAGTTAAGGTATGTAGAAAAGAAAACAGGACGTCTAATATGCATACATGTGCATGACTGTATATTCTGTTGCTCATGAACATATATTCATATGCAGTCAGCATACTGTCGACTGACGACTGTCGACTGACGACTGTCTCTCTACATACCATCTCAATAGATACACAGCATGCTTACATACATGACAGGTTCTAAGGTCAATACAATGAGCTTCCAAAAGCTGCTCAGCAAAGAACACACCAGCCTGCGTGTGAACCTTGTCATAGCAGATAAATCTTTTTAGTAAGTCAAAGATTCCTGTGTAATCTTGCATATCGTAATGTGTTATGAAGCCTTCTATAGCTTCCATTCCCCTCTGCTTTCCCTTTGCCACATATTTGACTTTGGGAATAATGTTCTTGTGAACTTTTAAGAACTCCCGAAGACAATCCAACACAGCCTCCAAAACACACTGCGGGGTATGATAGTACACCTGTTTGAATTTTTCACTATGACGCAGAGTGTGGATCGCTTCGAGCAGTCCGGTGCCACACTTTGTTGGCACATTTGTTCTTGATGGTTTCTTCCTTCGTGGGTGAGATGGACCAGGCTCTTCTTCAGGTTCTGAAATAGGACCATCTGTGGTTGCATATCCCCTGTAGTCTCCTCCACCATCCACGGACCCTGCAGATAATAAAGAGCTTGAATATCATTCATTGCTGATATCGCATTTGGTGTACATTATCTCTGTTTGTTTAAAGACGCAAGAGCGTGGGTTCTAATATGGGGAAATTGACACTGTTTGGGTGTTTAACCAATAACATGTATTGTCAATCACCATGATTAGCCTTCAGTTTTATGACCAATAGGCCTCATGTAATGCCTTGTACCCCCCCCCCCCCCCCCCCCCCCCCCCCCCCCCGTTATCTTGATTGTCCCTCACCATGCAGAAGACTTTCCAAGAGACTAGGGGATATTTCTTGATAGGCCTACAGGTTCACTGTGTGCAGACTTGTACAACAAAATAAATGGTAATTCCACCAAGTCTGGTATCAGCGACAAAATGACCAACTCCCTTTATGATATATTCCTATTTGTGCCACACACAATCTTAAGACAGTGCATTCAAGGAACAAATCCTACCATGGCAGGTATACACATTAAAAACCTGCTATAGAGTGTAGCAAAATTAATGTAGATAAATGTCTTGCTAAAGGATGTTAGTACCGCAGCAGAGATTTGAAGCCTGTACTAGACCAAAACACCTCTACATCATAAACTTACGTACCTGATGTCTTGAAAGACTTTTCTTGAAGAAGTCTGTAAGCCGTGGTGCCTCCAACATTCTCCTTGACCTTGATCTGTAAAACCTGCTCCATTCCGGGGATTAGGGAAGGGATCAAAATCTCAGCACTCGTCATTGGCTTCAGTTTTGCCTGGTTGATCTCGTAATAGAGTTCTGGGATTGAATGCTCGTTCAAAGTAATTTTAGCCGATGTGTCGTTGGGTGTCACTGACTGCACCGTTATACCTAACAAAGAGAATTGTTATGTTGTAAGTTAAAATCAATGCCAGAACAAAATTCTGCAAGCTTTTAAACACATAAAAGAGTAAAATAGACAACAATTTCATGTACCGTAAATCTCTGTGTATGAGACACACTTTTTTTGGCCACCGGTGAAAAATAGAAAGTCGGGGGTGCATCTTATACACAGGTACAATTTTTGTTGTTGAAATAAATAAATAAATAATTTAAGTTTTGATTTACACTGTATGCCCCTCCACCTAGCACTATGCCTGGAAGTGTCTCCCAGCTCAGTAATCGGTGTGTTGACTCACCACTCGGAAACTAGAACAACACTCAAATTTGTCTGTCATCTTGGTTTGAAAGTAATCTCTCTACTAGATCTCAATATGTAGTTTATAATAATAATTCCTCCAATTTTTCTTCTATTACACACGGCATACCACAGGGTTCTATCCTAGGTCCTCTACTGTTTTTAATTTACGTTAATAATCTTTACACATTCTTCTAAAAACAAAATTGTTATTATTATTTGTGATAAGTTCACAAGTACAAATCGGCGCCTTCAACTGCACCTCGCACTTAAATGAAAGTTCTTCCCGCGTGGGTTTTTTAACATGGACCTGGCTTGCTGCCGACAGAGTCAGCAAAAAAAAAAGAGAGAAAAAAAAGAAGAGAAAAATCTCACTTCTCGTGGTGAACTCCTCCTTCCAAACCCAGTTGTAACCTCCGGAATCCCCGGTTTGACCCTTGATACCAAGCTGCACGCTATAGGTCACGCTAGGTCGAAGGTCAGAGATCTCCCTGCTGCCGTCACACATGAGCTCCACTGCTCCAGCGCTTGAGCTGCCACCAGGAACATTCTTTTCTTCAAAATGCATGTAGAAAGTGTTCTCAATGGATGGGCAGGAGATATGAGCAGATGTCTCTGCAACGTTTCCTATCTTCAGACCTGTAGAGATCAATGAAAGGGGGAATTTTCGTTGTAATAGAGTTACAACGATAAGAAAATCACAATCTAATCCTCTTCATCTTTTGGATATCAGATAAATTAAGAATGCTGATTAATTCATATTCACAACAAAAACATTTGGCAGAAGACAGCAAAGAAGAACGTAAGTTAATTTTGATCAAGTCCATACACAAAAAAATAATGTCTTGCAATCATTTGTTGTTTACCCAATTGTAGGTAAAAACAAACCAAAAAGAACCAAGTATTAAGCTTAGAATTGTATATCTTCCTCATTCTCAACTAGAACACACACAGACACACACACAAAGCGTCTGCTTCTCCAATATGCCTCCGCCTAAATTCAGTAAGGACCATGGCTTGAATTATCATAATGAGAACAGAAAGCCTATACTCACATATCAATTGTCTAGTATACAACCTTTGACCTTTGACCTGACAATCCAAAATTCTGATAACTTGTGTCCCTACAGTGATGCATACTAGTTACAGAATGTTGCAGAATGCATACTACACAATACTTCACAGCTAAACTAGCTTCACATACAGTAGTTATTGATTTGGTTATTACAAGTTCAAATAAACACTTTAAATTTCATGTAATTGACTTGCTGACATTTGACCTACTTTTACGCCAAATCTATTAATTTGACTATGGTGATGCATACTAATACCAAGTTTGAAATTCATGGATCAAATAGTTCTCGATACATTGAGTTAATGAGGCTAAAATCCCGCAAGTTTATGTCAATTTAGTGACACTGACCTACGACTCTTGACCGTTGACCTTCTAATATCCATCATGACCTATGACCGACTAACAACAAAATATAATCAGATCCTATGGTGGTACCGTACATAGTTCACTATCAAGAAGTTTGAACTGTATACCACACATGCTTCTTAATATATCATGATAATGAGAAAGCGGGGCAGACAGACAACCCCAAAACATCACGCCTCCGACACCAAGTCTGGTGGTGGGGGGGGGGGGGGGGGGGGGGGACATAAAAAAAAAGCAAACATAAAATTACAAATTTCTTAATTTTACACAATCTGCGATACATGTCGTAAGAACCGGCAACATTTGCATTGTCTGTTAAAAATTGGTAGGAAAAGAAAAAGAAAAAAATAGGCAAATATAAACAGGAAATTAACTTACACTTCATCTTCAATGTCTTTAACAGTTCATTGTCTCGTTGAAAACACTTCATCCAAGACAGAAGAAATATATTTTTGTGAGAATATTCCATCCAAACTCCAATGCTGTCATTCCAAGCTAATGTTTCGATGAAGAATGCATCTTGATTACTACCGGTACGCACTGCATAATTAAACCAAATAAGGATAGAAATCAATTACAGTATTGAAACAGATGAACAAGGACATTAGAATACGAGTTGAATCTTTAGCGCCCTGTACTAAAAAAATTCAAAAATGTATATTTTCCCTTTTCAATCATACATTCACCCTAGATATAATCATTGCAAATATGTTTTTATAAAACTCCTGTGTGAAAAAATGCTCGCCTCTCTCTGGTCTACCAATACAACAGCTCAGGGTATGATTACATGTCGAGTCTTTCAGACGGTGACATTACAGATCCTAAAACAACACTAAAATTTGTCTGTCATCTTGGTTTGAAAGTAATCTTTCTAATAGATCTCAATATGTAGTTTATAATAATAATTCCTCAATTTTTTTTTTATATAACAAATGGTGTACCACAAGGTTCTATCCTAGGACCTAGGTACTCTATTGTTTTTAATTTACTGTATATTAATGATCTTACAGTCTTCTAAAAATGACATTGTTACTATAGGTTTTCCCGGCCAATTTCGTCAAAGCAGCGATCAATTTCACTAACGTGCATTCATGTTCGAGCAAATTTTCTCCACTCGTTGCTTCCCTGTTTCATTTTTAAACTTTTTGCATTCAATTTCGTTTCGAGTCACCGAATTTTCAAAACAAGCACATTCAAATTAACGTTTGGTTCAGTCAATTTGGAAATGCGTTAGCGTCATTCGATTTCGCCAAAGTTGAGTGGGAGGACAATTCTTTGTTGAATTGCGGTTTCATTTTCGTCTATGGGCAACCTCTTTCGCAATCGGGTCATTCAAATTAAAACTAGACCTCATAATTATTGTATGAGGCTCGATGTTTATTCGGATATTCACTTTTTCATGTTCATTTGTTTATTATTTTACTCTATGATCTTTTCTGACATGATTTCACATTATACAATCTTCTTATTTGTCTGATATATTTATATTGCATTCAATATTTTCTCTTTCTGTCGATCTTTATTTTTGATGAAACATTTCTTTATACAGTCATGTCTTCATATATTTCATTATAAATGAAGTTATTTTTTAAATGTTTTTTTTTTGTATCAATCTGGATTGAGTGGGTAATCTTTCTTTCTTTTCATTTCACATATTTTTCTTTATTCATCATTGTATTATGTTTCCATCATGGCCATGTCTAAAGCTCAACTCTACCGCTGTCCAGGATCTGTGTATAACTATAAAGCTTGTTCTTACAAGAAGAAGAGAAGTCACAAATTGTGCGCCTTCTCTGGGGACAGCTACCTGTGTCATGACAGATATCTGCTAACGAATACGCATAATCATTCCTACAAGTAAACTTAGCATTAAATTATTCAAACAGAAGTATATTAAGTGACAAATTAACATCAAATGAAAAGCAATGCACAAATGTCACATATGGATGCCTAATCACGAAATTGAATGCTCGAATACATACCACCGTCTGTCCGGCGCGAATTTGAATGCTCTTTGCACGCTTTTCTAAATTGAATGCTCGTTTTGCACTTCTCCGTGACAAGAGTATGAAATCGCATGCTACTAAATCAAATTGAACGACGCAATTAGCTTTTTGAATGTTGATCTACATAGTCATTCAATTTCGCACGAACTTGAATGAACGTAACGTTAATTCGGATGCTAAGTTTACGAAGTTGGGCGGGAAAACCTATATTATTTGTGACAAGTTCAAAAGCACAAATCAGCGCCTTTAACTGCACCTCGATGTTAAATGAAGGTCCTTCCCCGCGCGGGTTTTCGAGAACAAAACAACTATAACAAAAACCAAAAAAAATGATTTATTTATTTATTTATTTTTTATTATTTTTTTCCCTCCCCAAAATAGGGGTGCGCCTTATACACAGGTGCGCCTTATACATGGAGATTTACGGTACTATTATTATTATTACTATAATCAATACCTATTCCAATCTTTTTTCTGTTTTTCTTGATGATGACAGCTTCACATTTAGGTTGGTCTAGACAGGCCTGGATCCCCTTGACCGTAGCACTTTTGAAATCAGACGTCTCCAAGAATAGCCTTTCCACTAAATCTATACAGGGATAAAAAATAAAAATTTAAGAAAGAGACAAACGTTAAAGATAAAATTGAGTTCTGGTCATGCGATTGCATTGTAAAAGAAAAGATGTGAAATGGATCAGAAAAGGTTGATCATCTAGCCATTGCAAGGTTATGGAATCAGAAAAGGTTGATCATCTAGCCATTGCAAGGTTATGGAATCATCAAAATGATGATAAATTTGGTCAAGTCTTGGTAAAGTAACAAGCACTGTACACAGAAAGATGTATATGGGACTACACAAATGGTGTCAGGGCTACTAACCTTGATTTCCTTATCTTCCTATGCTCATTACTCAGCCAGTACACATTTTCAACCAAAATTATTGGGCAAATAACATTTACTTGTACTCTTGAACATTCAGTGGAAGTTTCGTTTGATTCTGTAAGAATTCATTTTCTTTTTTTACCAGAACTCAAGTTTATCTTTAATGAATCACAGACCTCCCTCTTTGCATTTACATGTACCTGTTTATTCGCCTTTATTATCACTTTTTAGTTTCACTATGTGCTACTATGTGCTACTAAATGCAGCATTTAATAAAGGAAAAATAACAATACACTTGTCAGTGCATGACAGTAATTGTGGGAATTGATAAAACACATCATGCATCAAACAAAATATCATCTTCTCTATTGTAGCGGTACATATTAAAGGTAATACAAAGTTTTGGTATGGGGTCATGAATTTGGTTCAAATGAACTTATTGGAAGCATATGCGATCCTTCAATATTCAGTGATCGTTGTCGCGGTTGAAATCGAGTCTAAAGTTATGATATTGTAAATAATACACTCTTTTTGTTGTATAGCTCCCTCTCAAGGTCAAGATATTAATTAAACTATAAAACATCGTTTCTTGACTAAAATCAACCAATTTGCTATTCTCGTTTGGAAGTTATATATCACATCTACATATTCTGAGATTTTCATGGTCGCAGCTACAGTACCATTGTACGGCCGTAGGCGCTATTTGAAATTTATCTAAATTTACCGGGAGCACCGGTAAATTTTTGTATTCAATTTTTCTCGAAAGCAGAAGTGTTTTAGAGGCTAACTTTTCTAGTGCTTATAATACATCCAAAGGGGCATCCAAATATATCCAAATTGTAAAGAATCGCTATCCACCCAATTTTCAAAATTTCCCAAAACTTTGTATTACCTTTAATGCAAAAACAAGTCAATCATATTGAGAATGGTCATATTTTAGTAATTGTATCCGCAAACCTCAAAATAACATCTATCATGTGAAAAGTCTTGAACTGCTTGGAAAAATGAATGCGTGAGCAGACATAGGAACCTTTGTTTTTACAATCATGTTAAAATGACATGGCTGGCTCTTGTTGGGAAAATGACAAGAATAATCTTGTAAACATGTCTGGCACACCTACTCTTTAGGATTATACAGAAAATAATATCAGTATAAAAGCAATCAAGAAACATGAAGGAAAATTGTTGCCAATTTTATGTCAAATGTTAGGTTCACAGACAAAGGGCTCCCCATCATACATGTCCAGTACTTACTGTTTACAGTAACCAGTGGATGGGCTTCAGTGTCCGCTACAGTAACTATACTCCTTTGAGTACGGCCCCTACGTGTAAATCTCTGTTTCAAAATCAGGAATGCACAAACCGCACATAGGACAACTCCAGCTAAAACTCCAACTGCAATGACTATAACCCATAGGGTAGAAAGTCCACCTATTCAACGTTGAGTAAAAGAGAGCAATTTTATAATTGCATCATAGTTCTGAAACACCCACATAATAATAAAGTATACATGAACTTCTGAACATAGATCTTTATTCACAAATTTCAGAGCTTCAATTTTACATTTTTATGTCAACAGGAAATGATTATTATGCACAAATTTAGATTTGTCCTTCATGGCAGCACACATAAATATAATAATGAATTATGACAACTCGTTTTACATTCTTTTTTTACTATGGTTTCTAGCTTTTTAAACTACACAAGACTCACAATGATAGCGCACTATACAATGAAAAACAGTCATAATTTTTTTTTTTTTTTTTTACTGCAAGGCATTATTTCATGGTGCAAAGGTTACCCTATGCCCAAGCCTCGAAATAAGCGGCCAGGATCAAGGGGCAATTTATTTGTAAAAGTTGCCCCTTGCCCATGAGATCATTACCCAAGGTAATGTCGAGGGTTAACAAAAACGTGGTAGGCCAAAAGTTTGATGGGCTGATGGAATAAAAGAGATTACTGGCATGAACATCTGCACAGCTAATACCTATGCCCAGGACGGAAGTGGATGGAACGTCATCATCAATAGGGTCACAAAGGGTCAGTCATGACTCGTAGGACGACGACGACAAGCTGTATAATTTTCTTTTAGGTGATAGGTACACTTCAATCCCTCCCCCTCTATGTAAATAACATGTAACATAAATTACATCCCCCCCCCCCCCCAAAAAAAAAAAAAAAAAAAAAAAATGTGTTTACAACACCACATTCAAAGATATTGTATTTAATTGAAGTTGATATTTCAGGAATCCATTTTTTCTACATGCATCTACACTGACCTTCTTTTGGTGTGTTGGATTCACCAGCAGTTGGTTTGGGCTTGATTGACGGCTGACTTGGTTGAGTGGTGGGAGACGAGGTGCTTGTAATCGCTGGTGGCTCCACTGTATGAAGAAAAAAGATAGAACAGCATGCACATCAATTAGGGTGTCTAATAATATATTGCCCTGCGCCCTGGTTGCCCCGGGCAACCGATAGACACAACATCACACATTCTGATGAGGATAACATGAACTAACAACAATACAATGGTTTTCACCAACATATGAGCAGATATTTTTTTCGGGGCAAGTTTACATGTATTATAGATTGTTGACAGTCAGACAAGTAATATGTACAGTACTACAGTGAAGTGCAAACATTGAAACCTGTGACCCCCCCCCCCCCCCTCCCCCTGCCTGCCTCTTCTCTCTCTCTGTCTCCCACACTTTTCTCACTCTTTGAGCTGTTCATTTTTGTGTCCTCTTACTCTGTATGTTGATGTAGATTATAAAGAATACTCTTTTAATGGAAAGCACATAGAAAATGAATTATTACTTATCATGCGCTAAATCAAAAGCTCTTATTATCATGATCATTATGTGCATACATGTAGATGTAGCTGAATTTAAAAGTAGTCTGAGGTTAGGAGTAAACTAAAAGTTTGACATGTACTTCTGATGTTACTGTTAACCTTTGACCTACATGTAAACTGAAATATATCCTATTCCATTGATACCATCTGATTGACACTTTCACCCCCCGAAAAAGACCATGCGAAGTTGACTGCTCCTTGAGTTACAATACTCATACTCTGACCCCGACTGAAATGAATACCGGGTATGTATAAATACTACCAGACCTGCCAAGTTTTTCAAACTGCAATGTGGGACAACTGTAATCAAGAGTCCATTAGAGTAGATCGAGCGAAGCTCATGGGATTTGGCACCACGTTGTATCATATGTACTGACATTAGTAATAATAGACAAGTGTTGATCTCAGTAAATAGCGCTATCACAGTAACAAAAAGAAAAAAGCAGGCAGAGACAGACAAATTTTTTTCCTTCTTTTAATTTAAAAAAATGTAATACTAAAAAAAAATTACGTATTTTTTTCTCTCCCCAGAATGCGGGATTGTCCAATAAAAAGCGAGACACTTGGCAGGTTTTTACTACACATAGCAGTTTAGAGTTTTCTTAATTCCAAATAAATCGTCTTTTCCTTAGACCTCACACCAATTTCCTCTATTCAACCAGAGTTTGGACGAACGTCTAAACCCAACGTTGCATTTAATTAGAACACGAGCCTCTTACTCTAGGAGCCATGCCAGGGAAGAACATACCATATTCTAGGAGAATCGTCCGGTTGTCACTCCGCTCCCCTTGAGCTTCACACATGTAGTTCCCTGCATCCCCCTCCTGGAAGTCCTTCATAAGGAGAGTTGTTGACACGACCCCCTGGGTCACGACCCCTTGGGTCACGACTTCCTCGGTCACCTCTCCCTCGGTCACCTTCCATTTGCCCGACGTATCGGTGGATGCAAGAAGTTGCCCTGATGGACCGTACCACTTGAGCGTAGGGATGTCCATGTCGCGGAAGGATGCGGAGCACGACACAGTGTAGGCGTTGGCAGTCAAATTGTACCGTGGTTCCGTGATTGTAACGTTTACTTGGGGAACTGTGGAAGAACATTATTTTTAAAAAAGGTAGTTTTAAAACCAATCCTGAAATAATAAACATTTAAAACATTTGATCATTGGTATTGAAAACTGACATGTTTTAAGATACACATGTACAAAGGTGTATTAGAAGTGTCTTAGTTGAGTGGTTTATTAAAGCACTTGACTTGAAATTAAAAGGTCGTGGTTCGATCCTCGACATGGCACTAACGTCCTTTGGCAAGGCATTGATTTACATTTGCCACTCAATACCAAAGGGAGAAATGGGGACCCGGTAGGATGGCGAAAGAATTTGTGTTGGTAATTGCCTATGCCCTCACAGTAACCATATGGTAGAAATACTCCCCAGGGAGTGGAGATGGTGCACATCGTGCGTGAATGAATCCAATGACCGGGGTAATAATATTTGTAAAGCGCTTAAAGACTACCGTATTAAGCGCTATATAAATCCAGATTATTATTATTATCATCATACACATTGCCAATTACAAGCAAAGTAAATGAATTGTCATGAATTCAAATTTTTGCAATTTGTGTGTCCATATCAAACTGTCCCTCACATCATTTACCTTTTTTAACAGAAACAACAAGAGGGTCATGGAGATCAATTTCAAATAACACTTGGAACTGAATGGAACTGAATGGAAAAGACCTGCTGCAATACATGTCATGTTGAATGAATATGAAGACTGGCAGTATATACATGTATATACATGTATATAATATATATTGGCAGTACGATAATTGTCCCCAAGTAAGGGAGAGAAGTGCTATTACCTTCCCTTCTGAACGTGCACAAAAAAAAAGGTGGGGGGGGGGGGGGGGGAGGAAGGAAAGGCAATAGAAAGAATGTGAAAGAAAGAATAAATTGTATCTTGAAGCACAGTTTGGTTAAAATTTGGCCGAGAGAGCATATCTAGTACAATCTATTTGGATACAGGGTTTTATGTCAGAACCAAAACCACTATACAAAATGAATCATAAACATGAACTGTGGCTGGGGCATCTAAAGTGTAGAGAAGTAAGACAGGCCAACAGACCAAAAAAACAACCCAAAATGCAACATGGAAAGCAACACACATGCAATGAACGAACAAAGGCTCCATCTATTCTGCAACATTTCATATTTTAGCAGTCATTATCGATTTCATTTAAACAGGCATTAATTTTGTAATCCAATATTTTTAATGGATAACGCACTCAATATATGTTATTTTTTAAACAAAATACATGATTTGGTTTAAAAAGTTCTTCTCTTTGATTAAAGATTGATGCTAATACAGAGGACGCATTTACAATATGAATATCATCAATCAAAGATAAGCAAAAAAATAACTGCTTTTGGGGGCTCTTAAAATTGATAAGACAACAACAAATATTGTATTTGTCATATACAAACAACACTTTGGACTTGCGGTATTTTTATGTCACATGCAGTACGTGTAGTTGATAAACCAAAATGCACAATCAGTGTTTTCCATCGGTCTAAACGTTTCCATCAAATTTTCATGATTTCTAAACCTCACTGTATTTTTTCTATTGCAATACATGTTTCCTTTTTTCATTATTGCTTTTTTATGATACCATGTTAAGAAAAAAAAACTTCTAAACGGTTTCTCCCACAATGCTGGCCAAGACTCAACATTTTCCTTCATACAGTGTAGTAGCATCCTGTTTATAAGCCATGCGGCCACTGCACTGCCAGGGTAACAAACACATAAACTGTAACAGGAACTTTGAAAAAAATATTCATTTCCTTAAACTGGCAATGGCAAACTGAATCATTCAATAAAACCACACAATAGACTATCAAACGCTAGAAATTTCATGTTTTTGAACAACATCTTTTGAGTTTTTCAATGAGGAAACATCATTGCTGGCACAGTAATCAAATTCATGTGACGCCACCGTCAATAGTTCTTTGTTATTTTAAAAACCATAAACATGCATGCAAAATTGAGCATTGTCAGTGAGCATCTAACCATGTACAATACCCATTTCACGCCACGAGGGCGAAATTCAACCATAAATTGGCAATAGTGCCCTAATAAGTGTGTACTTGTACAAACATTGTTCTTTCTAGCTATATATACATGCTATAAATACATGTATGATGTACAGTTAACATATAAATCATTCATACACTGACCATACTTTTGATTGTTTTTAATTATGTGAAAAATTGGTTTAAAGCTTACCGGTACATCTAAAAGTACTCAACAAAATCCATAATTCAACCAGTCCAACTTTTATTCTTGAGTTACAAAAAAAAAAAAAAAAGACATTGAATTTACAAGGGGTATGAATAATTTAGTTGCTAACTGTATATCACTAGGAAGTTTACTAATTGCTATGGACATTAAAGTGCATTTTTACAACATAGCAAAATTATTTAAACCCAAATCTTACTCTTATAAGTTAATTTGTTATAATTGTTCTTAGAATTAGTGGCCCAGCGGGAGTTATTAAGGTGAATTCTAATGAAGATTTCCCGTCTTAATTAGCTTTCATGGGTACTTGAAGAAATAAGCTTAGGCAAAATTATTACCGGTATTTAATTTTTTTCTCAAATTATTTTAGCGTTCCCGCCCCTTCCTTTTTTTTTGAGACTCCCTGCTGCTTTTTTTTCTGAGAAAAAATATGTAAAACATACTGCTAAAATTATCTTTTTCAGAAAAAAAGAAATAGAAATAACATAAAATCATTATTGTGGCCTTATCTCTTGTTGCATCTTTCCCATTCAAACTCCATATTTCCTGAGTCAAAGTGATGGCCATTTTGTAAGAGAGGGGGGAAAAAAAGTGCCTCCTCCTTCCTTTTTTTCGAAAAGGCTAGACGCTACAAATTCTTTCTTTTTTTTTGGCCATTATGATTCCATAAAATAACTCAACCATGCAATTAAACATGAATTCAATAAAAAAAATATGTAGTTTATTTGCATGAGATTTGTTTTAAAGTTACATAATTCCCTGGAGTAATCAAATCAGGCAAATATTTGTGAATTTGATCAAAATATAAATTTTATTTGGTGGATTTTAATATTTCATGTGCACACCCAGCCCGACTCATTTTACTTCACCAGGAGTGTTGAGCCATATTATTTTCAGATTTAAATTCACCATTTTCTTATGAGATTCTGATACAATCCAATTTCCCCTCGGCTCCCAGAACTGATTATCACCTTTAACACGGATATGAAATAATAAGGTGTCAACGAACTTATGCCAATATTGCTTATCATTGCCTTTCATGAGGTCTATCACTATGTATGAAGTTACTTGGAACTGAAAAGTGGGGGATTCCCCTCGAAAGGCCATAACATAACCAACCCTTCCAAGCAAATACTTCATCGCATTAGCATGTTGCTTTGTGCGCACATTGTACTTGAGATCACATAGATTCACTTCCAGACAACATTCTTGCTCACCCTTGAGGAACATTAAAACGATTTGGAAATAATGTTCATATTATATTTATTCTTGGGAACCAAGAAAAAAAAAGCTATGCTTTCCAGTAGGTTCCTGTTTAATTTCATAATTTTGAACTTAACTTTGTCAACTATGTTCTGCATTGTGCAATTTGTTATCAGTTCTGTTCACTAATTTCTTTTAAAAACAGGTACAGGCACTGAACATGTACATGTTATTAAAGATACAATGGTCGACACAAATGTCCATATACATGTACATGTACAATGTAAATGTATTTTCATAATGTAAACCATTTTCAAACCCCCCCCCCCCCCAACATCCTACACAAAATGAAATGGTCTACACGCAGAACACTTTAAATACAGTACAGGAGGAATAACAAATATGATATACATACATGTACATGTATATGAAATGTATGAAAATGTGTGTTATGTAAACGATTGAAACTATATGTAAATTACACAGAACAGTAAAGCAAACAAAAAAGGAATATCTTTCCCCACATTCCATATTTAAATATTCTATAGAAAGGTAGTAGTAGTTTATGGTGAAAGCATTGTTTGTAAAATGTTCAGATGTACCTGTAGTATCATTTGCAATGGAATACAACTATTGTGCCATCTGGGAACATGCAATATTTACAATACAGATTATGCCACAAAATAGTTGTTCTAATGCATCCATTAAAAAAAGAATTGTTAATAACGTGTCTTCAAATGCAAATAGCACATTATTATGAAGGACAGGATAGCTATTTGTGACATGATAAATCTTGTCTAATGTACAGTACATAACTATCCTCCAAATGCCATGATGAATATTCAAATAAATTGAGACAAAAAAAAAATGTTTTGAAATGCCACATGTATATCAATAAATGTACATGTATGTTGTATTAAGTGCATGCGAATAAATTATAGCTAATTTTGATTATAACAAGAAAATGAAAGTGATAGATCTACATTAGTTCAAAGCATTGTAAGGATAAGATTTTTGCAAATTAGCAGACTTTGTTAAATCATATATAATGCAATCATGACTCAAACATAACAGGATGAGGTCAACAACAAAATATATTCAATTTCTTACAGTATTCTTAAACAGGAAGTAAATGCACAGAAAAATTTGCAACAATTAAAGGGACTTTGTAACATAGTTCAGATGAGAGAAAATGGTGCTAAGGTAGTGAATTCAATGCTAGATGTACAATATAGTATTAATGACTGCTTTGAGAGAAATAGTTGTTTTATTACGCTCAAGGGAAGGTTAGAATTGTGCTATTCCCCGAGGCTTGCCGAGGGGAATAGCCCAATTGTAACCTTCCCGAGAGCGTATGAAAACAACTATTTCTCGAATATTAAAGCAGTCATTAATACTTTTATATGCCGAAAAAAAATAGACTAAAAAATAAAAAATAAAAAATACTTTTTTTTTTGGTCGAAGATGAGATTCGAACTCTTGCGTACAAAAGGTGATGAATCTATAGTCAGCGCCTCAGACCTCTCGGCCATCGCGCGTTATTAACATGCATGGCAGTTTTGTACAATATATACATTAAAATGGATTGAAACCGGCTTCGCGTGTGATGAATGCTTCGCAAAAGCTCGATATACGGACTCTTCTTTTACTTTTGCAATGCATATTGGCACGAACTTAGATCAAGATCTATCGGCAGATGTTGTTTTTTTGTTTTTGAGAGTTAATTTTCGTCTTCATGTCAACAATGCAAGATAAAATTGTCGGTAAGATCGATCGAGATTCAATTGTATTGAAATTGCCGACCAATTTTTCGCACACGTATGGTATCCTCCATCGCTCAAACCATTTTTTAACATGTAAACCTATGGGGTAACCATGGAGACTGACCTATTTTTTTAATAACCATGGTTATTAAAAATATTGAAATGTTTTATGCATGGTTACCGGGAATTTTACAGGAACAGTTGAAGTTTATGAATGCAATTCGACCAATCAGATGGCTGGATTTCTTAAGTGAGGTATATAATTAAAGATATTAAATCTGAAAGTTTGAGTGAAAACAGACCATTATTATGATAACAATTCAGAAAAACTGATATGATCGATTCCTTAATTCTTCCAACTATATCATTACAATTTAATTACATTTTAGGTGAATGTAAATCGTCACAGAGCAATGAATTGGCTCTCTATATATATACATATATATATCATTCCAGACATTTAAGTCTTGAAAGACTTTTAAAAGCCTGTCTTATGTCTTTTTTTCATGGAAAAACTGTTGGGAAAAATAAAAAATGGTTGGGAGAATCTACTGTTGGAGGGTGTCGCACAGTGACGCCTTCGAAAAAAAAAATAAAATATCTTTGTGGTTTGAGAATTTTGTGCATGTTTGAGGGTTAGTACAGTAGTAGGAATATAATAAGTAACATTTCATCAAAAAATTACGCAGGTTTTTCATCAACCTTCAACAATGTTACCGAGGCACTTTAAGAGGGGAAAAATAAAATGGAGGGGATTAAACTCATTTCAAAGAGAATGTTGAGATCTGGTAAACATGAAAATCACTTGTGAGTTTTTGTCATTCATTTTATTCCCACGTGACAGAATAACAGAGCAGCAACGTGGCATGAATGCATTCCTTGAAATGCTAGAGCCCTGTTATAGCAGTTAGGCTAAAGCCGGGGTAATAATTAGTGCGCCTCATAATAGATTTTCTAGATAGAACTGTGCAACAGAAATGCCTAATTATCATTATTTTTTATTATTAACGTCCTCTGAATATTTATTCAAATATGAAAAGAAAAAGTTAATAGCTCTGGAGTCGAGTCAGGACCAAATCTGATACAAATGTGTGCATGTGTGTGTGTGTGTCGAGGGGGGTGGGGTCCTTTGAAAATTCTAATTTTTCATTTCTCTCCAGCTTGATATTATGACCAGTCATCTTCTTTTTTTCCATCTCTTTTTCCCCTTCTCCCGATCTCTTTCTCTCTTTCCATTCTTTAAACAATTTTTTTTGTTACCACCACTTGCTTGGGGGTGTGTGCCCCTATGCCCTCAAGTAGCTACGCCACTGACTGAGAGAATTCATGAACCGGCAAAGCCATTTAATACTTTCATGTGCTTGATGTTCTGTACGTGGTTACAAAGCAAGGATGTGAGTTTGCAGCAGTCTGTATAATTGGAAAAGCTCTGGACAAGCAAATACAAATTACGAGTTAGGGTTATGACATGTTCATGAATAGAGTTTTGTAATGTTTAGCATTCCAGAAGCCCCAATGGATGGCAGACGAAGGGGAGTTAAAAGCCGCCAAACATCTGGGTGACTATCTCTGCCTGTTTACCTGCAGGGGACTGGGTGGTTGGAGGATACTTATTCGTGTAACATGCACTGGATGCAGCAGGGGTTTCACCCCGAGGGTCAGCTTGACGGGGGGAGCACCAATAGGGACATATTCCACCCAGGCGATAGCACGGTAATTCCTGATAGATATCACTTGAGATTAGTCTGGCGGGGCAGGGGGAACATTCAGTACATGCACTGCCATCCCAGAACTTTCTGTAAAAGGTGGACGGAAGCATAAAAGGAAATAAAGAAATAAAGAAAGAAAAAGCCATGCAGGTTAAAATTTGGGGTGCACGTGCAATTCTACCTGGAGGAGAGGGGGTGGTCGGCGGGCACGCGTCGCTTCCTTCGTTAGATCTTGACGCCGACTGCACTGAGCACCAGTTAGGGCAAAGGGATTTGTGCTTCTTGCAATCATACATGGGGGAATAGTCCTGGCTTGTGCCCAGAATGACATCTTTATCGCAGGGAGAACAATTCTGACACGCTTCGTAAGAGGTGTCCCAGTACTGCCTACAAGACGAATCAACAGTAAAAATTGAAAGAGACGTATCACAGAAATTAATGTACAGATACATGTATATACCTAATAAAATATATAAGATAATTCACGGTGAGGTTTTGTGAATTATCCCTATCATTCGTTCAGTAATATCATATTTGCCAGAGAAAATATGGTGTACATGCTCAGTTTATCAGCGGAAACCACTACACAAGTATAGATAAGGCAACCACTGGACAGAACACACAAGGGCAGAAAATTTTAACTGAATTGACTGTGTCATATAGCTTAATATCCCACATTTATTATTAAATTCAATATTCTACATGTGTTTCAAACTCTTCTGCCCTCATTCAAAATAAGTGATATTGAGAAAAGAATGCCTTACTGAGATGCTGTGACTTTTTAAAAGCCAAATAAGTTCTGTTCTAGGCATATTGCTGTAGCATGGTATGCTGTATCATTTATAACTATGAAATGAGAAAATATGTAGTCTATGGACATTTTCCAAACGATGTCAAATGAATGACCTCCCCCCCCCCCAAAAAAAAAGAAGAATTATTAGGCGTCTCAATTGAAAACTATATCTTTCCATCTCGCTTAACAAATTCCACACTTGAAATGGACCTTGCTTGCATAAAGTTTAAGAATGATTGAGGTAAATACAGATGTGCATTGTAGTGCCTGATTTGACAAGTACTGGAATAATACATACAAATACTTCTCCAATCATGCAGTAAAATAGAATATTGACTATACATGTAAATACGATAACATAATAAAATACAATATAATCTCTAATATTAATAAAATAGAATAATATGGCAAATGGCAAAACCATGACTTACCCATATTTGCAGTCTGTTACTGCTAGACTCGGCACAATAAAAACAATCTGATTTGAGAGAAAAGGAGAAACATCAAGTAAAATTCTGATCCTTCATGTTATAAAAAGAAAGGTGTTGTTGAGATATGAGATGGTAAATTGCGTCAGGTTTTTTTTTAAATCACGTACATGATGTATTATGCTTTATTTCTGCATCTTATAATACAGAGCTCAGTGAAAACTCAGTACATGTACATGTCTAGATGACATTACCGGTAGTTTCCTATACATACATCATTTACGCATAAAATAAAAGGTGTTTTTTTTTTTTCCTGGCAGTTTAATCATCATGGCATACATGTATGTGAACAAGCCATATGGGCTTGTTCAGATGGGGGATTCCCCCACAAAAAACCCTTTCAAGCAAGTACATGTACATGGATGAATGTTTAGGACCTACCTGTACACTATACATGTACATGTGCATTTCTTGTCCCACTTGTAGGTTTAAAAAAACACATTCCTGTTTCATGTGACATCCCAATTGAATTGAATTGAATTACAAGTGCAACTTTTTTTTCCACTTGCCCTTCCTCAGCCCAGCATGACTGAAGGCCATAATATTATGAATTTGTTATTTTTTCAATTGAATGAAACATGTTTAGTTGTCAATTTGGGCACATCACACGGAGACAAGTAGGCCTAACCTGATGTTTCACTGATGACAACTTAAAAAATTCATAACTTTCCTAATTTTTTTCATTGGATATTGCTGAAACTTTCACTGATTTGTTTCTCTCATGTTCTGCTTTTATTAAAACTACAGTACCGGTAAGTTATATCAGGGTAAACTTCCCCTTGAAGCGAATAGGAAAAGCCACTTGGCCTAATGTCTGTACAATATACAATACACTAGGTCCGTCTCCATCAGACAGAAGTTGCAAAATAACCCGCTATTTTAACTATCCCGATCTCAAATTAGCCAGCTAATTTGCGTCCTCATCAGCCCGCAGTTGCAGTTTGCAGGCTATTTGCTCCAGAAAATATCCAGAGAAATCTTGGTCTTGTTCCCAAGATAACCCCCTATTTGAAAAATAGCCGGCTAATTTGCACCCGTCTTCATCTAACGCAATTTCGAGCTTCGGGAAAATAACCCAAGTCTGAAAAAAGCGGGTTATTTTGCAACTTTGGTCAGATGAAAACAGGCCTACTGTGATATTTTTACAATATAGGGGATATATCCTTAACCCTTTTGGGACAGTCATTCCGCCTTCTGTGGTTTGGCCCAGTAACTTTTGGTTTCGGAGCCCTACAAATGATAACAGATGCATGAAAAGAAAGGGCAGACATTCCTGCACATGCTGTGTCAATTTTGGCTGCATGACCACATTGCGTTGAATGCATTCAATGCTTAGAACTATAAAAACAAAAATATGATTTGAAATCCTTAGTTAGCAGCACATTGTACTGAATTAAAGAATAAAAAGTATTGTTTTTCAATCAAAATTGGCTGATATTTTAAAACTTTTTGGGCAAAATGTGTACCCATGTGTATTGTTTTCAGAGACATTGCATATTTATTTGCATTATATAAGAACAATGTAGCGTTAAAAGAAAAATAGTATCGTTGCCAATTTGATATACAAAATGTGATGGACTAGCAATGTAACAAAAAACCTAGTCCTGAAAGGGAGGTAACCAGCTTGAAACTGAAAGAGAACAATTTACTTACCAAGAGTACTAGTACCGGTAGGTTAAAAGGTTTCCTGAGTAAACATATCGCCATTGTCTTGGAAGTGTGATCTCTCAGATTCTGATTAAACTGCTTACCGGTATGTGTATACTGGAGTTCCTTAAATGATAAAAAATAAAGTGATAGATTAAAACATTAATAATGAAATGAAATTTGACCTCAACAGTGCCGGTAATCTTGGCAATGACTCAATGAATTGATGGCCCTAAAAATGAACACAGAGTTCATCTCTCCCTCCCTCCTTTTTTCTTATTGATTCAAAATGTAAACTGGCAACAACAACAAAAATATGCTGCTCAAAGGAGATCAAAGACTAACACACAACCTCCCCTCCCCTCCCCTCCCCCTCCGCCCCCCCCCATTCAAAAGCAATCACGACACACAAAACAGACATGCCTCAATGGCCCAATTTATGGTGTAAAAACAAAGTAAATAAAAACTGGATCATGCGCATGAAACGCTTTGTGATACACTCAATTGCCTTCAACCACCAAAAATCTTACAGGACTTAAAAACTTATTTGTGTAGAAAAAAATGGTTTATAATAGTGAATACCAAAGCTCGTCATAAAGCCGTACCATGCACAGACTTGAATCTGGCCCAAAGTATGGTGCAATTGGAACACACAGAGTAAATACAGGAACAGAAAGATCTTTTTAGACAACAAAGAATTTAATTAATATTTCTATTTAAACAAAAAATGTAGGCTGCTAATTCTCATTGACTCCGAAACATGTACATGTACATACAGAGAAGAAAAGAAAAGAAATTAATGAAATTAATTCCTGATGTGAACGAATCAAACTATTACAGCAGTAAAAACATACTATGAATGGACAAAAAAGTGTATCAAAGTGTAGTACCAGTATGCCTATTGCCTGACTAAATCAACATTCAGACATGAACGTGTCAAACTAGTCCAAAGTCCGTTGGAAAAATTGTTCTTCATTCAGTGCAGTATGGAATTGTACCACACCCTTTAATACACTGGTAATGGAACAATGGTATGGTGCATAGCACATTCAATGTACACACAGCAGTGTTTTTCCGCCCTTTTTCAATACCAAGTTTCACTTCATCCTGATCTGAAATACATCACAAAATAATTGTTCATACACTCTGAAACTTGTCTAGTGCCATGTACATGTATACATGTACGTCCTAGGGGCATGTGTGTTTCTAACTATTAAGAAAATGACATCTTTAAATATGTTAGAAAATGTTGTAATCAACACACTAGAACAGATATTAAAATAATTCACTATTCAGGCATCTCGTTGCTAGGAACTCTCCTGTTGCTAAATGTTGCGAGAGTGTGAAGCAAACGAGCAGCAAAAATGGAATTTTTATATGAAAGATACAAAATATATATATCTCATCAGCTCGCTGTCAGATAGAATGATCTTCAGGCAACTTGTTGCCAAAATATGGAGGTATTCAGGCACTTTGCTACCTGAAATCACCCTGTTTCTAACAATTTGAGTGAGCAAAGCAAGTGAGGAAGAAATACACTTTTAATCTTTGAAATGCTATTTCCTCATGAAATTACATACATGTACTCCAGCATTTTCTAATATTTGGTGTTTCACAAAATCAATGTTTCTCTTTTGACATTTTATGATGCTTTCAAAGACTGGAAACTGATGTAATAATTTAAATGTATTTATTTGCAAACTTATTGTGCATTCAACAAAATGTTTGCATTTTTGACTTTGAGCCTTTTACTCAGGGTTAAAACGTATGAGAATGCATAAATCATTTTTTTTAATGCCACTGATTTTACTGTTATATTTTCACTGAAATCTGTTTCTGCATGAACATGTAAAGAGCATACATAATTGTGTTTTAATGTAGAATGGTTCATACATTCAGAGTGCATGAGTACAGTGAAACGAAAACAGAGAGACCTACATGTACATACCGTAATTAACGGTGTATAAACTGCACCTTTTTGCTGCCGAAAAAAATTCAAAGTCGGGGGGTGCGGTTTATACATGGTACACCCCCCAAAAAAAATTAAAATAAAAATAAAATATTTTAGGGCGAAAAAGAGGGGTGCGGTTAATACATGAGGGTGGTTTATACAACGTTAATTACGGTAAGACAATGCAAAATGCGGCCTTTACAGACAGCTGGTCTTAAAACATGATTTTAAATGGTCTTTGACAAGTGTGTTTTTATTCATATTTACCTCCTTAACTATTTTCACATTTGTATTTCCTTGTTTTTTATCTTGTTTGTTATGATCATGAATCTTTTTTATATTTGATTACTGTTATCATTTTTATTGGGGAAGTTCAAACCTTTTTCCTGCATCCCTAGATTCTAGTGCTGTAACATCACGGATATCTCCAATTCCGTTTAACCGCCTGTCAAAACCGGACGGTTTTCGGTTAAACGATTTATTTAAAAAAAAAAAAAAAAAAAAAAAAAAAAACATTTTTTTTTTTTTTTTTTTTTTTGGCCATGTGAAAAAGCTGGAAGGTGATTTAACTGAAGGCGCCGATTTGTGCTTGTGAACTAGTCACAAATAATAGTAACAATGTCGTTTTAGAATAATGTGTAAGATCATTAAATTAAATTAAAAACAGTAGAGGACCTAGGATAGAACCTTGTGGTACACCATGTGTTAAACTTGGATGAATATATATTGAGATCTATTACAAAGATTACTTTCAAACCAAGATGACAGACAAATTGGAGTGTTGTTCTAGTTTCCTAGTGGTAAGTCATCACACCGATTACTGAGCTGGGAGACATTGCCAGGCATAGTGCCAGGTGGAGGGGCATAAATCGAAACTTTAAAAAATAAAAAAAATAAAAAAACAAAAACAAAAAAAAACCAAAAAAAAACAAAAAAAAACAAAAAAAAAAACAGAACAAAACCGTCCAATTGAAAACGGAATCCGCCATGGGCGGTCGGATACCGGACGGTTAAACGTTTGACTACAGCACTACTAGATTCCCTAGACATGTTTGGTTTTTTACTGAATGATTGAATAAATACAATACAATTTACAAAATCACAGGTTTCCATTAGGTTTCCATTAACAACTTTCAATGAAATGCATCGCTTCAAGGGAAACAAAAAATGTAGTAATTGACAGGTGGTCGATCTAGAAGCATACGTGTACATATGTAGGTTGATACAACAGCAGGTTTGACTGTAATAAGAATCAACAACCAAACAATAGGCATTTATAATGCAACACATCTGTCATTCCTGAACAATTAAAAACATATTAACTCATTACACATGTACAAGGTCAAGTACAGCTATCAACTATTTTTGTAGAATGGCAGGAGTCCTGCACACAAAATACAGTTGCGTTTCAGGGGAAAAAATGCTTTAAACATTTCGGGGGCTACTTTTGCTTGCATGAAAATAACACCATTTATTTTGTTTTGCATTGAACTCTATGCAATTTTTTGGGCTCTTTTATGACTTTCGGGGGCTCTTTTTGGCATTTCGGGGGCTATTCCCCCCGAGCCCTGTGTATTTTTTTCCTGTTGTGTTTTCTCTTGTAGTATGGTACTGATTGCCAAAAAGTTAAAGACATTAATTAGGCTCAAAGTGAAACCTGAAATGCTTGCAATTACCAGAGGAGTTGATATATTTTAAAGGTCTTCCACAAGATAATGAATAGATGCACTTTATGAAAATGTACAATGTATTTTTAGCCTTCTGTTATTTTCCTCTAACAATGAGCTTGTGAACATCTTTCATATAGACACTGGTATACCAAAGAGACCAGCAAGTGTTGAAACTTTCATGCACCAATTAAAGTTTTAGATATAAGGCCAAGTAACACAAATTAAGAGTTTCTTTTTGGCCGCTGCCTCCTTTAGTTCACTATTAACTATTCAGAAGAAAAAAAGGGAAAAAAGAAAAAAAGAAGAATAAAAAGGGGGAAAAAAGTAGATCGGATGAACATAATGCGCATGTGATAAATGTAAGCTAAAGTTCTACGTGTACACTTCCTCACAGGTTTCACGGCAAACCGCTGCACAATTTACAATATAATTGCATCCATATACCAACGAAGGGGTGCGGACGGGCCAGCGTGCGTGAAGTTAGCGATCGTAATATGGTCATCATTGTCATCCCATGGACTACTATCATGAGTTTAAAGAGGATCTGAGATTACAGTCGATAACTTCACGCACGGCGACGCTCGCGCACCCCTACCCCTTCGTTGGTTGTATTGTAATTGTGCAGCGGTTTGCCTTGCAACCTCAGAGTAATGTGTGTATTATAATTAGTGCTGTAAGTCAAACGCCATGTTCGTGTTCGGTTCGGTTCAGCAATTTTTCACCCGAACTTGCTTCGGTTCGAGGTTCGGTAATATGATGGCAGGCAGCGTTATAGCTACGGTGGTCGGCACTGGGCGGGCCGGCCAGCCGGGCCCGACCAGCACTGAGGACTTCTGCCCACTCCTGATGAAAAACACTGCTTCCGACCAGCATGAATTTCACATTAAAAAACTGGTCTAAACGTAACTATTTTTGAAGAAAAGTAGTAATTACATTCGTATTTCCTTCTTGAATCATGTTTTATCTGCAATTTTAAAAGAATCATGTTTTCAATTATCAATAAATGATATTTTTTAAAGATTTGCTGAGACGGTTGTTGTCTAATGTTACGAGTCATGAAAGCTGCCATCTTGAATAGCAGCCTAGGCTCGTCGATAACTGTTTTTTATAAGTGTTTATTTTCAATAGGGAATATAATAAAATCTCTGTTTTTCCTAAATAAATACATAACATACTATAATATAGATTAATTTCATTATTTATATTGTAAAATTGTCTGATATTGATACAATTAAAATATTAATTTTTTGGTTGAACGGGTTTGAGCTGAACTAGTTTTGATCAGCGCCTAGAACGCACATGTATTCTTGTTTATGGCTTGTGATCACGACGTAGCAGAGGGCAGGATTTGGGATTTAAATGGCACTAGTGAAGTCGCACCCACCACTGGATAGGCATAAATCACAAAGGAGGAAAATGGGGGAAAAGTAAATATGAAGTGAGCAATCATGACATGAAAATTAGGTACAAAATGACAAGTTAATTAGCTTGCGAAAACGTTTACATTTTTCTGCCGAATATCCGAACCAGGCCTTCGCGTTTGGTTCAGTTCGGAATTGGAAGTGCCATATTCGGCGAACTTCCGTTCGGTTCGGCTACAGCACTAAGTTAAGTTACTAAGTAATTAGATCTATAATGTTTTCGTTTCTAGGAAAAATACTCCAAAAAAGGTAAAGAAAATTGACACGAAATGGGTAAGAAATATAACAACTTTATATCATAACCATTATTTTAACAATTGAAGATTATATTCATTTTTGGTATGTTTCAGTAGGGTATATTCTAGACCGAATTTTCTGTCTCTTTCGTTCGTTAGCCTCTTAATGGTGTAGGGTCGGCCGGCTCTCTCTTTAGAGACGGAAACCGTCTATACACATTCCCTTGATAACGCCACGGCCATTTCAGGTCGTAGCGTTTTGCCCCCAAAATCCCCCAAAATGTCATTTTACCTCGTGCATGTTATATTGTAAATTAGGCCTAGGCTATAATAAATCAGTTCCACTTACCAACTTGACTGAAATAATCAGTTTAATAGTCCCTTTTTAGGAATTTATGGGTCAAAATCGAAATCCATGTTGAAAAAGATTTTCAAAATGGATTTCGATTTTGACCCATAATTTCCTAAAAAGGGACTATTAAACTGATTATTTCAGTCAAGTTGTTAAGTGGAACCGATGTATTATAGCCTAGGCCTAATTTACATGTGGATATGCACGAGGTAAAATGACATTTTGGGGGATTTTGGGGGCAAAACGCTACGACCTGAAATGGCCGTGGCGTTATCAAGGGAATGTGTATAGACGGTTTCCGTCTCTAAAGAGAGAGCCGACCCTACCCCAATAAGAGGCTAACGAACGAAAGAGACGGAAAATTCGGTCTAGGTATATTCACGCCAGAGTTACGGTAAAAATGTGGATACGAAGTACACTAGCGCTCACTACGACTGGTACGAGTACGAGACAGTATGATGACCCATAGATTTAGAATTTTAGTACATAGACCTATATGTTCTACAAAATATAAATGATAGATCTTCCTACGAGTACGAGTACGAGTAGATGAGATCAAGACGAGTGCAGACCTTCCTTGCCGAGGCCGAGCCGAGCCTTTTGTCAGCGTTTGTGGCTGCCCGAGCTCTCGGGTACTTCTCCCAAGGCTTACGCCTAGCTCGAATACCATGCGCGTAATTCGTCGACGACAACAATACCGGTACATATTTATGACAAGATTCTAACTGACAACAATTAAATTACAGATAAAAATATATGTTAATATACTTACATGCATTAACAATACATTTTATTAACAGTTAACATTGGCAGTTATGTTCCATTACGGTTCAGTCTATCCCGTTTTGTCAGAATCTCATCTCCGGTCTTAACCTCAGTCAGAGCTCTTTCGCAGCTCGTGATTTCTGTCTACACGATACCGCAGCACTGACTGGTTGGGCTCACACAATCGTGTATTAAATATCCCAGCGCGGGCATTAATGCAAATTTGAGCATTCAGTTTTCAATTAAAATTCCATTTTTTTAAAGGAAGACTGATAGTTTAATATTCATATATTTCTTTTGTCTTCTTCGATTAATACATTTGACCATCTATTCAATTTGAGCACACATTGTTTAATTACTATTGCGGAAGGATTATATTCGTGCTCCGGCTCCCTTAAATAAAATCGGGGAATTCCCCTTCTATCTTGACTGCATGACCACGGGTGTGGGGGGGGGGAGGGGGGTGCAGGTATAACCAAGAGGGTTCTTGTACCGCGACATCTTCTTCTTCTCCTCCTTAAATCTTCTTCATCCTTTTTCTTTTTCTAGTATTCTAGCTGTTATGCAGCCTATCTAAGTTAAAGACAGGCCGAGAGGCCGAGACATTACAAAAATGGGGTTGTGTCATTTTTCTTCGAGTATGCCTATACATTCAAGACTGCCACCGGCAAGGCGCGGCACCACGATCTGCTGCTTCTTATCCTAAAACCAAAGTCAGAAGCTTTTCGGCTTTAAAGTGCAGTTGTTCTCTTTCAATCTCTGCCCATTTCTTTCAGCATTTCTTTTGTTTGTACACCTCTCCCTGCCTCTCCTGCCTCTATAGTCTATGTCTGTTAATTCTCTCTCTCTCTCTCTTCTCTCTCTCTCTCTATCTCTCTCTCTCTCTCTCTCTCTCTCTCTCTCTCTCTCTCTTGATAATCCATATGTTACACCAATACAAAGTGATTTAATGGCACAGAATAACTTCCAACGACACGAAATGATTTTGTTAATGACAAAGTAAGTCAGGCGGACCAGTGTGAAAGGTTAAATTTCATCCTGAGGGAAGGGGGGGGGGGGGGGGGGGGGGGGGGTACTCAGATTTGGTTTGGACGGGGCTGCGCCGCTCAAGCATCGAAACCCCTGCTCATTTTTAATGGTCATTTTGGAAGAAGAATACAAATATGAAATATTTCAAAATTTGGAAAAACGGACCCATGTATAATGATTGATATATTTGTAAGAAATAGGACCCATGTTCAGGGATATTTTGTGAAAAAGAGACCCCCGTATCCACGTATGTTTTAATATGTGAGTACCCCCATGCTGATCACTGACCAACTCTTCTATACATTCCGTAAATATGTAAATACAGGCCCGAATTCACAAAGGAGTTTGGCTGTTGCCCGCGCTGAGCATTTTTATTCACTGCGGCGCATCACGGTGGGAATTCCCATAAAGAGTTGCACAATAATTTGAAGGGAATGCCCCAAATTCGGAATGTAACGGAGGATAAAGGCAGATGCCTCGACCATGGACATCTTGAAATCAAGGAGTCTTCATTTGTGTATATTTAATTCCTGCAATTACGGGCATTAACTATTGGGGGGGGGGGGGAGGGTACGCCGGTTCAGCCTATAGACAATATTATGCCACTGTGTTATGCACCTCCGTTATTTTATTTTTTAGATCGACCGCACTTAATCTTTTCCACTTACAGTATTTTGTTGCTGGTATAACAACCGAATTGATTATTGATTAATGGTTGAATATTACTGATTTACTCGATTGCTTATTGTCGACTTGGCCGATCTGTTTGTTATAGTAATGAATATCATGAGTACCTGCCATTGGCGTATCGAGTGATGGGGCGTTTTGGGTGTTCAAACACCCCCTCCCCCTTGGCAAACTGTCACTCCCCCTTCCGTTGAGCCCAACAAAAAATAGTGCTACCCCCCCCCCCCCGCTTATTCGGCGGCTGGCTGATTCGCCGCTAAATATTTTCTCACGAATTGGGCAATAAACCACCTCCCCAATCCTGGCTACGCCCTTGCCTGTAGCTTCTCTACACTGTAGTTATTTTCATCGACTGTGCACATGACTACGTTATTTGCATTTGAGTTCGTGACTGCTCAACTTATATGTTTGTTGGTTTGATTTCTTTTCTTTTTCTTTCGACTCAAAATATCTCTTTTTAAATAAAGTACAAATATTAAATATAATATGTAAATACCACAAATTTCTATCTCTCTAAATGGACAACCGCGTCTCCCTAGGCTCACATCCCTAGAGCTACAAAAAAGCATCCGATTGATCCGAACAAAATTAGTCAGACTCCAAACATGGACCTAGCATCATTATTATCATTTGCCAACCAGTTTAACAGAGTCTATTCGCTGATGATGAAATGAGTATGATGATGGACTCGTTCCAAAGGCACATCAATTGAGTCATAAACACCGACCCCCACACAGGTAGCAACACAACTGCCATTTGTACATTCATAATATACGTAATAAACATCAGCGCATGGATTGAGGATTTAATTGATTATGTTGGTCCTATTCATATCGCTCAGTCAATGGAAAACGCGTCTTTTCTTCAGTTTTTATGATCTCATATCCCGTGATATTGAATCATACAGCTGTTGTTTGTGGTGGTGGTTGGGAGGGAGGGGGGGGGGGGATATGGCAGAACTGGGGAAAACCAAAGGCAAACCATTATCTCAAAGAGGTGTATTGTTATTTTGAAAGAATTTAATTCATATCTCTGTCAGCATAATCTTAGACGATTATAGAAATGAGACGTATACGCGAATGACCTCTGTACAGCTGCACTACTTTTTTGTTATCTACAATAATGTTATCTTTTTTTATTTCTGGCCTCTGTACCCTGTAAATGTGTAAATAGTTATCTTCTCTTGTTTGTTGTTATTGTTTGAGAACCTTTAATAAATATATGGAAATTCCATTCGGGTATTTTAAAGTTCTCTTGATAGATTTGTGACAATAATTTGACACGATGCTTATTGAGGAAGTGCAACTCAAAATGGGTTGCACTGAGCACCCCTCCCCCCCCCCCACCACCCAGAGTATCCCATGAAACATACAATTTACTATTATTCAAACTGATTAAAACATCTATTTAATCATTGATGGGTTATGATTTTTTTTGTATTGCTCAATTAGAAGTAATCAGGAAAAAAGGGTCTAGATGTTAACAGTGATTATCACATCAGCTCTCTTCCATTCTGAATCATTATCAATGATGAATTTGAACAAAATAGGTTTTAAATACATTGATATTTGCTCAAACAAATCTGGCAAAAGTGCGGAAATCTCATCTTTTGTGAGAAACTTATCAAAATGCTCACAATTCCTACTGCTCATATGAATAGATTATTTTGACTGAATTGTGTAATTAAATGTTGAGTGAATATTTTTTTGATGGGCCGATTGAACAAGAATTTCTTCAAATGAATTTCACATCTTTGTTTCCATCCCTATAATGTTGCTTCTCACCATACATTTTCAACATATCGAGGGTACAGTGACACAAAGACGTAACTCCATATTTTTGCCAAAATGAGTATTTGATATCAAAATGTTCAGAAAAATGTGGGTTCTCCAGGAAACCCCAAAACTTAGCTCCACCCAACACCCCATTGAAGTCAATGGCTAGTGAAACATAGACTTAACTCCTTAAAGAGAAGGTTGAGTACTGGTAAAAAAAAGAAAATTATTTCTTACAGAATCAAACGAAACTTACACTGAATGTTCAAGATTACAAATAAATGACATGTGCCAAACAATTTTGGAAGAAAATGTATACTGGCTGAGTAATGAGCATAGAAAGACAAGGAATCAAGGTAGTACCAACCCCGACAACATGCGTGTTGTCCCATACATAGCTTTCTGTGTATGTGCTTGTTACTTTACCAAGACTCGGTCAAATTTATTATGATTTTGATGACTCCAGAACCTTGCAGTGCACACCAATACTTACATGCTACATGATCAACTGTTTCTGATCCTTTCCACACCTTTTCTTTCACAATGCAATCGCATTACCAGTACTAAAGTTTATCTTTAAGGCCCAAGTGCTCAGTGACACATAAACCACTTTTTCTCAAAATGGCCCAAATTACGTCTTTTTGTCAATGACCCCTCGGTATGTTTTCCACAGGGTACAAAAATTGCTTTATCTATGTTTATTGATGTAGAAGCATTGCAATAATTGTATTCTTCTTGCCAATTCAAGCTCATTCCCAACACTTTCATTCATCTCTTCCTCTTACTCTTAATCCAATACATATTCATCACAAAGATAACACAAAATTGGCAAAGTTGAAATGAGAATTTATTTCCACTCCAACTTTACAGGTATGAAAATGAAAATATATATACGCGATATGAAATGATGAACTATATTCAAAATAAGCATACATGATTATTATGAAATATCAAAAATTCAGAGATTGGACATCACCCCAAAACATGGAAAAGTGATAAAGAAAAATGCATGCATAGAGCATAAAATTCAAGTCCGGAATATCGGATGAAAGATATAAAATAAGAACTTTTTCATAAAAATATAATCTATGATGGAACAAACACTTTTCCAATGATTACAATATTGTTCTTCCATTATTTTTATACATTCTCTTTTTTTATGGAGCAAGATACATCACTAAATACCTCACATTTTCTTCCAAATATGTACAATGTAGAAATGAGTTTTCGAAGTATGCAACATAAAAATGATGACCTTTCATTCAACAAAGTCATGGGAAGTTTATATTATTTACACATTGCACATCGCATACATGTCTAAAGTAAATAAAAATCCTATATCCTTTAAATGTAAACAAATAGGAATGGGTATTCCCCAGGAAGATTGTTAATTTCCTTAGTGAGTGAGGCTCCTTTTAATATAGGCATCCTGTACAAATTCTGGGGAAAAAACAACCCTTGTATAATATTGAGTGGAAAAAAGATCACTCTCCAAAGAAAAAGTAATTTCTGACAGATAAAAAAACAAACACATGTTTAGATTTTAGATGTATACCAATAACTATACTGTACATGTATTGAGCTTTGCAACAATTAGCATAGATCTTTCTAGCTCATAATTTGAGTAAAATGGCTACAAAAAAAGATTGTTGAAATATATACAATGATAAAAGCAGATAGTCAGTCAACAAAGTAGAAAACATGAAGAATGCATGAAATTAATTAGACTAACTTTGCAAACTTGTGTGTACTATTAACGTGTCATATCATACATAACATGTCTTGGACCATCTCAGAATCTAGGTAATTTCTTGTCAATTGTACAATGTCAGACTTTATGTATATCGCAGCATGCTTCAGAAAACAAGACGAAGACTATGAACAAAAAGCAACAACAAATCTCATCTCATAAAGCCAACATTAGATTTTGTACAAAAATTATGCAATTTTAGGGCTGCTTGGGCATTTAGTGCAGGTGTATTTTGATGGTTTACTTTCTATTTTGTCATTTAAGCTGCAGGAACATTCACAGATCTTTTACTGAACAACTAACATTAAAAATACAGCATGGGACTGTTATCATTATTTACTCCACATTACAGTGAAGATCTATTTATTTTTTTAAATTTGTATCTACATGCAATGCTAGAAGGGTGAGTAAGATAACCCCTCACTAAACCTTTAATTTGTCGTTCTCAAATCTTGTATTTTTTCCCTACATTAACAAATTGTCAGCAATTTCTTTTCATAATTTCCTAGCAAATAAATGACAACTTTTGTTTATCTGGCAGCCTACAAAGAGAATTAATAGTTTTGAAATTATTTTTGAAATCTTGAAATGCATGAATCTGGTCATCCAGCTAAAAATGGGTGATCGCAGACTCAATGATAGTTAAGTGAACAAGAAGTCAACAACACCTATCATTATAACATGTGGTAACACTGCAAGCATTAAACAAAGTTTGCTTCCCATTAGTTTCTAGAGCATTCCAGCCAGTTGCCCTTTTACAGGCACGCACATGTATGCTAATCTACCCACATTGAAGTTTGCATCCTACCGGGTACCCATTCAGCACCTGGGTGGAGAGGAGCAATGTAGATAAAATGCCTTGATCAAGGACGTAAGTGTTGTGCCAGCAATCAAACCCACGACCTTTGACACCTCTACAAAGATCTCTAAAGATTTTAGTATCCTTTTAAGTTTTTACTAATTCCATCGCTTTACTATCTGATGGATCAGACAAAAGATTTATTTCAACACTAGATTTATATTCATTTTGTTCTAAATTCAATGATACTTGGTAAAAATGCGTGACATAAATAGACCAAATACCTTGGAATTAACAGCGGTAGCTTATTACTTCAGCATCAACCTTTACCTGACAGAAAAAATGACAATGCTTTGGGTTTATGCCCTTTGGTCGGACACAGGACGAATTAATTGCGAGACCGTGCAGGAGCAGACGACCGACTATTAAGAGAGGTACATCTACTTCAGTTCTCACTCATCTCTTACAATACATGAAGATCATATAGTAACCTCATTGTAGTATCCTTGCAAGTTTTATTCACTGACTTAAACATGAAACCTATGGTGAACCACCAGCCCAATTGGCAACTCGACTGCAACTCCATCTCTTGAGACCGACTATTTATAGGTTAATGAGACGTGCTACTGACATGATAACAGGGAAACAGTTTATGACAACTTAAAGCCCATCTGTACTAGTTTACATGAGGGATTAGACTACCCTGCAAAGTCACTGACAGGTGGTTATCTCATCAAATCAGCTCTCACTTAACATAAGAAAAAGAGGATCATGGGAGACCAATGGTCACCGATTAGGCATTGTTTGCTATATAGAGGGCGCAAGTAGCTATAAGTAGTGCAGTGAGGCTTTTAAGCAGCAGGACGCAACTTGGAGCTGCAGCATTTATTTCAGTTTTGAATGTAAGGCTTCCTGGAAGAAGTTTTAATTGTAGTGAAGAAACTTTTGACTCGTAACCCGAAGATAAAGATCACATGCTCAAGCTTGTACTTTTTTTACAACATATGGGGCCCGTTTCATAAAACTTTTTATCTTTAACAAATGCTAAATTTCTATGACAAATTTGCTCTCAGCCAATCAGATGCCTTGATTTCAGTAGCCTATAACAGTAGCTTGTAACTTGTTATTGATATCAAGTTTAATGAAACAGGGTCCTGATACAGTTCTCACACATCTCCTACTCCTAGTGTACAAGGCAGTCATGCATATTGTGACCCCATTGTAGTATCCTAGCAATTCTTATGATTTCCTTGACCTAAACCTGACACGTTTGGTGTAGTGGTCGGGTAGCCAAGGATCATGGCACTGCTCACGGCGAGAGATACACTTTGAGGCAGCCGGCATTGGGTGTGGTGAACCTGCAAAGTCAATAACAAGGAGAGGAAGAAAAAAAAATGAGCAGAAGACCTACGGGTATATGTCTACATGTACAGAGTAGAAAGATGTGGAATCTCTTTGCAGAAAGAAACTAGATGGAATTTTGACTGCGTGCAGTCGAAAATGATGCCTCCGCCATAGACCAATTTAAACAAGTTTGGAGTTTAAATCTCCAGTGGTTCTTGAGATATCATGATAACAATCTCAATGTATGGAATTTCATAAGTTGACCTCTGTGACCCTTGACCTTTGACCTACGTGCTCCAAAATCTAATCAGATTGTCTTCCTATGGTGATACACACTATCATTAAGTTTGAAGTTTAAATCTCCAGTGGTTCTTGAGATATTATGATATGGTGATACATACTATCATTAAGTTTGAAGTGAAAATTCTCCAGTGGTTCTTGAGATATCGCGATAACGATCTCAATGTATGGAATTTCATAAGTTGACCTCTGTGACCCTTGACCTTTGACCTACGTGCTCCAAAATCTAATCAGATTGTCTTCCTATGGTGATACACACTATCATTAAGTTTGAAGTTTAAATCTCCAGTGGTTCTTGAGATATTATGATAACAATCTCAATGTATGGAATTTCATAAGTTGACCTCTGTGACCCTTGACCTTTGACCTACATGCTCCAAAATGTAATCAGATTGTTTTCCTATAGTGATACACACTATCACTAAATTTGAAGTATAAATCTCCAGTGGTTCTTGAGATATCATGATAACAATCTCAATGTATGGAATTTCATAAGTTGACCTCTGTGACCCTTGACCTTTGACATACGTGCTCCAAAATCTAATCAGATCGTCTTCCTATGGTGATACATACTATCCTTAAGTTTGAAGTTTAAATCTCAAATGGTTCTTGAGATATCGCGCTAACAAACTCAATACAAGGAATTTCATAAGTTGACCTCTGTGACCTGTGACCTTTGACCTACGTACTCCAAAATCTAATCAGATCGTCTTCCTATGGTGATAAATACTATTCCCGAGTCTTAAGTTTAAATCTTAAATGGTTCTTGAGATATTGTGATAACGGTCAAACGGGACGGACGTACGGACGTACGGACGGTACGTACGGACGTACGGACGGACAACCCGAAAACATGATTCCTCCGGCACCACCTTCGGTGGCGGAGGCATAAAAAAGAAGGGTATTAACTCTGGATTAAAGTGTATGAGTTAACACCCTTCTGGCTCCAAACAGATGACATCATCTGCAAGAACCAAAAGGCTGTTGGCCCATACTTTTTCTATTACTTGGCTCTCAACGGACAGGTATTCATTTTCACATGTAGTTTTGCTACCAAAATGGTGAATGCGAAGAGTGAAAAGGCAGATTCTTCATGCTTATGGACCTTTAATAATAAATCTCCATGGTTCATTAATATCCATTTTTTCATAAGATTTAAGTACATTTGTTACTTCAATCCATAAATATCAACAAAAATTGCATTCAGATTATCAATAAGTGTGTTTTTGTATAAAAAAATAGTATTCTATTAGGGAATATCACTCTGCTGGATCAATTTGAATCCAAGCTGAAAACACAATTATTCTTGTATGTGTAATCTAAATTTTATTGACATAAATACAGTGATGTTCTAACACGCATAGAGACCATGTTGGTTTTATGCGTTTACTAAGCAATGTACTAGAATATAATATATAATATACACAAAAATGTGAAAATTACATGCTGTACAATATTTGGTTTCAAGCAATACTTTTCTGACACCAAAATGAGTATGCTTTAATAAAGCACAATCCATTGTTTTCTGTTCAAGGTAACCTACCAACAAAAACACAACGAACTGAATGGTAAATAAATTAGTGTCATAACTTTGTTATGATTGAGGTACTGCAGAATCTAAATGCTCGTGTTTAATCACAGAACTAGTACGTCACAGGAAAAACCAAAAACGATGCCTTAAAAGCAATGATCGGCATAAAAACTAAATTAGCAAAATTTCGGTAACGTGGTATTAAAGGACCATGTGATAAGAAAGAAATAGATGCATTCAGATAATAAATTCAGATACCTGTCGGCACTAGTTTGGCCAGGAGGGATTAGACCTCCTAGCGTGGTCCCTGACAGGTGATTATCTCATCAAATCAACTCTCAATTAACAAGAAAAAGGGGATCATGGGGACCTACAGGCACTGATTAGGCATTGTTTGCTATATAGAGGGCGCAAGTAGCTACAAGTAGTGCAGTGGGGCTTTAAGGAAAATAATCACAAGCTCTTACCTGTAACCTTTCTGCTCCAAGAACTTGCACACAGCTGGTTTGAGCTTGGCCACGCCCATTTTGCTGTGCTTGCCCCGCCCCGTCACCACCTCCAGGTACCTGTGTTGTCCGGGTGAGGGGTGCATTTGCCTCTCAATCAGGACCTCCTGTAGAGCCTGCAGGGCTTCCTCCACGTGAAGGTTGTGGAGATCAAGCTTGTTCTCACCAGTTACATGTCTCCTGGGCATGATAAAACAGGGGGCTTCACATTATTCAAAATTGTCCGGTTTTCCGTCAACAGCAGAGTTCAAGAAACAAGAAAGTCTTTTAAGGAAAAATTATTTGCACATCCTGTAATGCCTCGTTTTAAGCACATGGTGATGGGCCTACTACGTGGATTACTCCTTATTCAGCCACTATACATTTTCTACCAAAGCTGTTCCGCACATGTCATTTATTTGTAATTTTGAACATTCAGTGTAAGTTTTATTGGATTCTATGAAAATTTATTTTATATGTATTACCAGAACTCAAGTTTATCTTAAAAAAACATCTATTTAGGCTCTGCTTTGCTTTGAGAGATCAAGGCCAGTAAAACCAATGCTCACCTTTGAACCAGAATCAATTCAGCTGCTCTCCTATTAGCTTCCTTCAGTCTCATGGAATGTAAACGTCCCTGGAAGAGAGCAACAAATGAAGAAAATGACGCAACAGAACATTTCATGTACCACATGTTTTTGAATACGCTACTAAAAATTACAATTTATTTATGTTGTGGGTCCAACCACCTACATGTACAAGTACAGTGACCCCAAGATACTGGTTCACGGAGGGTAGCCAGTTTTTTTTAAACTTGGTGTTACACACACTTAATTAGGTACCACGTTTAAAGGCTTTACTATTTTTTTCCTTCCCTCAACAACTCTTACAATCGCTCTTATGTGAATGAGGGAATAGGCAGAATTAAAAAAAAAACTGTAAGCAAAACAAGAAGAGTCTTTTTATGTACTTAAGGAATGTCAGATTAGGCTTTTCACACAAAAAGAGGAGCGACATGGGCCAGTCGTATCCCTTAGAGCCCGTCTGCACTAGTTTGGCCAGGAGGGATTAGACCACCCAGCATGGTCACTGACAGGTGGCTATCTCATCAACTCGGATCTCAATTAACATAAGAAAAGGGGGACCATGGGGGATCAACGGGTACTGCTGAGGCATTGTTGGCTGTATAGAGGGCGCAAGTAGCTATAAGTAGTGCAGTGGGGCTTTAAATCTGCAAGCTTGTGCATCATTGTACCTGATTGGAGTAATGCACGGCGAGTTCTTTCTGTCCAGCGTGATACGCCTTGGCTGCTTTCTTGAAGCATTCGTCTCTCTGCTTGAAGTGCAACGTTGCTTCTGCTCTGTAGTCTTCGTAATCAGGCTGCTCGGTGGACTGGAACTGACCGTCCGTACTGTCCGACTGACCCTTCGCCTGCAAGAGAGTTGAAAGCAACATGAGAGTACAGAGGATGTCTCTATTTGTCAAAAATCATTTAACGAGTTGGAATGGTTATTTGTTCTTCATCCCTCAACATTACAAACTTGTTTAACAAAAAGATTAAATTGTAAACCACAAGTACTACATGATGTTTGTTCTAATCTATTTATCTTGATTCATGTAATGTTACAAATAAAACAAGTCAACGCAAAGCATAGCATCCCCTCGCAGGGTACAAATGGCCTATATACATCAGAACAAGTTACCTCCATTGGACTATACTATTACATTACAAGGCAAGAAAGTTAACCACACGTCTACATATATATTTAGGTGTTTTTGCATATTTAATGAGCTATGACCTTTCACCTTTGACCTACATACTCAGAAATCGAACTTAGGCTGTACATGTATTTTGATACCATGTACCTTCATATTAAATTCCATTAAAATTTGTCAAACATTACTCAAGTTATCGAATGGAAACCAGATTCGCATATTTAATGAGCTATGACCTTTGACCTACATACTCAGAAATTGAACTTAGGCTGTGCTTTGATACCATGTACCTTCATATCAAATTTCATTAAAATTTGTCAAACATTACTCAAGTTATCGATGGAAACCAAATTTGTTACGGACGGACGCACGGATGCACGCACGCACGCACGGAAGGACGGACAGCAGCGTTTCTATATCCCCTCCGACTTTGTCGGCGAGGGGATAATTACCCATACTCAGTACCTTCAAAACACTCAAAACACCCTTTCGCGGCTATTGCCTAGGGCGTGTTAGAATGTTCCGAAGGTACCTTGTGTGCAATTCTTACTAATGCCCTCACAGCTGTGTATAATTTGTATAATAATGACTACATCTCACCTTTCTCCTTGCAGGAGAGCTGTCTCTTCTCTTCTCCATCTCCACCAGTGCTTCTGGGCTGAAGACCTCCTTGACGGGACCGGCGGGCTCTCGGAATACAGCATTCACCTCCCACACGGTAGACTGAAACTCATAGCTATAATAATCCAAACACAACAATGACATCTTTAGCATGATGCAAAATGCACATATTCTACAAAGCAGCTTAAACATTTTTAGAAATACAAGTATCTTCTATCATTAGCAATCTGACTCTTCCTCCTATGGCAATAGGCCATTTTCATAACATAATCAAATTGAATATATACATCTTTGTGAAGTGCTTTGATAATCCTTGATGGAACCTACTTATTGGCTTTGAAGATCTCGTCCAGTGCATTCCTATCTACATCAGGGAAAGCCTCAAACAGCTGATCACGCTTTAGTTTGGTTGCTATGGTATTGGCTCTCACTGGACTAGGACTGCTCCACATCTATCAAATAAAAACAAAAAAATGAAGAAGTCCAAGAAGTCTCAAATTGTAGGCTCAAATCAACTACGCAGCATTACAAGATTTTGATTTTTTTTTTCCTTCTCCCTCCTCCTTGGGGATTCAATCATGCTTTTTATATCATTTTTCGGAATTGTCATTTAAACTGTTGATATGCTTACACTGCTGTTAAGAGTGTTCTTCATACAAAATTTAAAAAAATGTAAAAAATGAAATATACTGTCATCAAATCATCAAATTGCCTTTTCTCTCTCTTTATATAAATTGCAGGCTTCTCATTAATCCACTAATTAAGGTTATAAATGTCTTTTTAGTAAATATATTATACTTTTTTGTTTTGATGATAGTGTGATCAACCATGCAGAAATAAATGAGGGAATACAAACAAATAAAGAGATAAAATGAATAAAGGCAATGTAAGGCGAGGCGTCAAAAATATCGATACCAGCAGGCTGCCGCCTCGTGTATTGGCGCATCGAGGCTGCAATTACGGCCGAAGCCTGGCTGGGGCAATTATTTTTCACTCATTAGCCCAGCCGGCTTGCGCCAGGCTGGGATCTGAGGCTCGGTTTCCATTCGAAAGGCGGCAGCCGGCGCATGCTTTTGAATGCTTTTGAATGCCACTTCCTACCGCGAGCGGTAGCCGGCTGAGCTGATTTTAAAAATGCAGCCAGGACGCACAAGTGCAGTTAGCTGCCGCTGGCTGGTATATTTATTTTTGACGCCTCGCCTAAGTAAACAAACAGTGCATACATGTATGTATTGAAAATTACTTCATTTTTTCAAACAGTCAGAAGTGTTAAGATGTTTAGATTGGAGAATTTCGAAGAAAAGTTGAAGTACTCACCCCTTTCTTTTCCCTTTCTTGCCTCAGCTCCTCCTCAGCCATGATCTGCGCCAGCTCCGGAACTTCCACCCTCTGCACAGGAGGTGGGTACTTCCCTGGCGACCCCGCCCCTCCTACCGCACCCAGCCCCCCAAGATTCCTCAGCCCCCCTCCTACCAGGAGCTGCTCCCCTCTCATCCCTTCCTGCCCCCCGTTGGCCACCTCCGGCTCCTTCTGTCGCCTCTTGTTCCATTTGGGGGATCCCCCCGGTGAGGAGATTCCCTTGGTGGTGGGTTTCTTGTCCCGGTGCGACTTGGCTAGCTTCTTGAGGTTCTCCTCCTGCTGGAGCCTCCGGGCGAGCTCTTCATCTAGGAGGTGACGACGGAAAGAAGACATTCTCATTAGCTTGTGCATCGTCAGGCAGCGCATAGGAAAGTGGCTCTTCAAATTACAGGTAAAGATCACTGATGAAGTCACTTATGAAGTTAATGATCCTGCTCCAATTGGAATGATGTTGATATTCACAAAAAGGCAAACTTGTGTATCTACTTCAAACAAAAGCAAAGCTCCCCAAATTACAATGACAGATTGGGAGTAATCTTCCAAAACTATAGAATAAATCACCATTAAAATTCCAATCTCCAGTTCAAATAGTTGCAAATCAAAGTACATGTACTTGTTTGTAAACTGTAATTTACTACAAAGACAGAAGCAAATTGGCAAATAACAAAATTTCTTTTAGTATGTAATGTACACACTCTGGCTCCTACTGTATTAAGGGCATGAGTCATGGAAACCGTGCATAAAACAAACACAACCCTCTATTTAGGTTGAATGACGGCCAAGCACTTCCTGTTGTCAATCCTGTCAGAGACACGGTTGGCCATTGTTCAAAATAATAATAATATAATATCATCACAAACTGGAAAGCTGACGTCAATTCACTATCCCTGTGTAGGCTTCCGCCTTACACTCATGAAAATGGGCCACAAAATTTGACATTATATTTAGTAGAAGTACTATTTTGAAAGAGGAGTTTTCAATCATGATTACTTTATAGTAAATTATGAATGGCGTACAAGAAAACTCCCTTTGTTCATTTTCTTTTTATCTGAAGAAAATGCTGTCTATAAAACATGTAATTAAAACATCTTTTTATACTGTGTAGGTCCTTCTGCATGGAATCAATATTTTCCTTGATCAAAATTCAAGAACTTTCAATATTTCACACATTCTTCTCATACAGAAAGGAAGAGTTGGAAAGGTCATTATAAAGTTGCCAATTTAGTAAAAGGATCTTCAAACCTTCTAAATTCTATCAAATCTTTAACATACACACATGCATAGTAATCTGATTATTATTTATATCAATTATATATTCAACATACATATGAATGTTTAGTCTATGCATGGACCTACTATGTAGGATGTTGGTCCATGGTATATAAGCTCATTATCAAGATAATACATGTTTATTTTTTGCCACATTTGTCATTGTAGTTAGTCCAGTCATTTTACTGGCAGAAGTTGAGCAATAGGTAAAAGAATGGTAGACAATATAGCTAACTAATCACACGGTCCGGTCTTGTGACTTATTTGTTACCTTTCATTAGAAATCATAGATAGTGCATGTACCGTGAAAACTTGACATAACAAGGTCGGCTTATAACGGTTATAACGAGGATATTGTCACGGGCTCAAATCAATTTACGTGTAATCCATGGAGTCCCACGTGTGCGTTTTTTATGTAGGGCTTGATATAACGAGGCATCGGCTATAGTGAGGAAAATAAATTGGTCCTCATGACCTCGTTAATCGAGTTTCCCTGTATATCAAAATATATTTCCATATTATGTAACTCTCAGATGTATCTTTTTATACAAACAATGTGGGAGTGCATTCAGCATGATTCATTACCACATCCTTTTTCCTATAATTACCTAGAAATCTTTTTTTCTTCTCTTTGCCTCTTCCATTATGAATCATTTATTTTTTTCATTATATTTACATGTTATACATATTTACAAACAAATACAAAACACCAACAATATTTATCACAGGTAAACAATGGAATATTTGCTGGAAATGACAACATATCAATTATTTTCTTCACTTCTTTGACATTGAATTGTTTAATTAGTTTTGAATGAGTAAGGTTTATATCTCACCTCTCTGAAGCATTTCTTCGACCTGTCTCTCCTGGTCCTGAAACCTTTCTGCCAGACCGGTGGACCAGGCCGAGTGCAGCTGCTTCGCTACCTGGTAACCTATCTTCACCTTCAGGGCGTCCGCAGACAACATATCTAGAATATAGGAGAAAAAGAACATCCACTTAATAATTATTATCAAACTGATGATGATGATGTTGATGATTATGAATATGATGATGATGGTGGTGATGTTGATAAATATGAATATGATTGATGATGACAATGAAATGATGATGATGCAGAATGAGTACAATGATGATGAATATGATGATGATGTTGATGATGCAGATGATGATGCCAATGATGATGACGATGATGATGTTGATAATGATGATGATGATGATGATGACGATGAAAAAGATATAATGATGATGTAGCTTTGATGATGGTGATGATGAAGAAGATATGATGATGATGATGATGAATACAATGATGATGAATATGAATATGATGATGATGATGACGATAATGATGATGATGATGATGATGATGATGATGATGATGATGATGAAGAAGATATGATGATGATGATGATGAATACAATGATGATGAATATGAATATGATGATGATGATGACGATAATGATGATGATGATGATGATGATGATGATGATGATGATGATGATGATGATGATGTTGATGAAGATAATGTTGATAATGACGATGGTGACACTGAAATGATGATTATGCTGCTACTGCCGTTGATGTTTGATGAGATGATGCTCATCCTCATGATGATGTAGCTTTACTACTTTATTTCAAACAATCCAATATCACAAAACTTCTCCTTTGGTCAGATCTGATCTGCATTTGGCTCACTAAATTTATCTGAATTGATAGTTGGTTCAATTTCAATATGTAGTTATTCATTAACCCAGATTAAGTGAGAAAACTGTCAAAATGCCTTATACAAGGGCATAATTAAAAACTTTAAATCCATAAGCTCTCGAAGGAAAGTATATAGTAAATACATACAGAGGAGAGAAAGATAAAGGAAGAGAGAGACAGAAGAGAGAGAGAGAGAGAGAGAGAGAGAGAGACAAACAGAGAGAGAAAGAGACAGATAGAGAGAGAGACACAGAGAGAGAGAACAACAAATATGTAAGGTTTGATCTTGTGGAAGATATTTTATGCCTAGCTCTATTCCAGTGTACAAAACAAAAACAAAAAAATTGAATTTTGGAACATAGATTGACAGTTTAATACATTTAGTGGAACCATTATGATGCAGGTACACTGTGTATTTTCCATAGACTCAAACAAGAGCTATTTCATGCATTTTAAATTTTTGTACTCTAACAGCTTATTAGGATAGCAATTGATCCATGATCACAGAGTTCCGCACATGCAACACAAGAGGGTGTCCTACTTACCAGGATCAAGATGGAATCCTACTTGGCCAAAGAGCTCCTGTAGCTGGAGAGCGAATGCAGCATCCATCTGAAGCTCCATTCCTCCAAGGTAGTCATAAACTCCTTCACCACTGTCTGTGAACTTGTCCAAAGGATCACCTACTGCAGCCTCCCTATCCGCTCCAGGCTCGATGACATCAAACCCAGATTTCCAGGGTATGTCCGAATCACTCAGCTCATCCATGGACGGTTCCTCTAAACTTGCCCCAAATCTCACAGAGTTGTCCCCAATGTCACCTTCGGGTCGTTCCATCCCTCGCTGCAGCTTTGGACTAGATTTTCCGCTCTCCTGGTCGTTTGTCTTAGGATCTTGACCATAGGACACACCACCAGCCATTCTTTCATTATCACGTGGATCGCTCATGGTGCTGTTGGGACCAGACAACAAGGTTGACAACAAAGTTCCGGTTTGGCTATCCTCTTTCCCCAATTCTAGAAGGTCTTTCAAGTCTTTGGAGTCGTCTTCGTCCACCCTTTGACTCTCAGGTTCAGGCTGAGGTGTCAATTGATCGCTGCAAAGAGTTGCATGTACCCCTTCTACTTTTGCACCTGATGTTGCAGGAAGATCCGGTTTTGTTTGTGGAGTTACACAGTCTTCAGTCTGCAGAGCAGGGTTAATAGTTTCTTCTCTGACTTGCTCTGGTGCTGGTTTATCTAAGGTCACTGGCAGAATTTCTGATGGTTGATGCAATGGAACAAGCGGATTTTCTTTGATCGGGGAATGACCACGTACCACATTATCCCGATTGTGGCAAGCAGCAGCTAACTGTAGCATTTGGCGATCCTCCCTAAATGATTCTAGGGGTGGTAATTCATCATCACTAGTGTCAGCAGTCTTTGGTTTTAATAATTTACTCGCTCCGGAATAAAAATTGTTTGAAAACTCTAAGTCTTCACTGTCAGTGTCCTGTTCCTGTTCCTGTTGCTCACTCTCACCTTCCTGTTTGTGTAATTCACTGTCCTTGCTACTCTGTACATCTGACTTTGTAGTGTCATTCATTTCAACGGTCACTGTTCTTTTGTCAGTGTCATTTGTCTTTGAGCTTGCATCACATGGTCTAGGTTGTGCCCTCTCTGGTGTTTGTTCTGTATGCGTTTTGAGGTCATTGCTGAAGAAGATCTGGTTTGCTTGCTTTAATTCACTGGCAAACCTCTGACTATCGCTAGCTAATTGTTTCAAAGCATCATGCCTGGAAGCTGACATATCAGATGGAACAGTATCATTATCCAATCCCTGAGACGTTGGCAGATTGTCAGGAGAGTCAACTCTAAGAGCATCATTCCTGCTCTGCATTTCTTCTTTTCCAGTTTGGTCGTTGGGAAAACTGATTCCATGATCATTTCCAGCTGCAAGTTCTTCGGCTACTACAACCTTGTTTCCAGAAACAAGATTGGCAGATGCTCCATGTGAGGTCTTTGTTGCCTTTGTTGGAACTTCATCTTTTGGTGTGCTCCTGTCCTCAGGAGAACTTGCTGCTCCTAGAGCTAACGAATCAAGTAATAAGTTTGTTGCCATCTCAACATCTCCATTACAAGTCTCTAACAGACTCTGCAAATCTTTGGCAGAAGAGGCCGGAAAGCAACCTTGCATCCTTGATACTTTCTCATCCTCGAGGTTGGTCTCCTCTACGATCTCTTCGGTCATGCAGCTTTTGTGAAGTTTCACTGACAAAGGAATAGGCGAGGATCTATCTTGATCCTCTTCCCCACCCGTCTCATTTCCACCACTCTTGTCTGCCCTGCTCAGTAATCGCGCTACTGCAGATCTGCAGACATATCCTGTAGGAAGATCCTCGGGCTCCATGGTTCCACTGATGATTCTCTGGAGGAATGCAAAGTCCTGGCCATTGATTTCAGTACTTTTGTCACATAGATTGACTCTCACAGCTGCTGTTTCTTGTTTGATAATGGGGAATGTTGGCTTTGGAATGCTTCTCGATGGATCATACTTTGCCCAATCTGTGTTTACAGAACCCGGTGGGTCAGGGGATGTTGGCTTTGGCATGCTTCTCGATGGATCATACTTTGACCAATCTGTTTTTACAGAACCTGGTGGGTCAGGGGACATTGGCTTTGGAATGCTTCTCGATGGATCATACTTTGACCAATCTGCGTTTACGGGACCCGGTGGGTCAGGGGATGTTGGTGAGGTAAAGACTGCTGCAAGGCGCCTCGTTGATTGACCTCCGCTCAACCTTCTCGTCGTTCTTCGGAGGGATGGTGTTGAGGCACGGGAAGACTCTCTGGATTGACACTGGGAAGGACTTATAGTTTCTTCCTCATTCTTCAGAGGAGATATTGCTCCACATTTAGTTTTCGGTGCACACTCAAATCGGTCCTCAATTTCTACAGGAGAAATCAGAGGTGGACCTTCTACAGTGCTACAGTCCCTTTCTTTACCCTGATAGGATGTGTGACTGTGAACCTCTGCCTCTATTCTTCCAACACCCTCTGACTTGGGCTTCTCCTGCATGCCTTCAGAATTCTGCACTTCCGTACAGTTTGTCATAAAATGTCCTTTTAGTGGCGGACTCTGCTCTGCATTCATTTCTTTGATGGGATTGTCAGAGGCAGTCTTTCGAACATCACACTGCGGAGAATCTCTTCCAGTCAAGTTGATGTTCCTGCCATAATCGGAGTGACTGTGCAGAGATACGTCTTCTTCGCTCCTGGTCGTAGCATCAACACTCAGATCAATTTTCCCTGGCATGTCCAAAGACCTATCAATATCCCCTTTCAGATTCTCTGCAAGTAACATCCCGTATGTTTTCTCATCACCGTCCAAAGCTGGATCCTCCTCCTGCAGAGAAGCAGCACTCGCAGAGGAACTTCCTTTCTGATCATCACTACTTGAAAGCTGTGTGTTTAGCAATAGACTTTCAGTGTCTGATGCCATTGTCTTGCCAATGGTCACTTCTTGTATAAGATCTTGCCTCGTTGGCATCCCTGACTGAGGCTGAGATGGTCTGCTGCTCACAGGTGATGCTACGTGCTTCTGTCGCTCACCATTCTCCAACGCTTTACTGTTCTGATCTGTCTTGCCCAATGATCTCTTTTTCCCAATACTTGATGCTAGTGTTTGACTCGCCGTTCCAATATGACTTATTAATCTTTTCATTGGATCTTGGGACTGACTTTCATCACTCTCCAGAAATCTGATTGCTGCATCGGATGGCTTGTTATGTTGACTTTTAGGAGCAGCATGTTTTCCCTGGTTCTGCTGCCCTCTTTGAGGAGACTTTGGATTTCTCTTGTTCTGATAGGCACGATTCGGTGAAGGGGAAGGGGATCCTCCAGATCTCTTCCCTCTCTTCGGTGATGAGATCCAGCCCTCATCATCATGTTGGGGTCCGTCTCTTCTCATTCCTCCTCTATCTCTAGGTGGTGTTCTTACTGAACGAGAAGGGGACTGTGCCTTAGATGGACCATTGTAAGGACCATTCTTTGTTTTTCCTGAAGCCCTTGTGTCTTCTCCTCCATCTTGGTATCTGTTTGCAGGATGTTCATTGTTGTATCTCCTGGGGGAGCCACTTTTAAGATTGTTCCTCTGGTTCAGATCCTTCCTACCGTCTCTTCCTCCTCTCTGGTGATTCCACTGGTCCCCCTTGCTATGTCTATCCACCCTCTCCCATCCTTCATCATCAATGACCTTCTCATCTCCTGGGGCGTTGTCTTGGTGATGACTCCTTCCTCCATCTCCTCTTCTTGTTTGGCCACCCTGGTGTCCACCCTGTTGTCCACCCTGGTGTCCAGACACCCTGGACACCCTGGGACGCTTTCCATCCTCTCCCGGAAGATCAGGATCCTCTTGGTTAAGTTTGGCAACGTATTCCGGTGTCTTCTTCTTGTCCGGGCCACTCATGATACTTTCAACAGTCACCTTTGGATCATAGTTCTGCAGCATCCTCTCAATCGCTATTTTGGGGACACCATGAGAGTTCCGCCTTTTAAAATAAAGAAAAGTTAATATTAGAAAAACCCAGTGCTGTGCAATGTATTTTTTACAATTCGTTCACTGTATTTATTTTAATCTCAAATGGTTTTAAGGGTACTGGTTTAAAATTTCATAAAAGATTTAAAAAAAACTAACCAGTAATAGAAGTCAGACTACCATATCAAATCTGTCTTTAAATTTTGGGAAAATTATGTTTAGTCCCCCCCCCCCCCCCCCCAAAAAAAAAAAAAAAAAAATCAAACTTGACTTCAAAGGTGTCTAGTGTCTTCATTCAAAGCATGTTTATCTTTATGAAAAAATTGTGCAAGTTTTTCAACAAGTTATGCTGTGCCTGAATATAGGCATGCTAAATTTAAAAAAAATCTTGTTCTTCAGATTTTTAGATTCTCCCGGCATCATCAAGACTGGATGCAATTCTTCTACTTTGAAACTTTTTGCCAATCCTCCACATATCACTGCTACGAATAAGTAAATGATTTGCAATAAAATTTGCCAGCATATTAAAACAAGCCCTTTCCTAAGGACAAAATACAACCACACTCTTTTTGCCTGAATGACTTACTTGGCCAATTCTCCAGCTTTGTTCTTCCAAGGGGTATCTGGTTCTCTGATGACTACTTGGTATTTGTGTTTCAGTGCCTACATAGAAAAATAATAAATACATGTAAGTGACTCGTATAGGTATTACTACACCAGGGGGATGTTTCACAAAGACTTTAAGTTGGACTTAACTATGGCAGGCCGTTCATAATACTGTTTGCTGTGAACATTTACTGGCACTGGTCTCTCAAGGGACATACAAATCATGGTTACAAATGTACAGAATTTACCTTTTTGATAGTTCATTGGATAGTATCTAAAGATCATAATGGTGAGAGCAAACAGTGGCATGAGAGGCCTGCCATAGTTAGTCCAACTTAAAGTCAATCTTAGTCTTTGTGAAACACTCCCCACGGAGTGCTGAGCCTTATTTTTTCTTTTCAGATTCATATCTACATGTACAAAAGGACACATGAATCTTCATTCTGGTAATGATCGGCAAAAACATTCTCACACTAAAAGAAATGTATGTTGCATGTTCACGACTGCAAGTGAACTCTATCTGTCAAATCAATTCTGTAGGAAATACGTAGGATATTGAGGCAGTGAGGGGGTGTTTCACAAAGATCTTAAGTTGAACTCATCTCTAAGTTGGACTTAAAAACGATGGAAAACCGTTAGCAACCTTGAAAATATTTGTAAAAGTTATTTTAAAAGGCATAAAAAGTTGATTCAAATCATTCATATTTTCTATTATAACGGGAGATTTTGTGTTCTTGATGTGGAATTAATGAAAAGTCTAAAATACTTGAATTTTCGCTTTTGAATGTATTCTATTTTAAGGCTACAAATGGCTCTCCATAATGTTTTAGTCTAACTTAGAGTTAAGTTTGACTTAGGATCTTTGTGAAACACCCCTCTGATATGTGTGATGACGCCTTCCAGAGTGTAATTCTCTAAGAGTATCTGTGGCACGAGTTTGTGCCCCATTATAATATTTACCATATTTATCATAACCTGTTCTGATGTTATCAAGCATTTCCTGAACCGGTTTTGAATTTCAAGACAACAAGTATATCAAAGATACTGTAAAGGTGCTTCAATAGGTAACATTCATGTACTTTAACAGTTTTTCAGTAACGTATGGTTTTAAGAGAGACTAAAGAGAAAACGTACAGACAGGAAAAGAAAGGAAAATAAACAGATTGAAAGAGAAAAGAAAGAGAGAAAGAAAGAGAGAAAGAACTACCTGCTATCAAAAAAGGTTCATTGTTGTACAGGGGCCTTGTGGCGTGCGTCTGTAATCCAGCTTACAATGGAAGTTACAAACTGATTCAGCCGAGCACGTAGGTTCGAAACTGAGTCACGTCTTTCGGATGGTGACGTTAAAAGGTCGGTCCCCAGATGTAAATAATCATATCTGATTGATACACTTCTGTAAAAAACCAATTACACACACACACACAAATACAGATAATTAAAAAAATTAAAAATTCCAGGAATAAGCTTTACAAACTCACCATGGCAACATATGGTTTCATCTCCCACGTCATGATGTTGGTGTTGTCAACGATGATGGGGGTAGTTCCTTTCGCCAAATATTCTTGAGCTGATTCACAAAAAACAAAAAATATACAGGTGCAAACATCTCAATGAAAATATACACTGACTGTATCACTCTTTTCACCTTTTCAATTTTTTAGAAGTGCGTGATGTAAAGTGCAGCAATCTTTATCAGCATTTATATAGCGGCGTCTATCTAGGCAATCCTTTTCCAAGGCGTACAAAAAAAAGAGAAAGAATTTATCTAGAGTTTGGATGAGTGTAATAGTGCCAAGTACACGTATTGTTTAAAAAATGAGATTTCAGCTTGGATTTAAAGGTTTCTATTAAAGGAAGTTAAGTTTCTCAAATTCAATGGTAAATTATTCCAAGGAGAAGGTGCTGCAGCTGAAAAGGCCCTTTCACCAAAGGCTACTCACGTCTTGGAGATCTTAAGAAGATGCTGGTGTGATGATCTTAGACTACAAGCTGGTGTATAACTTGCATAACAAGGTCTTGTAAATAGTTTGGTGCCAATCCATTTACAGCCTTCCATGTGTGCAGGAGGATTCAGAATTCTATGTGCTTGCGGATTGGCAACCAGTGCTTTTTGCAGCCTTGTTTTCACTGGAGAGGGCATTTCTAGATGCATCCCACTTGCTCAAGATTTTGATTTCATTTTACGATTAACCCTGACCATGAATTAACAAGTTTTTGCTTTGTACGGCCAATCTTTATTTGCCTTAGATGTTTTAAAGGCACACTGTCCTACTTGTAGCTTCTTGCTCCCTCTATATAGAAAACTTCCCCAATCGGTGCCTGTTGGTCCCCCATGATCCTCTTTTTCTTATGTTAAATGAGAGCTGAGTTAATGAGATAGCCACTTGTCACAGTGACCTCGCTGGCTCGCTGTGTGGTCTAATCTCTTCTGCTGAAGTAGTAGAGTCTGCCTTTAATACAGCTTTACTTCTCTCTCTCTCTATGTGCCATATCAATTGACTTTGGCGATCATGCTGTTCCACAACCCTCCTAGTCTTCTCTATTAGACCCACTCCCAGTTCTTTCACTCCTCTCTCTTCCAACAATTTCTGCAGACTGACCATCCAAAGTACTGTATCCTCCCTCTTCCCCTACTCCTTCCCACAATTTTCCCTGTCAAAGCAAGATTCTCTAGGCCTTCTTTACGTGTAATGTGACCCATGAACTTCAACTTCTTTTACTTCAAACCAAAGTAAATTGAGATTATTTGAGCTCACCTCTGGCGTGATTCCAGTCGTGTGCCTCTCCGACTAGGGTACGATCAAACAAATACTGCCCTCTTACGATGAAGAAGTCATCAGTGCTCAGAACAACTCCATTTCCCTTCAAACTCCTGAAAAGAATAACCAACATTTTCATCAATCATATATCTCAAATTCACTACAATTAAAATAATAGTACAGGCATAGCATAGCATTTAGACCAGCAATTTACATTCCTTGTTTTTAATACTGTATGTATTCCGATGTCAGACATCCTTGGGTAGTCATCTTTACTGTCTTCAGTTTGCTACTAAAATTTTCTGCATCCATATCTATAAAGAGACATTGTATACGTATTAAGCGTTATATAAAAGCTGAATACTATTAATATTATTGTAAAAAAGGCATAATTCTTGACTTCAGAAAAACATTTTTCAATCTCAATTTCTTTGGAAATTTTTTTGTTCTCACTAAAATGTATTACTTTGTTAAAAGAAATTTTATTCTAAATGTATTTGATTCCCATCTATTTAAGGCCCCACTGCACTACTTATACATGTAGCTACTTGCGCCCTCTATATAGCAAACAATGCCTAATCGGTGACCATTTGTACCACATGATCCCCTTTTTCTTATGTTAATTAAGAGCTGATTAGATGAGATAACAACCTGTCAGTGACCTTGCATGGAGGTCTAATCCCTCCTGGCCAAACTAGTGCAGTGGGGCTTTAAATAATATACATAATATTTGTATTTTCAAAGGAATACAAATAATAACGCTTACTTTGCAACGGTGCTTTTGCCACTTCCTGGACATCCCCTCATGAGACAGAGCACCTTGCCTGGTGGCAGCGGTGGGATTTTCCTTGGACTTTGTGCAGGATACTCATGCCGCTTCAGGTTGGTCTGTTGGATCACAGGCCACCTTGGTGGACCCAGGTACACTTCCTCCACGTTGGTTGAGGTCAAGGGCTCCTCGGGCGAATCTGGGAGTTCAGTTATTGTCACGTTGGAGCGTGGAACGGTAGGTGATCTTAGGCGTGGTCCTTGGAAACTAAAGATGTTATGGGGAGGATATGCACTGTTTTTGGTAGCAGTTCCTGGAGGCATTTGAGCATAGAAAGCTCTGGAGTAGCCCTGGTTCGGCCAGGGTTGGGATGATTTTTGGGGAGGTTGACCATCTTTGTGATATGTCCTGGGCAATAAACCTGGAGATATATTCCTCACAAAGAAGTGTGTTGTACCCATACCAAAACCAGGCGCAAAATTTGCATCGTAAACAAAGGGCTTGGGTGCTTTTTTTCCATGTAAGTTTGTTGCAGCAGGAGAAGCATTTAATGGACTGTACTGTGAATAGAACTGGTTATTTTCTACCTGCACAGGACCTTGTGGTATGTCACTTAATCTTTGCTGGGGTCTGGTCAATGGCATATCCACAGCACCTTGTCCTATTTCATTCCCAAAGAATCTTTCTTCTGGCTGCTTTAATGGTCTTTCCACAGGGAAAGGAGCACTCAAATTTTCTCCCCCTGGTGGGTACACATCATGAGACCTTTCCGTAGAGTTATTCGGTTTGACCAGCTGCTGACTCTTTAACAAGTTACTCCTTTCACTACTCGCTATGTCATGACAGCTGTCTCTTTCTGGCCTATCTCCTCTGTAACTTTCTGAATCTTCCTGAAAGCTGATATGCTTATCAATGTCTTTCTCAGAGTCTTCATCAGACGCATCATCTGTTTCGCCTTGCTCAGGGGTCAAATTATTCCAAAAGCTGACCGTTGCCTTGGGTCTAGCACTTGCCACTTCATCATTTCTATTCTCTGTTGTACTTAAAGGTGTGTAGTTTGTGGTTATATTGCTCAAGTTAGGATTAGTGCTTGGGAGCCGTCCGTCAGGATCACCATTGTTGAGACTGGGGTTTTCTTGTGGCTTCTCACTTGATTCAGCCGGAGCTGTTCGAGGTGTCCCCTGTGATGCTGCTCTGGCTCCAGCATCTTTTGATTCTGCTGCTTCATAGCCTGCCTCTTTACTCTCTGACTTGTTTGTGTCATCTTCTGCAGGATAGGGTCCATTGGGTTTGTCTCTTTCATCGTCAGACTGGCTTGGAGAACTTTTCCCAGAGCTTCCACCGCTACTAGACATTCCTCCAACAAGTCGATCATCTGTGGCACTGTATACCGGAAGGCGCGAGTGCAGTGATTTAAATTGAACTTTGGATGATTCAGCCCTCTCTTTTTCCTCTTCCTTGACACCCACCTCCAACACCATCTCTGCAATTGCACGGAGGTTTCCAAGCTCCTTCAGTTTGTTCCTGTCCCCAGTGTCTCGGTAGGCCAACAGACCTGCCGTAACCTTCTCAACGGACTCCTCGGAGAATGTATTGCGGTCAAGATCCTTGGCCATGGATATGGCATAGTCCAGACCGTTGATTCTATGTGGCAAGCTTATGTCATCAAGACCGACACCATTCGCGGAGGACAAGGGACGTTTCACATCAGGACCAGACCCTGCAACAGTTTCACCTGGAGTGACATGATGTGGCAGGTACACGCCATTCGGAAAGCCGTCCACGTCCTCAGACTCGTCACTATCTTCGCTTCTACTGTAGCTGACAAGGTCTCTAGGTTTCTCTGTTAAATGGCTCATATCAGATGCAGCAGGATTGGATGCATCACCAGCCAGCTTGAAAAGAGTCTCCAAAGCATTGTCAACTGAAAAGATAAATGAAAAACAATTCTTTTGCCGATTACAAATCCTCAATTCACTATATTGATAGGAGATTGAATGAAATCTCAATTAAAGAATAGTTGAATACATACAATAAATATAATAAATATAAGGAAAAAAAAATAATTAAATAAATTAATAAAAAGCCCATAGCAGCTCTGGTGAAGTGTTAAAAAACAATCTTAAGAAATATCTGTTTAATTTAGCCTATAATTGATTACCATTACCTTTCATGTCTGTACCTTTCCTGTATTTCATCTTTTGCACAAGCTGCGCCTTGAGCATTTGATTGTCAAGTGGATTTGTTGCCTTACACATCTTAAAGAATAATTGAATACTGAATAAATAAATTAATAGGTAAAACAAATAAATAAATAACAAAAGTCACATGAACAAAAACAACCAAATGTAACATTTTCACTGTACATGTATGTAAGCTTTGTGCCTACATTGTAAGTGATCTACACGAATAGTACTTTCAAGCTTGCCTTTATTACATGTACTCCACTGAAAACCAAATCTTTGTACTCTCCCTGGAGATGACAAATGATTTACAGACATGTATGCTATTATATTGTTGTAAACAAATGGGTCTTGGTTATCTAATTCCTCTTTTTTTGTGACAACACTTCATGCATAGATTGCTCAAGGTTTTATATATGTTTATGATTCGACGCAAATTAGTTTTTCATCCTTAATCAATGTGAAATTGTGAATAGGAAGATATTTTGATGTACATTTTGATTCTTTGAAAATAAACAAAAGAAAAGTTGTAGCTGTTGGTCTACATGTACATACATGTACATGTATGTATGTACAGCATTTGTATATCAATGCATGAACAAAGACAACCTAGTAATTACATTTATAAATGTACTAAGTACATGTAAACCACAAATTTGGGGAATCATACTGTTTAAAAGTACCACTATATACACATTATGCAAAAATGTGGATAAATGCTGAATAATATAGACTAATGAATTTTTCATGAAAACCTTTTATCATGGGGATTTCAGACAAAAACACCCACACTTCGTTATACACAAAAACCTATTGTCACAGGGATTTCCAACAAAAACACCCACATTTGACAAATTCACATTTTCTCACTGGCCACCCCCAAACTACATCCTGCACATGGAGACACAGTCTTTCATTTTTTAAACAAATATCAAAGCATGGTTTAATAATTAATGCATTTACAAAATTTGCCTAGATATTTAAATCTAGTCTTTTGAATTCACATTTTACATGTATGTACTAGTAAGTACTGGGGAATCCCGATCTTCTGCACGACAAACAACATTGTACCGGAGGTTACCCATCGACCTCTGCTCTTACACATTTGCCTTTACAATGTGTACATGTACATGTACATGTATGGCATGGGGAATCCCCCAGATGTCTCCTGATCATACACAAGGGTGTTAACATTATTTGGCGAATATGGTGTGACAACAGTGATATACACTACAGTATTGTGTGTGTGTTTGTGTATGTACAGATAATGATAGGCAATTATGTACACTGTACATACACAACGTAATATTTGGTTCTTGTATACAGTAGCACTCATGTCTGTTTTACATGACGCTCCTGGTGCTCCACAATTGTTGCCCCAGCATCAGTATGGCTACCATTATGGCACCCTAGAATTGCACTACCGGTAATTGGACTACAAATACTTCCAAATCATGACTCAGCTTGCTTCATCATGCTTCATGATGCAATATCTTTATTGAAAGTTTGAAACATATGGTACTAAGAACAGATGGGCATTGTGAAATATTTGATAATTCTCCATTCTTCACCATCAAGTGTATAGTCCTACATGCCTATTCCACATATTTGTTTAATCATATTGTATTTCACCAGGGAAAACAATATTTAACAAATTTCTGGGGTTTTAGGAGTTTAATTACGGTCAGATGAGCCTATTTTTGTACCTTATTTGGGACACGGGCAGGACACTAATTGGCGTGGTGTCTGTCTGGGGGGGGGGGGGGGGGGGAGACCCCAGTACCTCAGGGGTATTAGGCATTAAATTATCGTCAGTTGAACATATTGTCAGCCTTATGCCAAAAGGGCCTTAACCCGATTTTGGGGGTTATTGAGTTATTAACATCACCTTGTAGATTTCAACATTCTCTTTAAAATGATGTGCTTCACTTGTTGAAATTCGATTTATTTATGAAGATAATTATGAATTTCAAAAGGGCCTTAACGCGTATCTCATCTTTTTCCTTACGCCAAAAGGGCCTTAACCTACACGGCAAATCTGTTATCAATGACAGATTATTTAGTAATTTCCATTTAATTCAATAATATCAGTAGAAACACCATTAAAAACATGATTAGTCTACAATAGACACAATGTACTTAAAATAAACACTGAAAGTATATGTCATGAATTTAGATCATGAAATCTGAGTGAGATTTAAATTAGGTGTGGATGCACGAAATGCGACCGACTCGTTAAAATACGCAGATGTCAACATATGGGACAGTAATGAAAATAAACAACGAAAAAGGTGTCCTAAATGTACGATCTCTAAAAAATAACTTTACCAAACGCTGCTTATATTAATAAAAATATTCAGATATATCAAAAATACTTTTTCTTACATTTTAATCAATCAATTTTATCAGTTTTCGTGATCCAGTAGCCGTACATGTGGGAGGGGCTTTCTGGCAAACCAAAGGTGTTGCGAAACAAGAAAATTTCTTAATGCCAGAAGGGCGCTAACTATGCGTGCATACTTTTGGCATAACGCCGCGTAGGTGACGCTCCTTTTGGCACAATGCCGAGTAGGTTACGGCCCTTCTGGCATAAATACGCTACATTCAAGCCTTATGCCAAAAAGGCCCTAACATGTTTTTTGCACATGTAAAACATAAAACTTAACACATTTATTGAAATTGGCTTCAAACACAAAAAAACGACCACAAACTTTTGATTATTAGAGAGGCCAAAACTTTAAACGTGATTATCTCGGAATGGCCAAAAGCAGTTAAGGCCCTTTTGGCATAAGGCCGACGATATTTTGATACATATTTTGTGGCACTGGCAGGTCACTATTCTTTCTCTCCTTCTATTCTCCTAAATATACTTTTTCAAAAAAAGTGTGGGGGGGCAAATGGGACAGATGGCTCTCCATAATATTTAAAGGTAAAGACCAGTATTGGGAACGCGCCAATTTAAAAAATGAAATGGAAGCTCTCATTACCAATCATGTGAAAGAATATGTTTTGACTAATACATGATGATAAAAAATTTGCAGGGAAACCGCCTACTAATTTATATATTTGGTAAATTTGTTTCTCTCATGGACTGTGAGAGATATAGGGTAGTCCCATATACATCTTTCTGTGTATAGTGCTTGTAACTACGAAGAATGGACCAAATTTCTTATCATTTTGATTATTCCAGAACCTTGCAGATGCTAGATGCTAGATGATCAACCTTTTCTGATCGATTCCACAACGTTTCTTTCACAATGCAATCGCATTACCATAACTGGTCTTTACCTTTAAGTCCAACGAAGAGTAAAGTTTGACTTAGAATCTTTGTGAAACCCCCCCCCCCCCTGCATCTTTAACAATAACATCCGTCCAGGTTACTGAACAGATGTAATCAGTGATCAATGAAGATCATTTGTGATTTGCCATGTTTGATTGAACTAGAATCTATAATACTACCGTAGATCTACTAGAAGTAGAAGAGAGATTAGGCCTAGATTCTCTAGGGTCTACATAATCATGATAATCAGGATAATCAAATCAAAACTAAAGATCTGGGGCCGTATTCTGAACCCTGTGTTATCTCTAATATTGTTGTATCTTTGTACCAAAGTTGGTATTCTGAACATTGTTGTAACTTTTGTGTTATCTTTTGTTGTATCTTTTCTCTCATCTTATTGGCCGCGCCTGCGCTCATACTTTGGCGCGCTTGAAATTGTGCGTATTATTAATAAAGTGGCGTTTAATCCTCATTTGCATATGCGCACGAGAGATAATATGTCGAGATAATTGGCATTCTGAAAGTTGTTGTATCTTTTATCTCATCTCATCTTGCATGGTATTTACAACAATATTTAAAATAGGTAGGGGGTTGTTGTATCTTTCGTGGTGATATAATGGCAGCAATATTTCTTGCCCAGAACCAACTTCGTGCCAATAGAAGAGTTAGAAGAAGATTATGTGGTGATGAGAACTTTCTAATAAATTACATGCTAGGATATGATGATTTTAGTGCTCTCATCTCAACCAATATAGTGAAAGCGTGATTTGTCTTCATGATCCACATGCCACAGCGCATATGATGACGCGCGTATTAAGTGCTGAAATAACTAATTACGCCAAGATTAGTATGCGCTAGGCGCATCTTCAGATATGGCATAAAGTATTCCTATTGGTTGACCTACTTATCTTCTTCTTCTTCTTCTTCCAGTAAAGTACAGACCGCCGTTGGCGTATTATCGTACTTGTGCTTGTCGAGTGCCCAGATGAATAGTGCAAGTAAAAAAATCTAACTACAAGTTGTTACTATGTGCGGCTAAAAAACAGGAGAGGCTTAACGAAGTCTAATTTGCTGCACCCCCTGCTTGAAGATCACTAAGGAGGTGCTGTTGACTATAGTCGGGAGAGGGAGTTCCATAGTCTGATCGCATCAGGAAAGAATGTCTTTTGATACGTTTGGGTTCTGGCGAAGGGGACTTGAAACTTGTCTGGATTATCATCCTTATATAAAACAGATTTTGATTGGTAGGGTCCATACAAATGGCGTGTCAAGAGTGGTCAAAGATAAGAAGATAGAGGCGGTCCTTCAAGAGATAACACAGGGATAAAATGATGTTCAGAAAACCAACTTACAACAATATTAGTGCTGAGTTATCTCTGGAAGATACAACAAAAGATAACACAAAACTTACAACAATGTTCAGAATACCACCCCTGATCATGCTGATAATCGGTGATAATTAAATATGAAGTAGATCTAGGCCTACTCCCTGACTGAGAACAAGATACCCCATACACAGATATAGTTACCATTATAGTTGCAGTCCTCCATAATCATGTGAACCAAGACAGCATCTAGTTTGCCTTCAAACATATCTTGCAACTGCTGAAGACTCTGTGCGCGGGTTTCCTCCTTGTCGACCTTTTTTCTGCCTTTCCCTCCTGCGGGCCCAGCCCCAGCGTTCTTCGCATGCTTCGCATGCTTGCTGGAGGCCTCACTACCACCGCCTTGTTTCCCGGGTTTCTTCTTTCGTGGCATGTTATTGTTCCTCAGAGTGCCTATCAATTTAAGTTCCAGACATCAATGCCGTATCATGTTTTCTAACAGACAGCCATTACAGTTAGGTCTACGTGATATATAACGGGGTCTTATCTCACGATCTGCTCATATTATGATGGTTCTAATTCCGGAGCGCGAGCCGTACTGTCTTGCGTAATTCGTGTTCAATGTTTTTAGTTGAATAGCCCCATCTCTTGACCAGCAAAAACATCGCGTTTGATTTCAGATTGATTGGTCTAGTTTTAGTTTTAAAGATATATTTTTTTATATTGTACAAATATTTTGGACTTAACATAAATTGCAAAAATAAAAAGGAAACAAAGACAAAAGTACATTTTCATAAACTGTTTAGAAAAACATTTTCATATATTATAATCAAGAATATTGAAAACTTGAGAGATTATTTTGGCAAATCATTCGATAAACATCATCCAGGGGCCCGATTCTCGAAACCGTCATACTATACGGCTAACTTCTTGACTAAATCAGCGTTAGTAAGCTACTTAAACAGGGAGTTATCGTTTTTTCATTATTTGAAAATTTTATGAAAAATGTCGTGTTTATACTTTGGCTTCTGGTTCTGGTTCTGGTGGGCTACTGCATAAACTCCTCAGCTGGGATGTAATATGCATGCGCAGTCGACTGAGCATAGTATCCAATACTTAATTTCTGAAGTGGGCTCTAGCAATAATATTTCGCCCATGTTGAGCTTTTGTAAGGTATTTTTAAAGGCTCCAAGGGTGGGGGTATTTCTAGCATGGGTCGGGAGAAAGTTCCATTCGGGGAATGTCCTGGGATATAGAGAGTGTTTATAACGGTCCTTTACAGTGGATAACTTCTTGAATGATACTGAAGACCGTATTTTTGTAGATACCCCTACTCCAGATAACCTGTTTTGGTAGTGGTCAGTATCAACGGCAATTAAGTTGTGGATGGATTTGTAGAGAAAAGTCAACCTCTGGGCTGCTCTTCTGTGCTCCAATGGTTGCCATTTCGGTTCAAGACGAATCTTGCAGCACGTCGTTGAACTCCTTTGAGTTGTTTTATGTATTCCTTCTGATAAGGGTCCCAAACTGAGGCACAGTACTCAAGCCCGGCCCCCACTCAGTGTTATTTAGGGTACGCATATGCTTGTTCCCTCTTTTTGAAAGCACCCCCTATCTGAGGACTGCCAACATTTTCGAACCACCCTTTCGCGGGCTTTTCGCGGGCTTTTCCTGCCTTGGAGACCCCCCTAAATTCGGAATAATTTCTCAGGAGTCCAGAGCTATGAGAGAAAAAAGAAAAAACACACCCTTTTTTAAGAAAGCTCCGGGTAAAAAATCAAATACACCCCATTTTTTTGTACAATTCTCAGGCCGGACTTTCTCGCACGAAAAGTACCCCTTTACCGGACATTTTGGCATCACGCATGCGGTCATTCCGACTTCTGAGTGGGGGGGGGGGGGGGGGTACTCAAGTCGTGGCCTGACGAGAGTTTTATAGGAAACTGCTTTTACTGTGGGAGAGCAGCTAAAGAGGTTTCTCCGAAGTAATCCAAGCATCCGATTTGCCCTTGATGTAGAATTTTGGATGTGATTTGCCCAGCTGAGTTTACTGTCAAGTTCTACCCCCGAATATTATTATGTGCTTGAAGACGACTTCCAAAACGGAATCCCCCATTCGATACTGTGTTTCGATTATCTTCTTTTTGTGAGTAACATGCATTGCATAACATTTTGTTTTGTTGAATTTCATTTGCCAGCGTTGTTCCCAAGCATTCAGGCGATTGATGTCTCTCTGTAAATCCAGACTATCTTGGTTGCTCCTTATCTGCCTATACATGATGCAATCGTCGGCAAAAAGTCGGACTTCTGACGTTATTCCGTCAGATATGTCGTTTATGTACATGATAAACAGCAAAGGGCCTAAGACAGTGCCCTGCGGTACTCCTGACGTGACGTGTATGGAAGATGAGGAGGCACCATCAAACAGGGGCGGCCGAGCGACTTCCAAAGTGGGGGGGGGGGGGACCAACAAAAAAGGGCACTTTCTGGAAAAAAGGGCACCTACATTGGGAAATCTCAAAGCGAAAATATACAATTTTTTAGACATTGGTATATACCCCTACATTGTGATTACATTATCAGGGATGATTTCATTATTTGTTTCTCTTCATACATCATACAAGATATCGCTTAAGCATGATACTGTACAGTTGGGAGTGATGTCTGAATATGCATTTACGAGCGAGCGAAGCGAGCGAGAAAAATATTAAAGATCTGTGAGGTCGCAGTGCAAAAAATTACATCTTATAAAGAGGAAAAAAGCCAATCGTGATGGGGTTATAAGCACATTCTCATCAAGGAAGACTGAAAAGACCTTTGATAAGTAACATAATTATATCATCTTTAAATGCGAGCGAGCGCAGCGAGGGAACTTTGGGGGAAATTGCTCTTAGTCGCTTTAAATAAGGGGCACGTTTAATGATTACATGAAAAGGGGGCAATTATCGAAAGGGATAAGACACTTATTAGAAAAGAAAAGGAGCACGTGTCAAAGTACAAAGGATAATTATAAGAGGTGAAAATGAGGCATTTTTTCACCTGAAAAGAGGCAATCACCAGTGATGAAAAAGAGTCGTTTACGAAAATGGGAAATAGGCATTTGTTGACGGAAAAGGGGCACCCATCAGATTTTGATAGGGGCATTAATAAGTAAAAGGGACACGTATCATTATTAAAAGGGGAATTATCAGAGGTGAAAAGGGACACTGACCAGATATGAAAACGGGCACTTATGAAAATGTAAAAGGGGCACTTATAATAAAGGAAAATGTGCATTTGTTGAATGAGAAGGGGGCACTTATTAGAAAGGGAAAGGGGTAGTTATGAGAAGGGGAAGGAGCTCTCTCTTTTTAATGGGGGCACTTATCATAAGGAAAAGGGGCACTTATTAGAAAATAAAAGGGGCACATATTAAAATGAAAGGTGTGCTCATCCGAGTTTAAAAAAGGGGTAGTTATTAAAAGGAGAAGGGGCACTTCTTACAAAGGAAAAAAGGGGCAGTTGTTAAAGTAAAAGGAGCACCTCTCAGTTTTGAATAGGGCAATTATCAGAGGTGAAGAGGGCACTTATCAAAAGTGAAAAGGGGCACTTCTCGTACCTGAAAAGATGCACTTACTAGAGATTAAAAATGGCACTTATTCAAGATAATTTCAAGATTTATGAGAATGGAAAAAGGACACTTATTGCAAAGGAAAATGGGAACATGTCGAAGGAAAAGGGGCACGTGTCAAAAATAAAAAGGGCACTCGTCAGAGGTGAAAAGGGGGAAGGGGCACGTTTACTAAGTAATAGGGGCACTTGTCAAAGTAAAAGGGGCACTTCTTACAAAATAAAAGGGGCACTTTTCCTATATAAAAGGGGCACTTTTGGGGTATCTGAAAAAGTGGGGGGGGGGCACTGTGCCCCCCTGCCCCCCGGGAGGGCCGCCTCTGCCATCAAGAACAACTTGTTGAGATCTTTTTGTAAGGAAGTTTTTAATCCATATGTGCAAAGATCCTTGGATTCCGGCATGATGAAGTTTTAGGAGGAGTCTCTCATGTGGGACCATATCGAACGCCTTTCCCACTAACTAAACTGATTATACGCATTTAAGTCCACATTGTAAAATCTTTGAAGGGATGGGTAATCTGCTACGGCAGGCAAGTATATTCTCTAGATTTTAGACCCATGTTAATTTCGAGATAAATTCTATTCTACCAAATTTGTACGCTGAATATTTAAAAACCTGTGTTTTAAAGATACGATGGTGTACCTTTTGCAGCTATCCAATTCTGTATAGAACTTTGCAGGAAATATGAATATGTCATGTATGTCCTATCTGTGAAATTTAAAACATTAGCAGTGTCCTAGTATTCACAGTTTCATTATGTAAGGAAACCCGTTTACCTTCTAGATTTCACTGTCAGACACTTTTGAGTAACTGACTGACATATTTTTTCCTTTTGTATTATAACATACATAGAAAGAGCTGTAACAAGTACATGGGCATTTGTTTACATACTTCCTGTAATGGCCAAAATTAAACTGATTGAATCTTTGTGCAGCACAAAATGTACGACCATTCGGTACAATGGTCTGAAAATCAGACTAATACTGAGGTGATTGCAATCACTTAAGTCGATTCGACAACTAATGGTCGTTATTTTCCCACTATATAAAAGCCATTTTTTTAGCCTTTTCGTTCTAGGGAAGTTCTTAATTAGTATTGTCTTTCAATTGCCGTTGGAACTTAACCAGTTTTCATTTTTTGACCTGCGAATGGAACATAGTACCTTCAACATGATAATGATAATAATTTTCAGGACCGCAGGCCCTCTCAAAGCTCTTTACAGATTTATATTTGGAATGATAAATTGTTGTCATATTTTTTTTCTACAAGCATTGAATCTGGTTCTCCCCCTACCCCCCCCCCCCCAGCAAAAAATAAAATAAAATAATAATAATAAACAAATTAAATAAATTCTGAAGAGTACAAAATCCACTGCCTCGTAATTTTTCATATTTTTTTGTTCTACAAGCATTGAATCTGGTTCTCCCCCCTACCCCCCCCCCCACAGCAAAAAAATAGAATAAAATAATAATAACAAACAAATTAAACAAATTCTGAAGAATACAAAATTCACTGCCTCGTAAAAGTGAAGTTTTTTTTCCAGGTAGGTCTAATGCATAAATTTTCCAATTTCATTAATATATATTTTTTTTAATCCCAGCTCAATAAGGAACTTTCTCAAAACGAATTTTGTATAAACCTAAGATAAAACAACTCTCCATGCATACAAAGACATTTTCAATCGCCCTCTAATGGTCCTCGGGAGCCCCTCTCGACCTCCTATTCCCCCTTTTCCTAATACCAATCGGACCTCTGAGTCTCATCTCTGATGAGCCATTAATGTGCACTTTAATAATTAAATGCTACATGAAGATTGAGTTAAAAAAGGAGCGCAGATCTCTTTTGGCTCCCCCCCCCCTCCTCCTCTCCCTGTTTTGCTAGTGATTCCATCTCGGTATGTTCAAGATAGAGGGAAGTGAACCCATTGCGCTCTATTACAAAATAATGATGAGTGCTCGGTGCAGCGATACTTATTTTCCCGCCAATTTACGCAATCACCAT